CTCTACTCGCTATATTTACTAGCATCTGTCGACCTCAAGCTCATCGAACCCCTTACTCCCTGCAAGTGCAGAAGGAGACAGGTTTCGTTTTTGTTATAGTTTATCGTTGCCTCACAAAAAGTGGATTAAGATGGGGATCCAGAAATGGCCATTTGGTGAGAATAGAAAAGACAGTGAAGGGTCCCATGGTGAGGCTAATTAAGGGAAGAAGGGTAAGGGGAACAATGAAAGCAAGGGTGCAATGTGTAGCCAGTGACAACGCAAAAATGTGCCAAATGCCAAAATGCGGAAAGTACTGAATGGAAAGTAAAGGTGAGCGTGACTTGATTGCCTAATAGAGGTGGGTGCTAATCAGCCACAAGTTCAAAAAAGGCAATGTTAATTACTATTACACATGGCACTGTGCCTGTGTGGTGCAAAGGCGAGTCTTTGGAATATTCACTTTGTTATTGACACCTGTCCATGCTACCAAGCAACTTTGGTGCATGACAATGCTCAATCAGTAAGCAGATGTTATTCTGCTTTATTTATCTAATATTATTTCTACAGGATCATGATAATTTATTCCGCTCACCATTCATCCTGAAAATGTTTGCATCCCATCTAAAGTATACCCAGGGCACTTTCAATGTCAAAGTCCTTGAAGCACATGGAACAACTTTAAAATCACCTGAACTGCAAAGTATCTGCCTTATGGCACATTTGCCAGTGCTAGTCTGCTGCTGCTGTGAGTAATCTTTCCTTGTACTGATGTATTGAGTAACCTGTCAATCTGGTGCTAGGTGTGGTGTATCTTCATCTTCACAATGTGGTCAAACCACAAAATTTAATGGGACACAGAAGAGGATAAGAAGATGGAGCTCAATGGAAACAGTACTATACATCCATCAAGACACTCAGGCCAGAGTCATTAGAGGAAACTATCTCCAAAGCAACAGAGTATAGTAATAGTGGTAAAGCAGCTATGAAAGCTAACTCCAACTCTGATGACGACAGCAGCTTTAATCCTTGTGCTTGCTTGAGAGATGTTTAGGTGTGCATTAATACATCATGTATTCAGATTCACTCATACATCTTCTACAGGTATGAATAACAATTTCACAGATATGAAAATGCAGTTTAATATTTACATACACAGTTAGATTGTACTGTATCTCTAAAGGACTGGTCAGCTCACATTTTTCATCCTTTAATTGCTTGTTCTTTGTGACTATACTTTTTTTACTTGCTAAAATTTGCCTGCTCAATTACTCTTTTTGCTGTTTTTGGTATCCACTTAATGTCTGTTTTATTTGTATTGAAGTTGCCTTTTGCTCAGTCCCATGAAGATAGTTTAAGATAGGATCAAAAGATCAAAGACCTGCTCATTTGATTTTAACAACTTATAAGCTTATTCTATCTTACAGAAACATTAAAATGTTTTTAAGCCAATTAAGGATTTTCAACATTTGCCGATGAACATCAATATCAACACAGCTCCCTTGTCATCAGTCAGGCATTCTAAAAAAATATGTGTCCATAAGAATGATTCAAAATCAAAAATAATCACACTACAAATGAATGTCCTGGTGAGAGAAAGGAACCAGATCCACCAGTCCACCAGTCCACCACCTATTCCAAATCTGACAGTTCCATGGTCTTACCAAGGGTCTGGTTGTAGTGGACCACCTGGTTAAATAAGGGAGGGAGGGGAGTAGTTCCAATTTGGAACAGATGAGTCCCAGGCAGCATATGGTAACTGTAGCTGTAGCAAAGACAATAGATGAAGGATGAATGTACCCAAGTGAATGGGACAGCAAGGAACATTGGGGGCGCAAGTGGGTGGACTTTTTTCAGCTCAAAAACTACCAACCCACGTTCTAACCAGGCAAGATGGTGTCATGCACCAAAGTTGATTGGTAGCATGGACAGGTGTCAATAACGAAGTGAATATTCAAAAAGACTCGCCTTTGTACCACACAGGCACAGTGCCACGTGGAATAGTAATTAATATTGCCCTTTTCGAACTTGTGGCTGATCAGCACCACCTCTATTAGGCAATCCAGTCACGCTCACCTTTGCTTTTCCATTCGGTACTTTCCGCATTTCGGCATTTCAGCAAATTTTCGCATCGCCACTGGCTAAACATTGCATTGCGCCCTCGCTTTTGTCGTTTCCCTTACTCCCCTTCCTTTGCCTAGCCCCACCATGGGCCCCTTCCTCTCCTTTTTATTCTCACCTGACGGTCGTTTCTGGATCCCCATTCTAATCCACTTTTCCGTCACCTCCACCCTCCTCCTCCTCATTTTATTTGCACCCCCACCATTTCTGATGTCACCACTTCCTATCCGCTTCCGTCGCCGATCCGTTGACTACCACGTGCCACTGCTGATATCAGCAAAGCCCCGGCGGCCAGTTCAAATAGGGCAACAGGTCCATCTTTATGACGTTGATCTACCATCATATACTATCAAAACATTGGTCGCTCGTCTTGCCTGGTTGGAGCATGGGTGGGTAGTTTTTGAGCTGGAGAAGGTTCATCCCCTTGCGTCGCCCATGTACATCGCCGTCCCATTCACTTGGGTACACTTATCTTTTGTCCATTGTCTCCGCTACAGCTACACCTACCACACACTGCCTGGGACTCACTTGTTCCAAATTGGAACTACTCCTCTCCCTCCCTCGTTTGACCAGGTGGTCCAACATAACCAGTCCATTGGTAAGGCCATGGAACCGTCGGATTTGGACTAGGTGGTGGACCGGTGGCTTCAGTTTCTTTTTTTCAGCAGAATATTCATTTACAGTGCAATTATTTTTGATTTTTGAATCATTTTTATGGACACATATTTTTTTAGAATGCCTGACTGACAATAAAGGAACTGTGTTGATACTGATATTTTTTTTGCCTTGCCCTTTTTTTACTGCATCTTCCCATGACATCATGATTTTCTTGCTCTCTTTCTGCTATTGGACTTTACTTTATGGCTGTACAAACCTGTAACATTACTTACACAGCATTCATTGTTCTATCCCTTTCTTTTCCTTATTTTGACAATCTTATCCTGTACTACCTACGCAGGATTTGTCAGCGTACTTTCCTTCCTTTATGTTCTTTCTCATTCTTTTTGCACAGCTATACTGTGCATAGCCTACTTTTCTTTTACTATATAAACCCCTGTATTTTACCTTGTAAAAAAAAAACAAGAACTCCAATCCAGACTTCTTCTCTACTCTCAAGTTCACTACTCTGCTACTTGTGATCCAGTGTGGTCACAACACTTCCCACTTCTACCACTGTTAACTGCTGTCATCGTCACTCATCACTTTTTGAAAGTGATTGTCATCCCCTTCGATTAGAGTCCTTCTGAGCACTACAGTTTGTGCGTCAGGAGCCTGCTATCACTGGGAACCTCGTCACCTCGTCATCCTCGTTGTTCTCAAACCTACCTTGGCTACGATTAGCAAGGTAGTGCTCGTCTATACTCGCCACAAAGCCCCTATCTTTCTATAAATTCAACTATCCCTCCTCCTCAAAACCCACACTCATACACCTCTGGGTTTTTACTTTGAAGGATCCTCATACATACCACCCCACGAACAACCAGAGCACTCCACTGTTCTAGGAGGCAAAGCCCATAAACAAGTTCCGTGGAATCTGGGAGGATTGTGTGTTAGTTTGTTTTTGTGTGTGGTTTTCTAACAACAGTTCTCATCATCAACAACGGGTGACCAATGATTGAATGTTGGAGGATGGTAGATCGATGTCATGGAGGTGGTCCAACTGCCCAATTTGGATTGGCCACTGGGGCCTTGCTGATATGAGCAGCGGCATGTGGTAATCAATGTATTGGTGATGAAAGTGGTTAGAAAGTGGTGACATCAGATATGGAGGAGGAGCATGAAGGTGATGAAAAAGTGCATGATAATGGGAATCCAGAAATGACTGACATGTGAGTGTTATGATACACAATTTTTGGACCTTTAACTCTCTGTTTCAACCTTCTTTTCAGTTTTCACACAACTATGCCATGCGGCACTTCCCTTTTTGTTCAAACTCCACTTTCTCGCACGGCACTATCCTTTCCCCGTTTTTGTTTTCAGGTACAAGTTTCTCACACAGTGGAGCTGGTCACACGGGCTGTGCCCTATGACATCATCAGCCACTGCTTTCATCAACTGTGTAGTACATAAGTACAAACACTCTGTATTAGTATATAAACCACAATAGATCCAGGAGACTCCTCAGTGAGTCCTTCTATTGTTTACCCACAACTAACTTGGTCCTACCCTAAGGGAGATTACCCTCTCCTTCATTTACACCTCTCTGCTTGGACTAGTTGAGTTGTGTGCCAGAGTATTCAGACTTTGGTTGTTACAGTGAGAGCAAACACAACAGAAAAGGGCCCATGGTGGGGCCAAGTAAGGGGAAAGGAAGTAAGGGAGAGACAACAAAAGCAAGGGCACAATCATGTGTAGCCAGGTGGCAACACAAAAAATTGCCAAAGTCCAAAGTGTCAAAGTGTGGGAAGTACCAGATGGAAGGCAAAGGTAGGTGCGACTTTATTGCCTGATAGAGACAAGTTCTAATCAGTCACAGGTACAAAAAAGGAAATATTATTAGTATTCCACATGGCACTGTGCCCATGTGGTGCAAAGGTGAGTCTTTTGACTTTTTGCTTTGTTACTGACACCTGTCCATGCTACCAATCAACTTTGGTGCATGACATTGGGGTTTGGACAAAAGTGTCCAAGAACCAAACCAAGCCAAACTTTACCATCCCTATTTATGATCCCTTACTTCAAGCACCTCTGCAAGGATCTGTTTGGGTCCATGTTGTTCCTCTTGAAGAAGTTTGTAGAGACAGGACTGCCACCATTCTTTGTACTGTTGCATGCCTCCAATCAATGCTCTCAATATTCTTGGGGGAGCTCTAGAGGACCCAATGCATTCAGCTCTGTTTAGTCAGGAAAAATCAACTTTGTCCATCACATGACTTTCCATTTTTACTGAGAGTTGAGTGAGATAAATACAGTACTGCAGTGTTCTATTGAACAAGCAGCATATCTACAACTGATTACCCTAGTGGTTTTTATTGTAACTGTATGCCACTTCAATAATCTGCATCTATGAAAGCATCATTTTGCGGCAGGAGCCAATTTAATCTTCATGTCTCAAGTGGCAGTGAATGACTGTACTTACCGGAAGGTTGGCTCTAGCTGGCTGCCAATGCAGTGAGGAACGTAATTGTAAATTGTGTGTAATATGTGGTCTACAGGAATCCGGGTATGAGGAGTAACTACATAATAAAGGGTTATGTGATGAATTTATACCAGGGGTTCACCAGCCAGTCCATGGTCTGCCCTGCCTAGCACGCGTCACGGAAGGTATCTAGTATCAACCTGGGAGGAGTATGGATACACGGTTTACGCAGGTCGGAGGTGAGTTTCAGACGTTGGTATATCATCCGCTCGCGCAACCACAATAACGGCCGTCATTAGCGACGAGAACGCGAGCATGAGCGAGCTTGCAGAAAGTACTGCATAGCGGGCAGATGAGACCCCCGTCAGGAGGGACACGACGACGAAGATATTAAGGGGAACGCGGAATAAGGAAGAAAGCTGGATTTCGTTGAAGCTTCATGAGTCCAGAAATACGTGGAATTTGTGGCGGACTCACAGTAGCTCGATGTTCATTTGAGATCAGTGTCCCTCGGAGCATTCCTTGCACAGGATTATACATGCCCACACAAGCCTCAAATGCACAGAACGCCCAAAACCTCACCTTTTCCTTGTCCGATCTGATGCTCACTGCAAGTGCAAGGGCGCTGACAGCACATACAAGACTGCTTAGTTTTGCATGAAGCGCCAGGGAAGAGTCACCTGGAGCAGTCGGTGTGGGTGGTGGGGCATAGGAACAGATAGCGGTATAAAGGAGAGAACCGAGCATCATAGAAATCATGAATGAAGAGAATATATATCCGAGAGGCAGCGCTAGAGAGGAAGGAGATGCTTCTTGGAGAGCTGGGACCCAGAGAAAGACGAATAGATACATGGAACCCTCGAAACAAGTTTGTGTGAGGCCAATCACTAGCAGAAGTGGATCTAAATGAATATTATATCAGCCGTCATCCCCGCAAAAGTACATGATTTAATATACCACTGCGAACAATCTGCCAAGCTTGTCTGAGGCGCTTGAGCTGCATAATATCGGTGGATTCAGTCCCTCCTCCACTCCCATAGTTCTCCGCCCAACTGGCGCGAATAGCTATAAACCCGAGCAGAAGAAGCACACCACTAGCCATAAAGGGCGTCGCAAATGAATTAGTCAATGTCACCAACTGGTTACTAGCAATTCCGGCGCCAGTAGCTACGAAACCATTTACTAATGTCGCACGACCCATGATAGTCGATAGGTCTGATGATGGAATAGTCAAGGAATTGGATGATGATACTAGCCATGATTCAAAGGCGGAGTAGAGTATCGATGTCGATATACCCCCCAGAACTCGGCCGCAGAGTAGGACAGGAAGATATGGGAAGAGGATGCAGAGACAGGTGGCGGTGTATGTTATGCAGAATGTCAAACAAAGTTTCTTCCGGCCACTTGATTGGAGACAACATCATTCGTTCAAAACGTTACATGAGCGAGATAAAGAGGATGGCTTACTGCTGATCTGCCCAAACGCCAACCAAAGGGGCAGTGATACCAGCGGAAACGAAACCCGTGACAAATAAAACTGCGACTGTCCTCTCCGGGAATGCGTATTGTTCTCGGTATAATGAATAGACGTAGGGACCTTGTAGCCAATCGGCGCCTGATAGGAAATGAAGCAAAAGCGCAAACCCTGATTAACGAGTCCGTGTGATGCAAGTCTACGAGCACTTGCCCATAACAATTGCGTATACGACAATATATTGTCTCGTCAATGACGCGAACGAGTTTAGAGGTGGTGAGGGATTTCCGTTCTCCAGTCTGTCGGCGGGATAGTGGTCTTTGGTAGCTGTACTTCTTTTGCGAGAAACATGACGCTCGAGTAAGAGAAAGACGAGACAGGAAGACACAAGGAGAATTAGTTGGAGCTCGTAGAAGGCCACCATCGCTGGGCAGTGGTTGGCGTAGTAGAGAGCGCGGTGGGTGTTATAGTGTGTCGGTGGATGTGGTGAGCGTCTCTAACCTGTGTTCTCTTCGTTTGCTGTCCAAGAGAATTTATGAATTCCGTTGCAATTTCCCACCTACTATTTCAGCTGAATTTTCACCGAGATAGAATTTATTAGCTGTGGGGCTGCCCTTACCGACGTTGACGCGTTGACGACGGGTGGAATAAACACAACATCTCGGCAAACGCAGCATGATAAGATCGCTCCAGAGGTCTAAGTAACGTAAGTTACGTCCTATCTACATTTCTCATCCACCTTTAAGTTCAAATATTGTATGGAACACTGTGTTCATTCTATGTTGCTACTGTATGGACATGTGAAAAAATCAGACCGGTGAGAAACTAAGATCTAGAAAGGAAAAATAGAAATGATGTAAACCTTTGGGCAGATTCAGAAGATATCCAGAATGAAAATGGAACGTACAACTATGGGACAGCAGTGGGATAAGCAATAGGACCATCAGGGGAGGTAAAGTGAGTAAAGTGTGAGCAAAAAAAAGCGTTTCTAAAAATCAAATGGAAGAGTTATATGCAACTTTCATCATAACTTGGCTAGAAGTAGGCCAATGACGACATAGACAATCATCGCGGGGGCTGCGAGTATGCAGTAAGACCAGAAGATAGTCCGGCTGATAAGTCGTTCGAAAGCATCATTCGATGCAGCGTGGGAGATCTGATACATGTTTCTCAGGAAAGCTAGCACCGATTAACAGCAGACAGACTTACCTGAGCGAGCGTCAACGCCACAGGACAGCCTATCAGTAGCACAGTCGAAACAACAAATACAGGGCTGTAATGAAATATGGTTAAGTAAACAAGCATGAAATACACCACAAGACCACTTACTCTTCAAAAACGTTGTGTAGATCATATCTGGACGATAGCGCCATAAGGGGCAGAAGCAGTAAGGGTGTGATGATCATCCTCGACGATACAGCAATGATGACTGTCGTGGTTTCCCCAGAATCACTTGGCGCCGAGGAGGCGCTTAACAGTGTCTTGTTCCTCCGACCTATCGTGGGTTTCAGTTTGAAGACATCTTGCAAGTTGCTGAGAAGCGACACGGACGACCTCCTAGTACTTAGGCCCTCCGGTCGGTCTTGTCGAGCTTCATCAGGTGGGGTGTAGAAGTACGCGCCAAGAACCACGAGTGTCAGCGGAATAGAACAGTTGCCAGCAGACGTAAGAGCGCCTTTGATTGGTTGGACATGATCTTCCATTATGTGCTGGAATGGAGGTACGCATGCCACGAAAAGCGAGAGCAATGACGCCCACAATGGAGCTGACATGAACTGATTGATCTTAGTCCAAGAGCTACTCAATCGGTGGCGGAAACGCCTCCGAATAGACTGCATCCGCGTGGACGTAGGCTGTGTGAAGTGACGTCGGTATACCGGGATGATATCGTCTTCTTGATCGGATACGTTGATGTCATCAGAGGATAACGGTGGAATAAGGGCTTCTGATGACAAATTTCTATTCTTTCGAGTGGGTGAGTTGGGAAACGAGTGGATGATAGCGTTCCCTGGAGGGAGCAACAAATCATTGTCCTCGCGGGCTCTTTCAGGCGAGATTGTGTTACCCCCACTTGACAATGAGTCATTGTCGTGATCTACATAAGTGGAAGGTTGTATCGCTGAACTATGGCTGAATATTTGTTGCTCCTCAGCCGAAGGGTGTGCGATGACTTCACTGTCCGAAAGTAGTGGGCTTGAACGATGCCCTCCATTTGGAACCGGAGTGTCATCAGCGGCAGTCAAAAGACGAACACCAAAGCTCCAGCGAAGCTATAATGAGAAGTCAGGGCGTGATGTAGGTACTACGTTAAAATATATTATGGAACGTACCATCATGCCTAGGGTGCTGAAAAACACGAGGTAGGTCAACGCGCGACCCAGCATGATGTCCTTGTTGTCATCTTCGCCCCATTTTAAGCCCGGGACAGATATTACCAGACTCTGCATCAAAGCGGTCGGAAAAGAATTCGAATTCATGAACATGGAAGCAGCCATTGCGAAGCTCCTGTGCAAATCACAGGTATGTCAGCGATCGATCAACCTCATGGGCCAGTAGATGATGAATGACCTTTGGGACTTTTTCACAAGGAAAAGTTTACCAAGCGTGTATGAGATGAGGAACGATGTGCCATTTAAAATAACCCAAAATATAGGGATGATCCACAGTTCCCGTAGTTTCCCTGTGAATGATGGACAGTAAATTGGAGTAGCTGGAACACATCTGCTAAGGGGACAAACCTGGGGAAAGGAAGAACGCTACTTTGACAAAGAGGAGAGACGGTGTGAAGAGAGATATGTTCATGCGGTTCAGTGCCTAGAGTCAGCGTATTCGTTATCGGTTTGTATATTGGGCCACCGACAATATACTCACTTTCTGGACTCGTTTATCAAGAATGCCCTTCCATGCGAGGACGTATCCAGCTAAACATAGCAAAAATACTTCAAGAATAGACTGTGAACCCAAAGTGATGTGTTCCGATGCGATGCGAAGAAGTATGAGTTATAATCATGGGATAAACATCAAATCACTTACCGCGAATACTACGAGCAAGAGAGCCAGCACAGGTGTGTCGAACGCCATGGTACGGTGATGGTGGGTGGTAGGGGTGCGTGTGTATGGTGAAAGATAGTAAGACCTATGTTTATAAGGACCGCTTTAGTTTGGGTGCAGGTGTATCGCCATGAGAGGAAAGAGGTGAGATCTTCCGTGCCTTCTGAGTGTACGCGACTGCGCCATGTCGCGCTGACTCAGCCTGGCAGTCGGTTCTCTCTTATCGCGGGTACATATCACGTAATCATGCTGTCCACGTTCGTCATTGCACCCTATCGCGGAGCCGTTCCCTACCATACCCTCTTCATCATCGTCAATCATTGCTGTCATTGCTTACAACCGTGTATCTCTATTTCGCATATTTTCTCATAATACTCCTCCACACGATGGCCTGGTTCTGCACTGGAAAAACTAACTCAGACCTCATTTCCAACATGGCAAAGAAAGGCATCTTGAACTCTGATCTCGTCGCAGCGGTAAATCTCATTCGTGTCTTTGCATCATCTTCTTCAGGCTTATTTGCTCCTTGGCATCGATGCTTAGGCTATGGCCAAGGTTGATCGTGCCAACTATGTAACCCATAAAGCCGACGCCTACCAAGACTCTCCTCAGTTGGGTCTTTCACTGCCAAATTAGCTTTACAGTACCTGATCTCATACCTCCAGGCCCATTGGGCACGGCGCAACCATCTCTGCCCCCCATATGGTAAGCTTCTATCTTCCAGAATCAATATGCCCCTATCTCAATCTATTTCTTAGCACGCTCATGCTACTGAACATCTTCTTCCTTTTCTCCAACCTGGATCAAAAGTTCTTGATGTTGGAAGTGGCTCAGGATACTTGGCAGCCGTACTACACCACCTAGTTTCGCCAGAAGGAGTACAGGGCAAAGTAGTCGGCATAGACCACATCCCAGAATTAGTAGAGTGGTCAATACTGAATTTGAAGAAAGACGGCTTGGCGGAGGCACTACAGGATAAACGGATTGAAGTAATAGCTGGAGACGGTAGACAAGGTAAGCATATTCACAATCTGTGTCCCTAAATTAGCTGTTGAGCTGACTTCCTGGCTTAGGTTATGCTAGCGGGGGTAAGTCCAAATAATATGAAAGGCAGCCGTGTCTTTAACCCCGAATGATTCAGGCCCGTACGATGCTATCCATGTTGGAGCAGCCGCTCCAACGCTCCCTACTGCGTTAGTAGAGCAACTCGCTAGTCCAGGCAGGATGTTTATCCCAGTCGGAAGTTACACTCAACAAATCATTCAAGTGGACAAGGATGCCAACGGTAAAGTGACCAAGAAAGAATTAATGGGAGTCTCTGTACGTATATTTAGTTTCATATCGCATACCATCTGATTTGTCTTGTGAGTAGTATGTTCCCCTGACCGATGCCGAGAAGCAGCAGCGAGGATATTGATGCCAACGATAATTAGGCATCCAGTCAGCCTTTTTCAACTTTTTTCCAATTTCGAATAACTGTATCCTTATCTTGACCTGTATTATCGAAGCACAATGTATTTTACTTTTACCAAATAGTTTTATAATGTTGCAGCTTGCCAAGTCCCTGGCTTATTGTCTGTTCTGCACACCAACTACTAAATATATTTGGGCCAAGAAGAAATTGAGCAGCGCCCATCGGTGATACAGTACATGTGAAACAAATGAACCAGTTCGGCTTCTTGCGATCTTTGTGTTTTGTGAACGTCCTCGGGGTTGTACACCATTACCTCCGCAAAAACTACTTGGCCGAGAAACCAAGAAGTACGTCAATATTCCTGTGATAACACCACCTTATCAAGATAAGATAATACCGCTGTCTTCTTCAGCAGTAGCATCATCACAGACGCACGTTTTGCTCCTAATATTAGTAGCCAAGGTATGATTTTGATTGATAAATGCAGTTCCTGCTCTCCAAGTGTACCAATTAGGAAGACCGAAGACCCGTACGTACTGAAATGTTCTGGTTCAACGGCGGGCGGTGAGCTTGTTACTTCTAGTCCGTGGAGTTCAGTGGAGCATGGCGGGTTTCACCTTGCGTCCCGATGCACGCAGTTTAGCGGTATTAGAATTACTTAGGCAGTACACACCTTATCGCAAACTGATCTCTAACTCGATATCATGGCAGGCATGCAAAGTCACAGGTCATCGATCATCTAGTACATTTAGACACATTGCAGGCACCCATGCGTCACTGGAGGTCCTTCAAACTAGAGTGATGGTCATGACCTGCGTGTGTTAAACGAGCGTTGATTCACTTAACAAAAATAACTGCATCGTTGTTGCGGATAAGCCATCCCTCTTGCAGGTATATCACGTTGAAGCCTATCCCCCAGAGCTTGGAGAAGGAGATCGCGATGAGAGTCAAAAATTGCGGTTTTCCAACGGTAGATATCCCCCTAACATCTATCTCAAAAATTATTGTCAGCCATTTGCCACAAGTAAATTTCCTTTCGCAAAGGATAATACCCTCTGACCCCCCGACAACTTGAAGTCATGGTCAACTTGGAACGTAAACTTGTAAAAGGGGAAGGGTATAACCAATGTCTAAGGTTAAGGTTATCAACTAAGCGCTTAGTATAAATCCGCAAAAACTTGCATCCGGTTTCCCTTTACCAACCACAACAGCTCGAAAGCCGCGAGGCTCACACCGCACAGGAACGCGCTTTTAGCGCATCCATTTTCGTGAGCGGGCTAAGGTCTGAGCATTTCAATCTCCCTGTGATCGGCTCTAGCTGGGCCCCATGCTAATGCGTGGAGCGACGTACAAGAAAAACAGACTGCAGTTTTCGTCAGTACCCACGATCCTTGTCACGAGGGGAGGGAAGAGAACTGTGGGCTTTGGAAACGTCGTGGAGATCGGGCGGACGATGCTGGCAGTGGGCGCCCTCCTGATCCACTTTTATCGCGGATTCTGTGCTCTCTGAGCGCCTCAGAGGGACATGAGGACATCACGATCCAAATGTGTCGCCACGAACAGACAATGGTCATGGTTAATGGGGGATCCCGATACATTCTTTGAGACATGTCAATGGAACTTTATACGCGCGTCTATCAGATTCCTGGTAGGCTGCTGCGGCGGGGCCTTGCGATGTGTTTGCTGTCCGTATGAGAAGAATGGAGCTTCAGGGTCGTCTCACTGCTACTGGTACGCGTCCGTCCTTGAGTTCACTTCGCGGCTCGAGGACACAGTCAGCTTTGTCTGCGAAACTCGATTCAGACTACTCTCGAGCTGTTGTTGCATGGTTTAATTTTTTACACTTCGTCTTCTTCGTGAGGACCGGTTAGGATGGGCCACTTCTAGATTCAAATGTTATTCTAGGTTCAGGTGTGGTCTGCATTTCACATCATGTAATTCTAACCAGCAATATCAGTGTCCAAATACTGAGGATACAGGATTATAGTGAGGGGCGTTTCCTCATACCTATATTTGTCGGTTCAGTGACGAATTACTTTGTTCTAGTTGTTGCTATGTCCTTCTTTCCATGGAGCAAGTACCACGCAAATACGTGTTTTGCAGGGCAGCTGCAAGGTATGACATATCTGTGGTTCGGATACTTCGTGATTATAATTACAATAGCAAGTACCTCCCATTAAAGCATAGATGAAATCAAATTAATATGTTTGAAATTTAAACATCATTGCATTTTTCATGCCAAGGGCAGGTCGATACTGTGTCAAATATATATTTCTTAGTTTAAAGCAAATCTATCCACTTTTTGCATCCCAGATTGTCAACCTGTTCGGTGTTGGACACAAGTCGACAATGAAAAACGGGTTATTTATCCCCATTTTTGCTACCTGTAAGTTCTTTCTGCCAGCACATCACTCTGGGTAGGTCACGTAATGTGATGCTGTGACGTCGACCTGCATTACTATCCGAGGCAATCCATAGATTCCATCTCTATTGTTCTCTGTGCTCTGTCCCTAATAATCTCTTCGAATTCACTCTTATCCTTGTCGCGATGACATCTGAACCCGATGCACCTCTCTTTGCTGACAGACCAGAGTGGGAAGACGTTGTTCCCTTGCCGCAATACGAGAATGTAGACCCATTGGCTCCAATCTTTTATACAGACGAATGTACGTGGAACAAGTGTTCTTGCAAATGAATTTTGTCGAAGTCAGCGTTTCATATTCCCCAGATAAGGACGCTACGAACTACTTTCGAGGAATCGTCAAAACGGGAGAGATGAGCCCGAGAGTGCTTGAACTAACGGAAAACATCATTCGACAGAATCCCGCGCATTATTCTGCTTGGTACGTCAATGCGCCACTTATCTCTTGACCTCTGCTGAGATGTGAGATGTCTATCACAGGCAATACCGATATAAGACACTCATGGCACTAAAGGCTCCCCTCGATGTAGAGTTGCGTCTGATGGACGAGTTGGCTGTCAGATATCTCAAGACATATCAAGTTTGGCATCATCGCAGACTCCTCGTCACGGAAACCCGCGAACCAGGCCCAGAACTCGAATTCATCACGAAATCCCTCCAAGAGGACATGAAGAACTACCACACCTGGTCTTACAGACAATGGCTTCTCGCGTACTTCAATGACGATGCCCTCTGGAGTGACGAACTGAACTTTGCGGATCAGATGTTGGAAAGTGATATAAGGAACAACTCGGCCTGGCATCACAGATTCTTTGTTGTATTCCAATCGGGAGTCAGAACTGGCGATGAAAATAGGGAGGAGGTGGTACGCAGAGAATTGGCGTAAGTGCACGGCCCAAAGCAGTCGAGATGACCCTTCTTCTGACTACAAATCGATTTCAGTTTTGTGAAGAATTATATATCCTTAGCTCCCAATAACGCCTCCGCGTGGAATTATCTACGAGGCATATTGGATCACAGCGCTACGCCCTACTCGCAACTACTACTATTTGTGACACCATATTCGGTTCCTCGCTCGCCAGACGCAGACCTCGTGGATGTCATTGATCTCGAGAATCCCCCTCCCTCGATGGGTGCACAGCTTCCTTGTGTAGCTGCCATCGAGTTTCTGGCAGACATCCATGAAAACGAAGGTGGAGATGATATTATGAAGGCAACCGAGGTATGTTAGCAATGCTGCCAGTGATTCCACATAATAAATGCCTTCCCATTTAGCTCTGGAGATCCCTTGCCGATGAACATGACACCATACGGAAAAAGTGCGTCTTTATATGCAATTACCGATGTCCGTATTTTAATCTAAAATCTCACAGATACTGGGAATATCGAATCAGAGACGCCTTGCAGAAAGTCCAGGTTTGATCTCGAAGAAAGCTTTAGTTACATGAATGAAGTTCTAGTTGTAGGGTGTAAGATACTTTAAGGACACGCAATTGGGTCCGTGCTACTTATTAGTGGGAAGACTACTTAATTGGTCGATTGACATTACTACAGGCGACGGTCTCACCACAATGACACCACCAATTCGATGGGGACCATCGCACATAACATTAATCAGTCCAAGACATGAGACAAACATGGCAGTAGAGTACAGGTTACATCTAACGAGTAACCACGAGAGAAAACAAGATCACGGCGATGGAAGGGTGGGTATGAGAACAAAGAGACAGGCCAACAAATCAGACGCATTAAGGACGCAAAAAAGGACAATGGCAACATTAACAATATAAAAAGTTTTACGCAGCCGCTGGGGCAGCACTATTACTGGCAGTGTAATCCTGCACATATGGTTAACTTTATATATAAATATATATCCAAAAGAAAAGACAAACCTCCATCTCTGCATCAAGATCTGCAACACTCTTTTGAGGCCTCTCATTTGTCTTCCGTCCCCGACCTCTGCCTCTACGACCTCCTCCTCCGCGAACGGGTCTACTCCAAGGTAATAAGCAACACATCACCTTCTAAACAGATCACTAAACAAACCTTGCACCTTGCGCAGCTACAACAGTCGTAGTTGCAGGCGGAGGAGCAACTCTGGCGACGAGCGATGTAGGTGGTGCAGGACGGGCGGGGTCAACGACGATTTCGATTTTCATGGGACGTTCTGTAAGGTCGAAATGAATCGATGATGATGGTGAAGAAGCAGAGACATTTGTCAGTCGGCTGTGCATTGGAGCGAGGAAGCAAAAGAGGATAAGAGAAGAGGGAAGCCAGATCCATTTCGTTACCGGAAAACCGATGCAATTGTCTCTGTCCACGCCACGAACATCTCAAAAGGTTACTGGTGCCGGTCAAGGTCTTGTGAATGCCAACTCTAGAATCAGTAGACACTGTCACCACAGTCGTATCCACATGCCCTACAGGTGAACATTTGGCCGGGTCGGTGCGTCGGGTAACGAGGAACCCAAACAGATAGACTGCAACGACTCTCCGCGAAATAAAACCGTAGGCGCCTCGTGTCTCCAAAACTGGTAGACTAAATGAGAAGATGTGAAAGGAAGTGATACTAACTCCCATCGATAAGTCGATTGTTGTACTGCTGATAGGCTTTGGTGCCATCTCCTTTCCGCTGGAAATGCACAGCTGCAACACCCTTCGACCTGCCTGCACTGTCATAATGCAACGTAACCTCTCGAAGCGCACCAACGGTTGAGTGAAAAAGCTCCTAAAACAAGGATAAATAAATATTAGAATCACGAAACAGAAATAGCGCATAAATGTTGTACCTTTATCTGGGCCTCGTTGACGTCTTGTGGTAAATTCGACACAATAATTTTGTCAGCGGGCTGTGTGGACGCAGGCGCCGCATTGGCAGCCTTAGCGCCATTGACAACAGGAGCATTGTTTGCATGACGAGCACGAGTGGAAGGACTTGCACCGCCAGTACCCAAAACCTGTGTTTTGGCACTCCCCCGACGACCAGTTGCACGACGAATGCCCTTGGGACGGGTGGAGATTATCTAAAATGGCACAGAAAAAGCTAAATAAAAAGATGCAAGGACGCGCTGGAACTTTTCAGCCTACCTCATCGAGTGACTTGTCCATTGATGATAAAGAGGCGTGAGGTAGAGTTAATGGTTCGGGTTGAAAACCTTTTTTACGACGACGCACAAGCTAATGGCGACGGTGGTGATAACAAGAGGTGGCGACAACAACAAAGGGGGTAACGCGCATTGCGATGCACAGCAGGACGACTATATCACCAGGCGGAGCATGTCGGAGCTTCAAAATGTCTCATTTTCTCAACTCAGCGCTGTGGCTGTTATCTTTTACCTTGTAACAGGCTTGCCAATTCCATTTCACACCCAAGTCGCGCAATATGTCCCGAGGTGGACGTGGAGGAGGTCGAGGGGGAGGTCGGGGAGGTTTCCGAGGCGGTGGGGGTGGGTTTGGTGCTGGAAGCATGCCTCCCATGGGCCTGTCCTTTGCCGATATACAAGCCATATCGAGGGAAGGGGACGCTCTGTATCCTGTATGATACAATAAGTCTTGTATAAGACTCTAGCTCGATCTCATAAATTGCATTTAGCCTTTGGAACCTCTTCCTGTTCTCAACGAGTATTCTGATGACGAAAAACGAATATGCGATCTGCAAATTGGATTCGCAGCTAGATTGAGAAAATCTGCCTACTATCTTGTCGAGGCGACCAAATCAAATGGTTAGTCTTACGTATACTAGGGGATATTCTACAGATTACACTTATATTTTGTCATCAGAGATCGACCGTTATTCAGACAAGTATCGTCAGTCGGCTGCATCACAGCCTACACTAAAGAAAAAAGATCTCCATGCGCCATTCTTTCCACAAGAAATACTGGATGGATATTTCAACCCCAAGAAGAAGCGGAAAGGTATGCAAATTTCTTGATTCTAAGATTAGACCTTTGAAGTGATTGTTCTTCAGTGGAAAAGAAAGCCACAAGCAAACGCATGAATATCGATGACCTGGCTGAAGATGGAGAAGACCAGGTGTGTATCGAGATATGTCACGATACGTTTGGACTGACTTTATCGAAGGAGAAATCCGGAGACGAGCATTCAGATGTAGGTTCGCGAGTGGAATCTGACTATGATGTGGATGAGGAGTACGATAATGATTATGCGGAAAATTACTTTGATAATGGAGAAGGGGATGATATGGATGATTTGGGAGGTGGTGGCGGAGGCGATGAGGGAGGAGGAGGAGGTACGTATTACTGCATCCACGATAAACAGTCACTAACAGTTTTGCATCTTAGGTGACTACGATTAAAACGACATGGTAATCCATGGAATGCTATTCAACCATAAAAAGGGTTCTTATGGCGAATAGGTTCAGTACTGTGTAACTAACGGGTAGGTCTATCATCATTACATGATACATGATATGCACACTCATGATTAGCTGTTCAAGATGTAGCAAAGCTGATACCAAGTAATTTATACCTGTTGTAGCCATGGCCTATGCTATAGACTGACTTTGGTCACGTGAACTGCGCGCGATGTGATTGTGTCAGGTGATACAAGTTCAAACAACGCGTCGTGCAACTGGCTGGAACAACCATAATAAAACACTTTCTTTCTTTTCCCCCTTCAATCACTCACTCTCATTTCTATCATAATGCGATTAGTTTTGTTCTCTATCCTGTCTTTACTCGCAGCGCCGGCCGCTGTGCTTTCTTGCGAAGGCGAATGTATCGTCGGGATAACCAACCAATTCATCACATTGTACGCCGAGACTGTCTCTTCAGTCATGGACAACATTGCAAGTGTTCATTTCAGCCACTCACGAGTCCTCATACAACGCTGACCTCCATGTTCACAATCAGGCATCCCAGATCTGCAAAGACGTCGCTCCTCAAACTCCCACCGCATCTTGCAGCGCCTACGTGCAACCTCTCATGGACGCCTGGAACTCTTCCATGTACAACCCAATGGAGCACGCCATATTTCCCAGTTACTTCCATGGAAAGTGCCAAAACGCTCAGGGCGTAGACCCCCCTGGATGTCCCAACCCCGATTGCCCCGTCGTCTGCGGAACACCTGGATCTCTCGTCCATTTTTACTCGACCCTTCAAAACATCGTCTTTGATACCGTGAACGGTTTTCTCGTCAACAACACAAAGCCGAACAGCGATGTATACAACGAAATCAAGAAAGCTGTCACGGCCGGCTCTTCCACGTCTAGTCGTCGGGCCCTTGGACCCCCTGCGCGTCCCTACCCACCTTCAATTCGCCCGAGAGCTGGAACCATCGACAAATCTCTGCAGTCCATTTTCAAGGGATTACCGCACCTCCTGCAGCAGGACTGCGGTGGTCCGGGACTACCGAACTGCAGCTGGGAGACGTATATGAAGAAGTTCATACTTAGCTACCCTTGACCAGACGGCCTTTCGACAACGCCGTTGGAACAGTTTGTCATGCTACCCGGGGGCGTTGAAGCAGATCACCATGCACTGATAATAGCGGATAGCAGTACTGTATAATTCTCCACAACCTGATAACTGTTTGTACATTTTTGGTTTTTCATATTAAATATGATTCAATTCTGTTATACAAGCTTCAAGAGATCACTCATTACCCCCATAGCAGTAACAGCTGCTCCCGCTCCAGCACCTTGTACAATCAGTGGCCTAGCGCCGTAGCGTTCGGTGTGGAACATGATGATATTGTCTGATCCACCCAACGAGGTAGCGAAAGGGTGAGAGTTGGGGTATCTGCAAATCCGACACAAAAAAAATATCGTCAGCGAACTACTCAAAACAGCACCCACCCCGCTCACTCACTTTTCAAGATCAGCCTTGATAAGCCCACTAGCAACATCCACCACGCCCACAAACCTCAACACCTTCCCCTCCTTCGCAGCGCCCTCCCTCAGCTCTGCAAAATGGGCGTCAAACTCGGGAAGCCGCCGTATAAACTCGTCTCCGCCCGCGATGCCCTCCAGAGCGGAGGGCACCAACGACGTGGTTTGCACGGACTTGAAGCCGTGGGGCAGGGACGCGCGCAGGGAGGGTATGGCGCGGGATAGGATGGTCAGTTTGCGCGCTACGTCTGCGCCGTTGAGGTCGTCTGCGGGGTGGGGTTCCTGTAAAGTGAGAGTGCGATTCGGATCAGTGGCTGTTTGGGCGTTGTGTGTGAGGGTGGGGGTAACGTACCGTATACCCCTTTTCTCGTGCAACGCTGACGACGGAGGAAAAGCTAGGGCCGCTAGCTTCTCCGGTAGAGAAATTATTGAAGATGTAACTCATAGTCCCCGAGAACACGCCTTCGACTTTGACCACCTACATTACAACAGTTCAGCCTTCATCCTTCATCCTTCATCCTTCAAGCTTCATCACACCACGACCCCCTTCTCAAATCCAAGACCCAAAAAAAAAAAAAAACACCACACCAACTCACCCTATCCCCCGTAGCCACCAGATCCTTCAGCGTCGACATAACAGGCAACCCAGCCCCCACCGTCGCCTCATTCAAGAACCTCGCCCCCGCCTCCAAGCTCGCAGCCAGAATATCCTCATACAGCGTCAGCTCCCCCGAGTACGCCTTCTTGTTCGGCGTGATCACCTCGATCCCGGCGCGCAAGAACGCGGGGTAGAGCTGCGCGACGTCGTCTGAAGACGTGTTGTCCACCAGCACCACCTTCTGGCCTGGTTGGACCAGCGATGCCAGTCCCTTCGTCAGACTTGGGATGTCGACCGGGCTGGACGAGGAGGAGTCAGACAGGTCGGATTTCCATCCAGAGGGGGAGAAAACAAGTCCGGTGTTCGAGAAGAGCGATCTTTTGGAAGAACATAGGGATACGATGCGGAATGGACTTGGGCTGGGGAAGGCGAGGAGTTGATCGATGAACTCGCTACCCACCAAGCCAACGCCGATAACTGCGATGTTGATGGTCTTCTGAGTGGAGGAGACGCTGGACATTTTGCGATAGGATTTTACTGGATCTGTATGAATACAATAATCAAGATCTCTTGTGACAGGAGGACCTAGTAATAAAGATGGCGGAAAATTGCGATATCGATGGAGCACTCGACGGCATGGATGAATTTGTCGTAAAGGACGTGAAAACTGTCGCGAGTGACTCTGGAACATAGCATACAGTCATCACGAGTTGTTCTTAAAAATTGGACTGGTCTTTATCAATAAATACGACTGATGAAAGCAATATCATAACTTTGTCGCGATTAGATCACTCAACTTATCAGTCTCACTCAAGAGTTTGCACAGAAGCATAAAACAGACTCAATTCTTCTATTGAGAACTAAAGGGACACTAAGGAATGTACGTCGGTGGGAATATAAAGAGCGTGGTGTTTGATACTGTAAGAGGGCAACTTGCACGGACACAGGAAAGTGGGAGGAATGGGAAAGGTACGTAAAAAGTGAGCAAAACACTCGTTCGAAAAGGTAAAAGGGGTGCGGAGGGAGGATGTGCCCGGCAATGAGAGAGAAGGTAGGAAGGTGGGGGTATGCGTGTACGGTTTGAAAGTAGGAACAGAATAACTAGACAGAAAAAAACCGTCAACAAACAATCCAAACATGCGTTCGAAATGGTGCTCACCTGGACCAACATATTACAACGGAAGATCATGTCGCATCATGAACAAAAGAAAGTAGAATGAAAAAAGGTCGGATTGTCGGGATGGCAGGAAGTGATAGGAGAGGGATTTATGAACGGTGCCAAAAGGCAAAAAGAAAAAGGTAATAGACAACCTCATTTCCAGAAAGAAAAAGAAAAAAAAAGAAAAGTAAGCATAAAGGGTAACCTCCAGTCTGCGTCTGGGATCCAACGCCGACCTTCGACTATGACACATAGGCAAGATGGACGAAGGGATGGGGGTTAGGGAATAATGCCGAGATGCGATGCGACGAGAAAGTCCGAGAAGTGGGCCACGATATTGATACACTAGTGAAAAGAAGCAAAATATGGGAGAGGGGAGAGAGGGAAGAGAAGAAGATTGAAGACCGTAGGGCACAGGAGAAAAAAAGAATCACCAAAACCCAAGGCAGACAAGAAAGGGACAATGGAAGTAAATCGTGGAAGGGCCGAAACCGAAGTTGAAGAAATTTACACGATTAATAGATAGTGCTAGCACCCCTTGAAAGGAGACTAAAAAAAAAGGAAGGGAGGCACTACAAAAATATAATAGTTGAATCTTGAAGAAAAAGAAAAGAGTAGAGGACGGGGAAGAAAAGGAAAGGGTAATCGATTGCACAGAGTCCCAAGATCCAAGAACAGGAGGCAGGAAAAATAAACCCCATCGTCTAATCGATCTGGTGGGCGGGGTCGAGATATAAATAAGCAGGGAGGCCGTTTGATAGTGCGGCGCAGCAACCCTTGAGCAAGACAGACGAGGCGTCGTATACACGTATATTGGTGGCGAACCGACGAAGGCTGGTGTGGGGTGGATTTGGATTGGGTTTTCTTTTATCAATTTAGCTCGGAGATCGCCTTGTCGTCGTCTTTTTATACATACCCCACTTGATGAAGTGGGGTTATAGCGATAATAAAGAAATGCCGATGCGATGTTGCGAAAGCATGCAGATGAGATATGAGCCGGTGGTAGTGACACATTGAGAGTCGAGAAATAGAAAAAGGAAAACGACGAGGGAGGAGTGAAAATATATCGAGAATTTAATCGTATCGCCAGCCCGAGGTATGAATGTCGGAGCCGAGATGCGTCCCAGCAGAATTGTGGGAAATGTGAGCGTGAGGGTGTCCTAAACGTGTGACCTTGACCAAAAATAACGAGAACCAGCTGAGTATTGAAAACAGTCGAATAAGTGCGGAGCCAAAGTCTATGTGGATGGCAATAAGAGGAAATATAGAACAGGAGGAAGAACCAACAGCCCCCAAGAAAAAACCACAAGTATGATTCCATGCCGATGAAGACGTCGAATGGATAACGATATCGATAAAAGGAGTATAAAACATTTTTGTACGCGGCGTTGTTGGATGCGTCGATAGTGTGAAATGATTTATAGGGCACTTTTGACGACGCAAGGCGTTTATGTTCATTATGGGATCGACGCCCCCGACGGCGTGACGGGGAGAATAATATACCGGTGAAAATAAGGCTTGGGAATGTAATCTAGGGGCTGCTCGCCCATCCGAATAGTCTAGGCTAACGAGTTCATTAGAATCAAACACAGAATAAATGCATCAAGTGTCTACATACCTCTACACTTTGCGAAATAATGGGTGAAGGGGTTGCCTAAAAGGCAGGAGGAGGCAGCTCATCCGGACTAGGCGAGTTTTGGAACATTGAGCTCGCGAAGAAACCGGCTTTATCCTTGTTGGGACCTACGGATCCGTCTCGCTTCGGGAGTAAGCCAAACAACATCTTTAATTCCTCCGATGCATCCGAGGAAGAGGACGAAAAGTCCTCGTCAAAGGACATGTCGAACACACCCTCACTGGGCGCTCGTTGGTGACGGCGTGCTACAGGACTTGGAGTAGCACGGAACGGGAACCCAAAAGATTTAAACAGGGGGGCGGTTCGTGGGCCATCGTCAAAACTTGACGCTGGCCAAGGTGCATTATACCTAACCGTGCGTTCACGGGTAGGGGTGGAGGGAGGAGAACGGTCATCCACGTCGGTCATATCGTCGCAAATTGGAAATACAGCATTAAAATTGGCTGAGGTACGTCTCATACCTGGTCGAGAAAGTACGTTCGAGTTGATGGGGGCAGACCGGGAAACATTATGACCGGTCTTTTGGCCGACGCGAGGCACGGGAATAGCCTTGGAGGATGGAGTTGGGGTCGCAGGAACTTGAGGGACAAGGTGTCGTCGTCGAGCCAACTTACCAGAGGGATAAGATGACAAGATGGGAGCCGTGTTTGTGCTGGCTCGCTTAGATGGCGGGGGCACCACTGATGGACGTGCATTGTCCGAATCGGAATCGGAGCTTACTAAAAAAGGGTCAAAAGAATTGGAAGCAGGGTTGCGTTTGGGAGGCTGAAGAGTTTGAATAGATGAAGGATCGATAGCCTCTGCCTGCGAGGTAGAAATGGGGGAAGGTTGTCGAACATTGTTACGCCTCGCATGCGCATGAGTGGAGGATTGGGAGGCACTCCTGAGCGATACATGTATATTTTAACGAAACGAATATATATGCATTTCAGCAAGCGGTTTACCTTCTGGTTGTCTTATCTTTAGGAGTCTTGGACTGACGGCCGCGTGCTTGTTTCTCTGGGGTAGGAGTCGCAGATGGCGACTGTGTCTTCGCACCCGAAGGAGCAGCATTCTCTGAGGCCCGCTTTGGGGAAACGGGTTTGATGGAGTGTGAGGTTGAAGTCGGCTCTGCCTGAGCGGGCCTTGGCGAGCGATGTTGGGGTGTGGCTGGCTTTGGCTTAGGAGAGCGAACTTGCTTCTGAGGCTGTTGCTGGTGAAGCTGGCGGGGTGGGGTTGGACGGAGGGGCTTTGAGAGAGACAATATGCCAGGAGTTCTGGTTGGTTGTACGACGACAGCGGGGGGGGCTGAAGGATGACGACGGTGAGCAGAAGGAGGCGAAAAGGGGAGTTGAGGTGGTTTCTGAACGAGCATCATTGTGGGAGACAGAAACGGGGAGAAAGATGTTGGGGATGATGGCGACGCTGCGCAGCGACGACGACGGTGAGGGGAACGAGCAGGACAGGAGGAGATGTGAAAAATAAAAAAGAGAATATAAGCGTGGGATGACGGGCGATTTGTGTCCTTGATCTGGCCGGCAAAGATGGAGCCTTTTGTTCTCCGCCCACGGCACCGCCCGAGACATGGCAGTGGCGTAATGAATTTCCATTCTGGGCGTGCACTCGTGATCAGGCGGACACGTTCCCTCCTTCTCGAGCAGAACACAGCGCACTCGTACTCGTCGCCAGTAATACATGCACTCATACATCGCACCCAATAAATGCAATGGATATACTGACCTCCAGCACGCATATATGCAGCCCTTGTCTCCACCCTTCCGCCCCTCTGGTCTGATCCCTTATCTCGTCCACTCTCCGTCCTTTGCTTTCCTTCTCGCTTCTTTCGTGTATCCAGTGCAATGCAATTATAGAACTCTCATCTCTTGTTCGCGGCGCTTGGATCTCTCAATGCGCTCCGCTCACCCATTGTGCTCTCCCTTACAATAGCAACTAATGCCTCTCTGACCCTGCTTGTCTTCGCTTTGCCTTCTCTCGTCGCTACTCTTTGCTCTTGTCTTTCTCACAACGCATGTACCAAGCAACGTTGTCTTCATCTTCATCAAACATGTGTACCATAGCAGTGTACGCGTCAGCTCTACCCTATCATTTCCTTTCGTCTTCAATCTGATTCAAAGGGTCCACGCATTCATCTTACAATACACTAGTACAGGTCCTAGGCTTATCGCTACTCCAACTCTCCCACCTCCGTCGCTTCTTCTCCCCACTGTCCATTCTAGGCAATTTCTCTTATCTTCCCTGCAAAGAACTCCTTTCCTTCTGATCATCCCCAACCCAGAATAGTCTATACACAGCAGCTATCCCCCATTTCCACGCCTCTGCCGCGAGTTCCTAAGAACCTTGTTCTTTTTATTAGATCTGCGTGCATCACCTGTTGATAGGAGTGGAGTACCTTACCGTAACTCTACCGTAAGTCGCCTTGGTATTGTCACGAGACTCTTTTTTATTAATCCATTTGCTTTTTCAAGCGTTTATCTTGTCTCGTATCTCAATCTCCCTTCATTACCCCAATTTGGTCCCAAGCACGACTACACGCCTCCAGGCAAAAAACCGACCTGGCAACCCTTCAAACTCCAACTCCTCGATTAACTATGCGTTACTCCAATTCAGTCCCTTTGCACATATTCTCCATTAAGCAGTCACTCTTGACAGCAAGTTACCTTGTTCATCCTAATGACACCTGGTATTAATCTAGGATTCCTGTAAATGTCGTTGTCAACGTCGCAAAATTTAAACAACGATGAGAATCTCGAAGCGTATCAGTCTACCGCTCTAGACACCTTATTCCGCTCTCCCTCGGGATGTAGACCCATATTGTCCGACTCGAGAACCTTCTCGAATCCACATCACGGAGTAGCATGCACCACAGCTCCGTCTCGTCTGGAGGGATAGCCCCCAGTGGCAGTCCAGTGCTAATCCCAAGCTCGCGGCCCTGGCCAAACAACGTAGCGCTCGAACTCACCACGCGCTGGCGCCAATCCCACCCGTGTACTGCCCACACCGCATTCTCCGCGAGGAAAGAATTTACAAAAAGCTATCAAAAGCACGCAACGAGGCCCTCGTGCCCAAAACTCAAGTCCAATTTACATGTACTCAAGCACCGGATGAAGGCATTCAACTTACCCTATTCGCCAGGCTTCATTTAGGCCCTTTTGGCAGCATTTCCTGAAATCATAGCTTTTGAGTGCATCGCCATCGGGTCTGGCGCTCCGAGTGACAGCGACGACGATGGCAATGATGCTACTATTACTGTGTGTATTCGTATTCCCATACGGCCGAGACGTATCAATCATGATGCATATGCGGCTCATCAGCCGCGACGTGTTCGGTGAAGGCGTCTTTTTGGCGTCGTCCATCAAGATGGATCCCCCCTCGAAGCTATCGGTTTTTTAGGCATCGTGCATCAAGTGGGGAAAAAGGGACGTTGATTGCTGTGGCACTGGCAGCACTGGACCCAATGGGGTGGAAAATGACCTCGATAGTGTCATTTCTCAGGGACGTTTCGACTATATACGAGCTTGGATCGATTTCGACATGACTTCCTCCTGAAAATAATCCATTGTCCTTACCGCCCTACACATGGTCCAAATTCGAGTTTCAGCCGGTGAGCTCTGCGAGCAAATAAACACAAGAACCCACGTCCGAAGTGGTCGGAGCCCACTATCAACGCAGTCAACGCATGCATGCATTCCCATAGCTCCGAATCAACGTTTACCCAGCCCAAACCGCACTCCATTATCGCCGAAGGGAAGGACATCAACATCAACAAGAATAGAAAAGAATAGATCAAGGACAAGAAACAAATAACGGTCTTCCCTCGTTTCCCTTTCGCCATTCGCCGAACCGAGGGTTTAAGCAATACGAAGGAGCCTCGACGAGGGGCTATCAGTGCCGGTCTTGCGCGGGTCTAGACTGGGCTCTGGCTGCCTCGCCGTGAGCGCGATGTCGGATGGGAGCTGGATATCCACGAGGCCGGGATCTGTCAGTCGAATCATTGGAATCATCGGAATCATCTTTGATAGTCGACGATCTCATCGTATCGACATGACCCATTGCTGTACGCTCGCAGCTGCTTGCCTCCCCAAGATTTACCCGACGATTATCGACTGTCAACGTTCCCAAACGTTCCCAAAAAAGTGGTGTCAGGCAAGGCAGGCCAGGCACGGATGGGCTGTACTGCGTACTAGATGCTATCGCGTTTCGAGTGTGTGATTTCGTAGGTGAGAAGTAGGGATGTATGCTTGTTGTGGCGTGTCGCAGAAGCGTGGCTTATCGCACATGGGTCGGGCAACGTGGTCGATCCATCGAGTTGTGAGCGCCCTGTCGACATTTTTTTCTTTCCTTTTTCCTCCCCCGGCGTTCCCTCCTTCGAGCTCGTGTGCAGCCCGTTTCTAATCAGATAGATTCGACGATGGACCGCAAGAGAATCTGGGAAAGGCACGTGAAGAAGTCCGAGGGGGCGCTGCGGTTGGACGACTGGGATGTAGATCTCCAACGTTAGTATTTGTCCACCGTGAACAATTGGTAGTCATCATTGATCCTTGACATTCCATCGTAAACGAGTCTCTTCGCACCTGCGCTCTTGCTTCCCTTTGGGTGGGTGGTGTGACCTCTGAATGAGAATGAGATCCGTTGATGCAAAACTCTGGGAGTCCATGTAGGTCACAGTCTGCTACGTCGTTGTATGCAGAGAAATGTAGCCTGCATCGAGTCTGAGACACGATAACGATGGAACGAGGTGAAGACGCTTCACAGTGAGTTAAATGCTTGGAAGGCGAATGTTCAGCGTTCGGCGCTTCAGCTACAGAGGACCAAAATAAGTGGCAGGAATACTTTCAAGCAGATCTGTAGCAAGAGGAAACGATTGGTTTGAGCTTACCAACTTGAAGCAATCTGCCACTGAGCTTGCCACTTGCCACTTGAAGGTCTGCCAACTTAAGCCCCTATCTCATACGGGTTATCTGTATGGTGATGTAGTTTGCTATTGGCAATCGCCATCAGGAAGGAGCAGAGCTCGACCATTTTCGTGGTAGGTTTTTATTATTGATTTTGTTTTTTTTCACATATTACGACAAGTCTCAGAAGCTTCTTCGGAGAGAATGCAATGTTTGCTCCCCCCCCCCCCCCTTGTTGGGGAGATTGATGACGAGGGATTCTCCAGCATCAACGGATCTCAACACCCACTGGATCGTCGTTTCAAGTCTCCAGTCGACTATGCCCTTTACCGAGCCGCAGAGGGTTCTTCTAGTAGTCAAGACTTCGCAAACAGTGGAGGCCATGGTAGAACACCTACGAGATGCATGAAGGGACACTCACCGCTTATATCTGAAACCTAGAAGAACCGTTCCGGAGAAAGTTTTGAATAAGGTATGTAGTTGATGCATATGCATTCAATCATCCATCAGTCCATCGACATTGGGTTCTTGCGGATGCGGCCTTTATATGGCTTCACATAAGACCTACCGGGTGCGATATCTTCTCACGAGAATTCGATATTCATCCGACTTCCACTGGGGACGAGCCCTATATCACCTTCTCGGACGTGGAGAAGCAAGAAAACAATACACGGCCTTTTCGCGCTCTCCTCGCCATGGTACTTACGGCAGGGCTGGGTCCTGAAGTTGAATTACATGCTGATTCACAAGAACCACTTCCACCAATAAAAGAAGAAAACGAAGGGGGCACATTCCTCACTCGGATCTTTTCCGGGTGAGGATCAGAGCGGTAGTTACAGATGCACTGGAGAAGAACCCCCGGCTCCTCATGCAAGCAACCGGGGATGGCAGAACGTATACGGATGACTTATTGGTGAGCTGATGTTCCTTGTGATAGTTACCTCTGTTCTGATTGAAGTCGATTTTTGAAGATTGCCTGGTCCCGACATGAGGTGGGAATGCCTCGTTGGCATTCCTTTCATAATCTGTGGGCTATGCTAATCCGTGCTTGGTACCGGTACAATCGTATTGTCATTGCACCGCTTACTGGGCTCAGGCAGCACAGGGTTTGTGTACCAGGCGGCCCTTGGTGACGATGCGATCTGCAAGGATATCGATTTACGTTCATGTGCTGTGAGGATCGTCGTAAAGGGTACATACGAGGAGAAGAAAGGCTGCCTTGATCACCTGTGCATGGAATTTGAGGTCTATCGCAGGATCTCACAAGCAAAGAGAGACAGGCCACTAGCAGCAGTTATGACACCAAAATGCTACGGTTTATACGCATGCCATGCTTGCGCTAATTCTTGGCTATGAAGGAGAAGCATTCACATGCGAGACATAGGAATCATCATCACCCGCGGACAGGTAATACGGGTCCATCCTTAAATATTTATGTCTGATTAATGTTATATAGGTATCGATATTTGAGCTGTTATCTTGACTCCACAGAATCGGGATCGTACACTCGAACTTTGAGCCACGGAATGTCGTTCTCAGTGGCGCTGGAGTGCTCGAGATCATTGCCTTTTCGTAGGCGGGTTTTCACGACTCTTCAGGCGTCAGAGGGATAAGTCTCGTCTCTGAGTATTTATATAAGAAAGGGTCTGACTTGTGTCCCAGTTGCGAAAGGCTGATCGTAGTCATGAGTGTTCCGAGATCAAGTATATGCGGAAGGGATTGATCGGAAATCAACCCATCGCGTGCGGTGGATTATGACAAAGGCCCACTAATGGGAAGTTTGCGCAGGACAGCTTTGACATTGAAGTTGGCTTGTGTAAGGAGGGGTCATACGTGTATGCCACCTGCTGATCTTTTGACTTCCGATATGGTTCCGGAGAATATCCCATCTTTTAGAGTATTATTATCCGCCTGATTATTCAAGACAAACTTGCATTCAAGTTGAGTTGGTCTCTCATCGTCACTGTTCTAATCTCTAAACAAGCCAACCCTGCTTATTAGAAGTCTTTTTAGTTGCCGTACCTAGCGCCCTTATAGCACTTGCCCATCTACGTCACTACCACCCTCACTCACAAAGTTCTGACTTTCTTCGCTGCCAAGGACATCTCAGGCTCCGACCATCAATCCAGACGCGCACTACCTGACAACCCATTCCGACTTGGTAGCGACGTATATCCTTCACAGCAAGAGAGAGGCCCAGGCAACCGGGCCGCTACTGCTCAGACATCCGCGCTATTTGTGCGTAAAATGCATCAGGAAAAGTTACCAGGGGGCCTACCTCTTGTCTGCTTAGGCCGAGGACGGATGAGGCATTTTCTTTTCAGCAGTGATCCCCCTCTTCAGAAACTCCGGAACAAACAAGGAAATATACTTTTCGTGTCGTATTGAATGGCCTCGTGATCACTACTACGATACTCCTCGGTGGGATGATGACAACAACTTCGCTGCTATACACCATCACATACAATGCATTAGTTAACCCGCGAAATGCTGCCGCGAACATCCTTTGTTCGGAGATTGTGACTAGCTATGGGACTGTCTCCAGCAACTAGTATAAAGCACGCTCTTTGAGTCTGTCTTCAAGTTTCTTCGTCCTCCAAAGTCGTCCTCACACCTCCATACTCAGCAATGTTCGCCCAGCTTATTGCCCTCGTATCCGCTGCCAGTATCGTGAGCACCGTTTGTGCCCACGGTGTCATTTCAAGCCCGCCTCGCCGTCTGGTATGATCATCTCCTTCGAGCTCCGTTTTATTTTGTACTGTTCTTACTCACTCGTGGGTTGTTAACAGCCTGGACCCGCCTTTGAGGCAGCTTGCGGAAGTCAAATCTACAGTATTGTCTCTAGCGACCAGTATGTTTCAAAATTCATATATCCCATGGATGGTATAGTTAATTTGATTTTTACAGGTACGGCAACCAGCAACAGGAAGAGCAGAACATCAACTCTGAGACCACTGTAGGCGTCCTGTCCACAAAAAAAAAACTGAAATGCTTATATATTGACTTTTTATTCTAGTCGGCTTGCGAGCTCTACCTTTGCAAAGGTCTTGAGGTGAATATTCAATTGCCTTGAGCTTCCAAATACGTGTAGTAATTTATTTTATTTTTGCGGAAAACAGTACGCAGACAACACCAACAACGTCCAGCAATTTACTGCCAACCAGGTCGTCCCGATCCAGATCGATCTCCGCGCACCACACACCGGTGTTGCCGTAAGTCATCCTCATATAAGCTCTGCACGATCTTCCTTCTGACCCAGGCCTGTCGAAACAGAACGTCAGCGTCGTCGCGACCGCTTCCAACTCGTGCGCGACTTCCTGCTTAGCTCTATATTACCAAATGCTCATTGCGCTTATAGAGTCATCGCCGGTCCTTTGATCTCCTTCGACCCGGCCTATTCAACATCCACAGCTATCCCTGCCAACCAGACTTCGTTCTCGGTCACTATTCCTAACCTCAACGGTCAATGCGCGACTGCAGGAGAATGTGTCCTTCAATGGTGGTGGGATGCTAGGTCTATTGACCAGACGTGAGTTCTGGCCCCTCAATTTAAAGTCGAGTCAATCATAGCTGACTATGCGATGTCTTTTTCCCTTCTTTTTTATATAATAAAATAAAATAAAATAAAAACAGCTACATGAGCTGTGTCGACTTCACCCAGTGATCAAAAGTCAATTTATGCACAGTCGTCCGGTCACGGATTTATTGGATGTATTTCTTGTTATTTTGATACAATGGTTTCGCCTGTATAGGCCTTGTGAATATATTTGAAATGTTTTATGAGTGTATCAAGAGCTTCGGCTGTTAATGTAGAAGTCATGTTGACAGATTTGTGAATTGAGATTCCAACATAGTGTATGCAATAACTGGCAGAATAGCCCCTGTGCATAATAACGCCATAAGGATCTCCTTAAACCGAACGAATTCATACTGGTAATCGGATAATGTCAGGATCACTCTTCATCAATTGAAAAAATATCTGGAACGTTTCCACCAGCCAAAGTCCACGCATAATAGCACAGTACAAGTAGATATACAGTACCAGTATAAGACGACATGCAACGTATATCATTATCTCATTAACGACGTCTCTCGACCCCTCTCATCACACTATTGAAGTCTTCAAAGTAGTTCGAATAGTATGTACTGTAACAAATGAACCAATAATTAATTATCTACGTCGAAACAACTTCATTCAGTTGAGAGCGAGGAGCATCTTTCTCGGGTCTTCGATGTAGTCGCGCACTTTCACTAGATAGGTTATCAAAAGTAAGCCAGTGTTAATAAGACAGATATGGAAAGAAACGAACCTAAGAACGTGACTGCCTCCCGACCATCCAAAAGCCGATGATCATAAGTGAGAGCAACAACCATGATGGGTCTGATGACAATCTGCCCATTGACCACCACGGGCTTCTCCTTGATCGAATGCATACCTAGGCGCAGATGAGAATAAGAACCAATCGAACATTATTACTAGTCATAATACGAACCCAAAACGGCTGCTTGAGGCAGGTTAATTATAGGTGTTCCGTATAGCGATCCAAAGACGCCTCCGTTGGAGCTAAAGGCAAAAGTTAATTGATTGCCGAATCGCAGCAGCGAAAAGAACCAATCTCACATGGTGAAGGATCCACCAGCCATATCTTCAAGAGTGAGTTTACCATCTCTAGCCTATCGTCGCGAAGACGTTAATATAGCTTGTAGACTTCATGAAACATATTTACTTGCCTTCTTGCCGAGCGATGCAATCTCTTTCTCGATCTCGAGGAAGCCCATGCCTTCTGCATTACGCACAACGGGGGTGACCAACCCTTTTGGTGTAGCCACGGCGACACTGAGATCGACATAGTCACGGTAGATGATCTCATCACCCTCGATCGAAGCATTCGCAGCAGGGATCTCCTTGAGTGCTAATGTGCAGGCACGAGCGAATGCACTCATGAAACCTAGTTTGACGTCATGTTCTTTCAGTACCTCGTCCTTGTACTTTTTCCGCATTTCCATGAGAGAAGACATATCGATCTCGTTGAAGGTCGTTAGCGAAGCAGCCGCATTCTGAGACTCCTTTAGCCGCTCGGCGATGCGCAGACGCATACGGTTCATCTTGACCTAAAAAAACGGGGCAATTTCAGCACTAAATTCACTGAATGCCAATATGAAAGCCGTACCCTGGTCTCATTCCGGCTTCCAGGAGCTTTAGGAGCAGCAGCAGACGATGGTTTTGGCTTCTCAGCCGCGGTGCCTTTAGACGGTGGAATGTCTTTGCCCTTGGCCACATCCTTCTTCACCTCCTTGGGTCCTTCAGGGGGGATACCGCCGCTCAGCTTGTCCTTTCCGGAAGGTGGAGGATGCTCTGAAGGCTTCTTATCGACTTGTTGATCCTTTGGCTCTTCAGGGTCTTTCACTTTACTCTCTTCTGCGAGTTCCTTCGGCTCTTCGGAAGTTTCCTGCTCTTTTGGTGAAGGGCTGGAAGCTACCCGGTGTGATGTTATTGGGCAAGTCACAACTTCGGATCAAACGAAACTTACTTTGGCCACCTTCGCCGACCTCAATCCTGAATAAATCTTGGCCAACAACGACAGTGTCATCTTCCTTCGCCAAGAGCTCCACAATCTTGCCAGCTTTCGATGCATTTACCGTGACGTCAATCTATCAAGAGAGCATTTATAAGTCACCTAGTCTATACGACTATACCAGCCATATGGCAGGCCTAATTACGCGACAAACTGGGAGTTTGACGGTTGTGGAATAGTTATAACATACCTTATCGGTCTCAATAGTCGCGACTTCCTCGTCAACTTCAACGCTATCTCCAACTTGTTTTGACCACGATCTCAAAGTACCCTCAGAAATGGACTCTGCCATTTGTGGAACTTTGATGGTCTCAGCTGAATATTACATCATTGTAAAGGCAGAATTTCGCGTTAAATTCAGTACTGTTGAAATACGTCATGATACGAAGATACGAACCTTGCAAGAGATGCGTTGAATGAAATTGAGCGCATCTCATATGTGACTCCGCAGTCCTCCTGCAACATAACAGACACGTCAGTGAACAAATCCAACACTGCTGTGAACGTGGCCATAGACTACGCACCATCCTTTCGACATGACCAGGGCACCTGCACGTTGTACATGTTTCCCAGTGAAAAAAGCACGATTCCGCGCTACTGCGATGACCTGTTTTGAAAGCATTGTAGAAAAGTAAACCAATGTGGGTGTGACCAGCAGCTGGCAATGGTGCGTGCAACGGACACGTCTGAGGATGATATTGGAGTAAAATTGGGAGACGGGTGTGATGTATATAACAATGGACCCGCGCCACCGCTGGCCGGGGTTGTATTTGGGCTCATTTGCCCGTCCTCACCGAAAAAAGCCGAGCTCTCAGTTGACGACCAGCATCCTTAAAAAAACTGAATATTGGGATGAACCCTTTTCACTTTCACGCCAATGGGAACCTTTCCTGTCCAATGCGCTGGCATGAACAGCCAACGCTGATATGTCAAACCGTCACCATCTTTCCTTCTCAGGTATTCAAGTTCAAGCTGGCATCAAACGCGAGCTTATACGGTAGGAGACAAGGCGCTCTTCACGTCTGTTGCGCGGAGTCGCGTATATCCCGAGTCTACCCACTCGTCACCATCGCCTCGTCGTGACTACGGCCGAACACAACGTCTGGCATTTCTTATGAGGACGGGCCGTGGGCTACCTATCTCAGCTTTTAAAAGCACAGGCACCAACAAGGGTACTGCATACACGCACCGAGACGGTTCCCAGTATTGGTCATGCACCAGGTCGAGATAAACCTGAAATTTCTTCTATCCCTTGGACCCACAGAACCTGCCATCCACGAGGTTTTATCGGACAGGGGGTATTCCAACCATTTCTTCGCAATCATCCTTCTTTGGTCAACTTCGGAGCTCCATCTACCACTGGCAGTGCAAGTGAGGTCCGACATCAGCCGAGCAAGAAACTATTCAGAACTGCTCAGTAGTTCTGGCATGGTACTTTTCGCCAGATGAGCCTGCTCTGGCGTTCTCAGTTCCAGCTTAGAGGGTGAACGTGATGGTAAAAGCGACCAACCACCAATGCGCTCTGCTCCATGTTATCCTCTGTTCTACCTCGCTCAAAAGTCCCAAGCCTATATGAAGCTGATGTATTATGAGTGGTATATATATGTAAGTAAAGGCATGGATAAATACGCAAGTACCATGTATGAGTAATGTGTTGTCAAAGCATACGTAGCTGTCAAAGCATAGATAAGTCTTGTACTTACGGAAATATGGATACAAAGAGAAAACTTTCAACAACGCAGCAGCTGTACAAATATTACACAAAGCGTCAATTCAAAGCAGCGATATCCAAAAAAAAAACCATTAGATTCAGAATGAGAGTGCGACATGAACCGGAGGCGATCACGCTATATCTGGAGCTTCAGGAGGGACAAATGACACCGATCCTCCAAATTGAAATCCGTCTTCTTCCGTGGTAGGGCTTAGTGTCAGTGGCTGCGACGTGTATTCTCCATGGGGAAGGGAGCTATCTGTGCGGAAAACCATGTCAGCTAGTGTCATAGAGCGTGGTGTCGACGTGTAGGGCATAGGTTGTTCCACCAAAGGTAAGATGCCGCTGTCGCCTGGGCGGAATTCGCGACTGGATGTCCAAATTCTAACGGCACCATCGTGGCTTCCAGTCGCAAACATGAATGGGTTGTCGGCAGCGTGGTTCCAGGCTATACATGTTAGATCACCACCTAATGCTTGAGCTCGGACATGGTGGAGCAGAACAGCAGATTCTCGATCCCAGATGTGTATATCACCGGCTGTGAAAATATATCAATAACAATCTAGACTGGTTGATTATTTGGAGCACATACCCTTCCCAGCGCAGAGTACCAGCTGATCGTCCTTACCTCCGAAGTAGCTAGGACCAGCAAAGTCAACAGGCACATTTGGCATGTAGGTATGTCGTAGCGTGAGTCGGGCAGTCGTCACTGTATTATCCATTTGTCCTCTGATCATTTCTAATTTCCAAAGTTGTGGAGGAGCCTACTAAGACTTGAGTGACAATAGAAAACTCAAAGAAACGCCGACTGACCTTGTTCTCATAAGATACCAGCGCTACAAGGCCACTGTGAGCTAGCGTTATATGCCGCACATCGCTGAGCACAGGTGTTTGACTAAAATAGATATATCATCAACATTTATCCATCCCAAATTAAGATTATCACTCACTTCTCGACCTGCTTTGTTTCCATGTTATACACTGTAATTACATATGGTTAGAGCACCATCAACAACAATGACATAGACACCTACCTAGAAGCTGCTTCTCTACTCTGGATTTACTAGGTTGTAGTCCACTCGGAGAAGTTAACAGTGGTCCAACGCCAAGCAACCGTTGAGAGTCAGGGGTGACAGCGATATCATGAAACATCATCCTTTGAAATCCATAGACATCCAATACCTTGATCGCCGAAAAGAATTCTAGAAATCATAAACGAAGCACAAACGCTCACTCACTTTGCCATCGAGGTCCTATGGTAAATGTGAGTGAAAGATTTGGAATATAGAGATGGTAACTTACAAGCTTGATCACTTCACTTCCCTCGACAGACAGGAATGCTTCTTCAGATTTGCCTCAGTACTTAATCGAAAGCTCTATGCGAAGTCGAACGCACCTTCACCCCCAGGAAGCCAGGCTATAGACTGTACAGCGCGGTGACGGTCTATGGTCTTCTTACAAACTCCTTCCTGTGAAAGGTGGCGTGGATTTGAACAATTAATATATTCACATCAATAAAGAGTATATGCGCATTAACCCACCTCTGTCCAAACTTTGATACCACGATTGAGCTTTGTGAGTAGAAGGTGACCTGTAGGTGACCTACAATGAACGACAGTACTAAGCATACGCACAATTTGAGGATATAGTAGAAAATATACCAGGCTACTTGACTAACAAAGCCTTGGGCATGCGCAAGGGTACGATGAGAAGCGTGAGGATCCTATTGAGTATCAGCTACAGTAATCTAGACAAGCTGCGGGAAACTTACCCCGATACGGAATATGACAGACGTTCTGTCCCAGCTGAATCAAGCATTTAGTTTATGTTAGCCAAAGGAGACCCAATAATGTACTTGGACACAAAGCAAAAAGCCATACCTGGATGTTGCCAAGAATTTACCATTAGGTGAGAACTGTAGATGTCTAACAAGAGCCGTGTGAGCAACCAAGTCCTGTGTAGCTACTAAGCTCTTGAGTTTTGGGATCAAAGTAGCGACACGAGATCCACGCATTGACATGGAGGGTTCCAAAGAGGTCCGACCACGAGATATGTCAGATCCTTTTCCTGTTAACGTCGACGACATCGTCCGTTGGCGAGGCGCAAAAGGTCCCATGGGAGCGGAAGCTGCTTGTAACATGATGACGGACCGAATGGCATGTGTGAGACGATCCCTGGGGCTAGGAGGACATTCAGATGCCTGATCACTTTGCTCTGACCCCGGAGAACCAGGGCGTGAGCACACGTCAGGGGGCCCAAATGACCCAATATCATCATGGCTGGTTTCCCTCACAGGAGATAGCGGCTCGGGCGTACGAGAGATGGGCAAGATCGAGTTCCCCGTCAACTTCTCCTCTGCTTTCTCTGTACCTGGTGTCAGAAGGCTGGCTGTTAGTGAAGGCATTCTGCGAAGCGAGTGACCCGCCGCACGTAGGCGCCCGTTGCTCCATGAGAAGGCAGACTTCAGAACTACAACAATGCGAAGGTGAAAAAAGTGCGATGATGAGTCAGTTAAGACATCTGAAAGCCACTTTTGACCGCGGTGGTGAACGAAAATCCATTTTTCAGAAGCAAACCATGCCGATACGGCTGCGAGGCCGAATGAAGTAAACGCGGTGAACACTGTGGTGATAGTGGAGGTAACGCGCCCCTAAGAAATAATAACATTCAGTATGTGGGACATAACATTACAAATGGCAATACTGGAGCTACCTGATTCGAGGAATACGTGAACAGCACGAGCCCAGCGGAGAAGCAGGCCACGGACATCACAAGAAACACAAGAGGAGAGCGTTTAATCCATATCAGCACCCACCAAGGGACCCGATGACCAGGTGACCTACTGTGTGGAGTTCAACGGCAATCAAAAGAGCACAACATGACATACTTACTACATTGCTTGCTTCCAGGTAAGGCCAAGTAAACTGTTCACGGCAGCCGCTATGCTAAAAACCAGAGAGGAGAACCAAAACGCATTGACCGAGTCCGAGATCACATCACCAGTTTGGCTATACGAGAATTGAAGGGTAGTGGCCGTGACAGCAGAGAAGAATGTCGCAACAGTAGAGAGATTCAGTAAGTTAGAAGCCCCGTGCTTTTGTGCGAAGCGAATAGTAGGGACACCTGATTTTCAACGTTAAAATAGTTTGAGAAGTGTGTATGACGACGAACCAATCTCAATGAACATTGACATGGTACTGCTGATGCTATCAATATGTTCCCCCATTTCCGCGGTAAGATCGTGGATATACCGCTGTACAGCAGGATATTTGAATTGTCCTATAAGCCTTGAGTCAACACAATTAGTAACAAGACGGGGTTAACCGTACCTTTGTATGCTTGAAGACAAGATGCCCAATACTAAAAAAACAATTATATCTACGAGTATAGTCAAGTCTCTTCAACTCACCATTAGATCACCTTCAAAAGATCGTATGGAAGCATTGACAGCTTCATCTGTGAATTCTGGAAACTCGTTAAGGCAATTTAGAAACGTCATAACATCGGTCGCAAAGCTCTGGAGCTGCTCTGGGAAAAGTTCTGAATCCAAAGTATCATCCACGACGGGCCGTCCCACACCGGGCGGTGTCTTTTTGCGGCGAGCAGGTTTCTTTCGCCGATCCATGATATTCGGATTAACCAGAGATTCGCGAGGTTGACGTGAGACTTTACGAGGGAATAAATTCGCTGCATTTTCCCGAAATAAGAAGAGGATTTGAGCTAGGCGTTCCCGCAGACGGAATGCAGATGAGAGAATGCCGACTGAACTACCCAGTTGGCGAGATGCGTTGGCAAAATTCCTGAGCTATGGAACTTTAGGATATACCGAGCTGTATCTGAAAGCTACACTTACCTCTTTATCCAGATTGTTTACCTTCCTATTAGAAGTGAGGTAGTGGCAATAGGGCGAGATGAAACTGGCTTACTTCTGAAATCTGTTGAACGACTCTGCTCCAGCTACTTGCAGGTGCTCGTCGACGGTAGCTGGGAAGGTGCATTTGCTAAATCCTTGTTGTTAGGTGTCTCTAAAGACTATACACTCACGAACATCTCTATCATCCTCGAAACTTGGACTCTGGTTCAGATCTAAACACTGTGATTGAGCCAGAACAAGATATATGATGATAAGGACACCTGCCAGTGACATACCTCGACCGAGCACGTCGTCTTGACTTAACTCGTGCAAAGCATCAAGAAGACTGAGAAGAGTTTGCTTGCGCCTTGAGTCTAGCCTCGGGCTTTCGCTGTAAACTGGTGCCATAGTTTCTGCGAGAGTAGAGCCGAAATCGTTGAGGTGACTTGCAGCGAGGGGTCCGGTAGCTAGCGAGTATTTGAGAACGTTGCCCGGTTCAAGGAGCACAAGTTAGGACGCACCACGAAACATGGTCGGCTCCGTCTAGTTGCCGCACAGATGAAAGATCCTCCGAAGATACGAATCCCGTCCCGGTCGTTGTGGTTGATGGCAACCAAGAAGTTAGATGCGATGAGGAAGTGGTAAATATACGGTCTGTGGTAAAGCAGCAGAGAAACGTTGAGAACACACGCCAGATACTAAATACTTGTTGGGATAAAAGCTGTAGGCTCCCAGCCTGGACTGCATGCCGCTGGGTTTAGGCTGCGGGAAAGGCCAGGGTCCTGCTTCTCATTACTTCTTACTTCTTAACGTGGGCGGCAAAGTTGCCATAATGATGAGAGTGGTGATGAAAGTTGGGACAGAGCCTTGGCCGATGGGCATCGGCATGGAGGTATGATCATATCATATGTCAAGATACCCAAATACGAGGATCCAAATAAAAGCCACTCTGTACCTTTCACCATTTGCAGCCTCTCTTCTTACCAGCCTCACGTCTGAGCGTAGCCTGCCATTCGGTGATCGTATTCGGACGAGCCAAGCCGTCTGTGAAGCCAGTCCCATCCGAGCCACGTGCCCTTACATGCGAACGCTGTCAGGCCTTTTTTTGGTCTGTTTTCCTCAAGCGACGGCCCCGTAAAAATATTGCATCCAAATCCTGTCCTATGGCGACTCTGACCCGTCCCCAGCACTCACAACGCGACTCCAATACACTCAGAAACTCTGTTCCAGATCCTTTTCCATCACGCGCAGAAAGAGAGCGTTTTTTGCAGGACGACTTACTCGAGGAGCTCGCTCGAGAAACAGTCGAATATGAACTACACGAGGATCGTATTTCTCAAGTTGCAGAGTCGTCGCAGGCCGTCAGCTGTTCAAAGGATCGCACATCTTTGGTGAGCACCCTTGTTTCTCGCGCATATACCCAGCATACTCATTCACAAACACCCATCTAGCTGGATATCATGCCTTCGATCTCTTACGTTCAGAGATCTTGTCTATTGACCCTCAATAACCTGCTGTCCGGCTCCACAAATTGGCAGCCAATTGTTCCAGACCGCCGACATTCAATGCCGCCGCAGTCAATCTCCGTGTCTGCCGGCAGCCCTCCGCAGCCATCCTCTGCACTGCATACGCTAGTGATGAATCTACGAACAAGGGATGGGGAACACGCTATGGGAACCATCGAATCCATCGATGATGCAACGTTGTTCTGCGAACTTCGCGTGCGAGTAGAAGCTATAGCTCCCTCTTTGGATGAGTGCGATGCATATCTCGCTCAGCTGCTCGTCTCCCTCCTCTCTCACTTCAATCAATTGTCGCTTGTGTATTCCACATCAACAGCGAATCATGATATGGCAAATCTTTCCGGTCCAGCTTCCGTAGAAGTCAGGACTACTGCTGATTTACTCGATACTCTCGAGCGCCAACTCAGCGACTTTCAGGTTGAGCGACTATCAAAACCTGATGTGATTAGAGCCGGCTCGCCTCCCGTCCAGGTCGTAGAAACTGCCCTTCTTTGGTCAAAAATAGATGATGAACTGGAAACTGTCTTGTCGATGTGCAAGAACCGTACAAACAGCCTTCATCCGCTATCCGCGTTCGATCATCTCCCTCCTCAATACGATTACAGAGACTACGAGTTTGATACTCCTCCTGAGTACGATTCGGATGCCCGCGCATCTATGCATGTACCGGAGATAAAGGTTCCCTCGCAGTCGATCAGTCCAGTTGCGCCGAGCGAGAAGATGCGGCTGGACTTCGAGGCAGTGACTATGGCCATTGATCGACTATATATGGTTGCCCCGCAGCTACACAACCAACGGGTCGAGCTCAAAACAGCAAAAGTAGAACAGATGGAAAAAGCAAGGCGTGAAGGTAGCCGGTCTGCCCTCTTGAAAGGAAAGCAGAAGGGCCCGGATCTGACCGACTTGGAGGACATGCTGGATTTACTAGGCAAGGCTTCGGACCGTAGGTTGATAGATCAGTCGGTCATTCTAGATGGACCGATAAAGGTGAGACTGGAGAAGGCCCGTCAACAAGACCGAGAACAAGTAAGCTGGTTCTCGACATGTTGATTATCTAATATTTATAATTATGCCATAGCGCGACGCCTTCGTGGAGAAGCTTATGCAGCACTCAGAGTCAGGTCGATATCACACTCAGGACGCAGTGCTGCAAGTCCCAAAAGTTCGAGATTTGAATGGTCTTGTAAGCTTACCGGAGTTTATTCGGGAGTCCATGCCGCAAGAAGCAAGGGTACTCGGAGTGGACGCCATTGCACGATCGTCGTCGGAAGTTTCGTCGCAGGCTTTAGCAAATGAAGTTGCAGTTCGGAAGAAAGGATCACGCAACCGAAGCATGTCAGCACCATCTTTGTCCTGGCTTCGCCCATCCTCCAGATCAGGACATCCCGCAGATTCAAAAACCAAGAAGAGTCCTAGCCGACCAGGCTCATCTGGGAAAGGATCCTCGAGGCAAGGTGTGTGATACTTAGCTGATAAGTTGGTAATTTATGTCCTCGCTCATGAATCGATTTGTATAGCTGCTTTGGATATTTCTTACATTGCCGAACATCATGAAACACTGCAACACGTTCTGGTCTTCGTCTCGGTTGGGGGCCTGGCATCGAACACCGATCTCAGCGCAGAAGTGCTACCAACAGTAGAAAGTGGCACGGAAGGCGATCTACTTATCATAAGGAATGATGCGGTATCATCGCCTCCACTTACTCTCCCTGCGCGCATAGCTTCGGGTGTCCAAGATATTAAGCTGCGGAATGATTACTACGAGCTGAAGCTGAGCGTCGTTTCTACATCCCGGTCCCAATCCTACGACGACCGAACATCCGCCCCGCTCATGGATGCGACTCAGTTATCTTCTCTAAAGCCAACTAACTTTATTTGCACTTCCTGCTCTCTTCCACTCGTGCATTCATCTGCCATTGTAGAGTATAAGGATCTACCTTCAGAGCATTGGGAAGAATTAGTTGATGCCTGGATGTGCCATACTGATCAAACGCTACACGAGCAAATTACCAAACATGGTCGTGGATTCTGGCCAGAACAGGGACAAGCACTGGTTGGTGGGAGTTACGTTCTCTTCGAAGACACATCCGTAGTGAAAAGTACTATAACGACAACGGAACGACCCAAGGTAGGCACACACCTTTCCTATTTTCCTTTCGCTTCATTCTACCTCGGGCGACTAAGAAGACCGGCGTTGGGATTCTACCAACGGCGATCGTTTAAGTAATCGATACCCTCACTTTGTTGATATATTAAACCCCTTTGTTGGGTTTAGTAATGTCACAGACTGTTGTGGTGCGGTTACGATGCGAGAGCATTTCGGTTGATACAAAGCGCCCAATATCGACAACGTTTTACGTTGGTTTCCTCCAAGAAACAACTCTCGTGTTGCAGAGGTACACGCCTCGGGAGCTACCCTTGAGGGCACAATTTTAATTAATGTTTTCTCTCTTTCACGTGATTTCCGATTCCAACGCTTACATTGTGTCTGTCATTCAGAGAGCCGAAGATTGGCGTCTAGTTCGCTGCATGTGTGGTGCCATGGTTGGTCGATGCCAAGAACGACATGAAGATGGTGGGGTCATTACTATGTATCGCCTGCTGAAATATGCCATCCGACCTGTTAGTCCTACCGCTAAGTGAGTTTTTTCCGCTTGCATGTCTGGACTTTTGCTAATACCTTGATCAAAAAGACCACAAAGAGTACCACTATCTGCGTTCATCGTCGAGGATATGTCCGAATATGTTCAAGCTCATGCTACTTATCGATTTGTGATATCAGATGAGGAGGATGAGCGGCCAAGGCTTTTAGTGAGTTTCATTTTTCATGCTCCCGTCAGCCTAAGTAATCATATACCTTGGGTAGATGTGGCTATTCAAGCCGAGTATTCGGCTATCTTATATGTTACCTACTGAGTATTTCTTGAAAAAGAATGGGTCAATACATGCGGCCAAAGTTTTATACAAGGTCATTCGTCCATCTACGAAATCTACGGACTTGAAGGAGTAAGGAATACTTCTACCAACTGTTCTTCATATCATTTACTGATGCTTCTTGTGGTAGTTTGTTGAACAAATATCCTGGATTCCCTCAAGCAGAGTATCTGTTTTATCCCTTGGATATATGTCGTCGGTTAGCGGGCCTGCTACGAGAGAGCACACGCTCTTATCCGGAAAGTATGAGAACTATGACTGGGCTGGACGTAGGATGGTTACATCGTGCTTGAATACAACAACAGAGGTTTACTCCATTCTTCTTTATTACCTGATATCTTGGGCGTGCTGCTCATAATGACTGTCACAGCCATACAAACGGATTTTTTTTCTAGATCTTGCCAATCATCCTTTTACACACTATCTCATCGCCCATAATGTTATATTAGCATATGAATTTGAATGTTCGCCTGGGTTTTTTGTGCATAAAGAGTGATCAATTTAAACCGAAGAAACAAGAAATACAAAGTACGTCCAAGATGAAGAGAGCAGAACGACAGCAGCCCGAGCCAGCCGGGATCACGAAACAACCTCCTTTTCCTTCCCTTTCCGTGACGGCGGCGGGGCCAGCGCGAGGTTTGGCGAACTTGCCATTGCTGCAGATGTGTATGAAGCAAGGCGCCTTGTACCTTTGGCGGCAGATGGGGACGACAGTTGACCATAAGGACTGCGAGTAGGGCTACTTGGTACGGAGTTATTCGACCTTGGCCTTGTTGGCGATTCACCCTGGTTCGCCTCTGTAAGAAGAAACTCGACCCATAACCGAGAGAACGACTGGTCATATAAAATTATTAGGACGAGCATTAATGTATATGTTTGCTGACACGTTACCTCAGTCTCGTCCGTCTTCTCTAGGTCGCTGCCTGGGCTCTTTGTTGGAGAACCCACATTTGACGGACGCCCCCAGAAAGAAGTTGTGCCCGAGGGTTGTAGAGTAGTTCGCTGTAATCCTGCTTTCTCTCGCTCCGCATCGGACCAGGACAACACAGTTGATAATAGTGAGAGCATTTCGAAACGTTTGGGATCCGCCCGGGGGGTAGCGAGAAATGACAAGAGAACGTTGGTGACGAGACGTCTGTCAACATTAGTATCTGAAGAGTTCCGCCGCAGACGTCTCAAAGCTTCCATCAAGTGTTCATTCAGGATGACAGCTATGGTATACATGTTCATAACGTAAAACAATAGGGATGGTGAATAGTGCGAACCTTCATGACGTAGCTTTCCTATGAGTAGATTCTTCTCCTTAGTTTCTTTTTCTAGCTCTTCTATTCGTGAAGCGCTGCCAGAGTTTTCTTCCAGTTTAAGCTGCCAATGGATAAGCTTAACCTGATACTATAAAACGATACAGATAACACACTAACTTCAGCATCAAGTGCTCGACGCTTATACTCGGCAAGAGAAAGTGTGACTTCATCCAGCTGATCTTTGAAGTCTCTGACAGCTTGGTTCAACTCATGCTCCTTTGCTGCTGAAAGTGAGCTAATAATATATGCCGGAAGCAAAAACACCGTACCGGCTTGGAAATCTTCGAGCACAGACTGCAAGTTGTCTGACCTGATCCGTGCTTCCTCAAGTTCTATGGACTCTCGTTCTCTTGCTTCTCGTTCTAGTTCCATCTCACGCCCCAAGGTGTCTGCATTCAATTTCGCTTCGTCCGCTATTACCTTTTCTTGCATCGCCAGTCGCTCCCACTCGTCACGCTCTATGCGACACCGTTCTAGCTCACCCGTTGCCTCTCTAAGCTCACGCTCTCTCAACAAGCTTTCTTGCGCATTGTCATTAAGCACGCGGCTTCGCATAGAGTCCAAGTCTCGCGCGGTCCGTTCCGACTCTTCGTGAGAGGCAATCAACTCAGCCGTGAGTGTCTCGACCGTGGATGACAGGTCATTGTTCCGAGCAGATAGTTCGTTTACTTGCTGTTCCCTCCTATCAAGTTCTTCCTGAGACAGCCTTCTCAGAGACCTGGACATCAAATTAAAAGGTTAAGACGTACAGCATCTTGCTTTAACTTATTGCCGAGCGATGTCCGCATGGTAGTCAACTTGGCCAGTAAGTTGTGATACTGGGCTGAGAGCTTCTCCTTTTCATCTTTTTCTCGTCGTAGCTCTTGTTGTAATCTTTGTATTGGATCGAGGGTATCGTCTTCGCTGTGTGTGACTCCATTGGTAGATCCATTAAGTGCAACCGGCGGGGATGAATTCGAGGTGCTGCGGTCGCTGTCTAAAGACACTCGGCCATCAGTACTGGCTGTTTGGGCCAATGGTGGAGAAAAGGGTCTGAAAGACCATTTGGCGTCGCTCCTTGGGAGGTTTTGAGTACTCATGAAACGAGATACTGGCAGAAACACTGGGACGAGGACAGAGAACAGAGCCGCTGTAGGCTCGGAGCGATGGACGAACGGCCCAATTTAGTGAACACTGGTACTTCCTGAAATGGAAGCCACGTGCTCTCAATATCGGGTGGCTGAAACGAAAAAGTTGGCTGCACACCTTTTGCAGTTTCAGACCACTCCGAGTCACTCCTTGTTCCTCTATCCTGTATTTTAGTTCAGCCTTCCCAGTGCAGTGCTTTCCTAACCATATATTCCTGAACTTTGGCATAACCTATCCGTTGTACTGCCAGCAAACGAGTTGCAAGTGTACTTATACCCATAAGGATACTTGCAGACTGGTGACTGGCTTCTACTTGTATACCATGACTGTAGCTTTACTCCAGCTCCCGCTCGAGTTGTTATGCCATGCCTTGATATTCTTGCCCTCTCGCGATATCTTGCGTGTATCTGTGGTGAGCTTTCTGATTCCCGTTTCTTTATTGACGCCATAATACCGAGACCCCGCAGACATGTAAATACTTCAAGGCCGCTGTCGACAACTCCCCACGCCTACAGTATATCCTAGACCTCGCTTTTTATCAAATGGTCTCAGCAAAATCTTTGGAGTCTGGATCCTTCATATCGACGCGCAGCAACCTTCTGCGGGGCCGCGAACATGCGTGGAAGCACATGAAGTATAAGAAGAAGTGCACTCTTCCAATACCTCAAACAGGCCATGTTTACGAATTCGCTGGTGGGATCTACGGAAATGCAACTGGTAGCTTGATCCATTTTGTGAAACTTCCCACTGCAGAGAATATGCAATCTATGCGTGGCTGGACCCATCCCACCACATCGTGGATACTGGTTGATTTTACATTCTCTCCAGCTGACGATCTCCTCGTCGTTGTGGCACACCCAGAGTCAGAGTGAGTTTCCCTCCCCATCCGCCTGAACATCTCATTGTTATGGAATAGGGAAGCGCATGCGTATGATATCCATCTGAGAACTTTATCGACAAACGAAGCCCATCCTCGTGCTGCATCGTCGACGCTGCACTCCATCAACAGGTCACTAATCTCCCATGAATTCTCCGAGCCAGCGAGTGCTATAAAGGTTCAAGTCGTTGGAGACTTCGTCGCCCTCCTTTGTCGAGATGTATTGCTCCCTACTTACGAGCTTGGTGCTTCTCTACAAATTTGGAATTGGACGGAAAAACGGGAAACAAAAGTAATTCATTGTCTACTTATTTTGCAAATATCTCATTCCACTTCAGATTACAAAAACGTTTCTAGATGGCATCGATGACTTTTCCTTCCTTTCGAACAACGCATTCCTTGTTCTCACTGTCATTGGAATAATCGAACTGTATACCTTTCCTGAAGATCTTTCAGGGCCTCCTAAATGTACCGGGAGATATGCGCTACCCGAACTGAAGCAGGAGTACATTTACTCATGCACTTTCATGAGCGGTAATCCTACGCCAGGATCTGGGGTTCCTTGCTCCGGAGGCGGCCAACTCGAAGATGGTCAGCTGTTCCAACCTGACCCCGATAAACAACTTCTCGTCTTTTTTGTCTCCATCATCTCCCAATCTGACATGGAAGAAGCCCAGAGCTTCATCTTTTTCGTCGACCTCGTACATTTTTTCCAGCAAAATACTGTGACTAAAATCCTGCTGGCCGACCCTGAGCTGGAAAATATGCCTGTCCCGTGGTCAGTCTGGGGTCTCGAGCACACGCGTTGGTTCCCCGAGAGCGAGGCAACGGACTGGCAACACGCTCTTTATGGGTACAAAGCCGTTGAAACGATCAACTGCGATCCGACGAATCAGCTCTCGCAGGAGCCCCGAAGGTTACGAATTCGGGATTTTAACCCAAATGTTCTGAAGGATAATCAAAGAGAAAATAATAGTGGTTGGAAGGGGCACATAGTGACGGGTTCGCTCGTGGATGGAACCAATTTGCCCTTTGCGGAGCCTCTAGGTGCCGGTCTACCTTACAGGGAGATTGTTAGTGAGGAAAAATTTAACGTTACCGAAGTAATGATGGATGATTGTAGGATTCTGTTGTTGAAGGTAAGTTCATATGACCTTTATCGATTTCCTCGGCACTTACATTGCGATCACATTGTTCCCGATTTCAGCGCGAGGCAGGGGGAGAGCTCAAGAGTATAGACGTTCTGATGATGTAGTAAGGAGGAAATACAATGAATTGGGTCTGTGTTAAAAGATAGCGCTGTAGCCATAAATACTCTACATGAGAAAAACAAGATGAAATCCACACTAATACAAATCTGTTGTAAGAAAGCCGGCCCTTCATAGCTTCGTGGAGCAATAAAGATCACTCAGCATCTTGAAGTATCTATCTGTGTATGACGATAGGTCAGCTTTATAGAGAGAAGTACTGGGGATCTCATACAAGCAAGTGGAACTCGTTCGCCCATTCTGTTTAGTGCAATTCTGTAACAGACATAATTATGAGCTGGGGGACTACGATCAAAAAAATTACGAACAATACAAATTCAAGCTCTGTTTGAAGGTTTCCAGATTGCTCTGCACTCTTGGCATCCAGTGCTGCCTTGTAAAAACGCGCCAACACACGGCCAGCGAGGAACCAACAAAACTACAGCATGTAGAGCACGTTCACTCCTTAGTAACTCGTAATATAGGGATAGGGTCAACTTCATGACTAACCGGACAAAAGTAATCCAAAAGACCCATATCGTAGTTCGTTGACCATGCACCATAAAGGAGGTCGAGAATTCCCCGGGCGGCTATTAGAATTTTTAAGGCAGAAGTACAACCGGCATGTTCGACCTCAGCATGTGGGTCGTGGAGAAGAATCATAGAACTAAGAATCATGAGGTTTAATACGGAACAGCTGTATGATCTAAACGTACACATGGGGAACAAGAGACGTTGTGTATAGCAGTGAGTCCACGCCGCCATTCATGAAAGGGTCTTTTAAATGAGATGGAATCGATGCTTTAAACACGGCAATGAGTTCGTCAAGCTCCATGAACCCAGGTGCGGTACGGGCATCAAGGTTATTGAACATGGAATCTCTCGAATAACCATGCGTAGGAGTTGCAGCAATATCACCACAATGATGCCTGGATCGAAATCTGTGGTTAAAATTCTTGACACGCGATAACAACATTGTGCTCTTGATGTACAGAACGAAGGAGTCGGTTTGGTCTGGAGGATGAAGAATTAGCATTTCTTTGTCGTGTGACCACTGTCGGTCTTCTGGGGCTATGAGCGCCTAATCGACATCAATGAAAGATATGCGCGCCCCTGGAGTACAATTCAACTTACTCCTGTTTCAAAGTTATCTCCCCGAACTGGAAGTAGCTGAGAAATATCTTGATCGTCAAGACTAAGAGCCCAACCTGTCCCGGATCCATGTTGACGATCTATAGCGTAAGCTAACCAGAACGTATTCCGCCTCATCTCATCTTCCACGACATCGCGAGCAGGTGGTACTATTGATAATGACCGCAAAGTTTTCGATATGGATTGGAATGGAGGGCAGACATTTAATCCCAAGGGTACTGCAGTCCGCATAGAGTGCCCGGACCCGGTAAAAAGCTGCAAAAAAGATTGGTTGGAGTAGGTGATACCAGATCAAAAAATAGCAAGTAGCAACCTCAACCCATCTGCCAAAAACGCACATCAGTCAAATTTCGAGCTGAAATACGCAATCTCTCACTTAGAGTGACACCAGTAATACCATGTCAAAATAACATAGGCTTATCGGTTAAGCTTCAGTTAAATGTTTGTATACAAGAAAACAAATATCTACCTTGTAGGCATTGCATAAGATTGTGGCCCATGACCATGTATTCGTCAGCATATCTCTTGGCGTATCGTGCATGCTGCTCTGTAAATGACATGTGTTGATCGTCGTCACCAAAACAATTTTGAAGAAAAATCTCGTCTTGGGATTGAAGCTTGACTTTGTCAGCCTGACAATAGACATAGGATGGCACGTACCTGGGTGAAAGGACTTGGTAAATTGGGGTGAGGTAACAGCTGCCGTATAAATACCACTGACAGCACAGATGGCATGGAGTACGGGAGAAATCGGGAATTTAGGATGATCAGGTGGTAATGACAGAGCCGTCATAAATGTTGGTACATGGAACAGACGAGAAGCTAGTGGGTGACACGCAAAGAAAGTTTCGACGCTGACGGCAAGTCATTGGGAAGTATCAACTTTCCATAGGATGGAATTAGGACTCACAGATGCCGTAACAGGTCAGGTCGAGGAAGGTGAGGTGGCCAGTGAGGCCAGTAAACGTCTGATCAATATGGCTTTGATTAGACCATGAAGGAGACCTTTACTTTTATGATTGGTTACGGGACCGCTCGTACCTTGTTGGGGAAGTATTGGAGGGATTGTTAATGCTAAATCTTGCATCAACGAGTCGGACTGAAATATGCTGGGATCCAAGATATCGTCCGGAGACGTCAGTGCTTGCACTGAACTGAAGGCAGTGAGCGGGTCAAGCAACCCAAAATCATTTGTGCTGTGGGATTGCAATGAGTCGCTGGGACTATCGCTGGTGCTCTGTTCACGTGATATTATGTCCCCGCCCTTTTGTTTTAAGAGAGATTCCAATTCCACTACGCAATAACAACGTAAGCATAAGGAGATGAATCGTTTAATGCGATATGAGAACACACAGATACGGCTCTCTAATTTCTCATACTTATTCTTAGGGATCTCCGTACTTGACGCATTTGTGTCGGGAGCTATTGGGTCTCAAATAAATACCTTACCATGCTGTCGCAAATATATAGCTCACCTTCGTCATAAGTACAATCTGGGTGAGGTGGTAATTCAAGTCCTGCGGGGGCGTGTGCAGCAGCATGAGAGTGTGAACGAACACATGTCGAACAAGGTCGTTTCGCATCACTGCCGAACGAGAGATAGGTTAAGAGAGCTCTTAGCTATACAGCATGAGACAGTACCATTTCTTCAAATTGATCAGGTCATAATTTAGTACCAGCGCATGCAATAAAAGCAAAGTAACTTACCAACTTGCGTCTCCTACACTGATGACAAGCCTTAGTGCGGAAGGATATTAGATATATCGCAGGGTTAGACTAGAAAGTGGCCTCAACTTGGTTCCTCTTTAAAACATGCTGTTGGCTCAAGCTTAAGCCTCCGTTGATTTTCACGGGACGTGAGTTATTAGGAGCAGTGATGCTCGGAGATTTTGAACTGGCCGCTTTGGGCATGACTGGTATGCTAATAGATACCGTCTGCAGCACCTGGTTTGAAGGAGGTTATGATAAGAAACAAGAGGCGATCACACTGTCAGTCAGTGGTTAGTGTTACTCTGATTGGCGCTGACGGCTAATGTCGTTATAAACACCGGTGCAAGCCCTGGTAATTACTTAAGAAATCTATAAATCCGTCATCCACGGACGCTGAGCTCGACTTCAGTAGCCACTTTTGCGTCATTTCACTAAGACTGCTTTGGCTGAAGTGTAAAGCTGATAGCATAGATTAGACAGAATATAGGCTCCAAAAGTACAACTGCGATACAAAGGATACAAAAATAAATAAATGCTACAAAATAGTTTACACTTCTTGACTTTCGAGACTGTGCTTCTTCGATTTAGCGGGAAGGAGCTGGATACTCCAATGTCAAACACAGAAAGAGAAAGAAAGTAGAGCAAACTGACCGCAGGGTTGATAAATGGCACCACACCTCCCTCTGATATTATAACATCACCGAGGAGCTTACTGAGTCTGCGAGATAAGAACCAATTAGTATAAGTCGACATAGACAGACTAGTGAGAACGCACTCCTCATCATTTCGAATAGCGAGTTGTAAGTGACGTGGGTTGATACGACGCTTCTTGTTATCTCTAGCAGCATTTCCGGCCAACTCAAGAATCTCAGCGGCAAGGTACTCCAAAACTGCAGCAAGGTACACTATGCAGAAGCAAGGTAAGATAACTGCTTTGCATTCAAGGTAAAGCCAACACTTGCCAGGTGCACCCGACCCAACACGTTTGGTGTAATTTGACTTTCTCAGCATACGATGAATACGACTGACAGGGAACTGCAGGCCAGCTTTGGTAGAACGCGATACGTTCTTGACATCCTCGCCTCGGTTTACTTTTCCTCCTCCGATTTTGGATTTACCAGTAGCTTTTTTGGGAGGCATTTTTTATGAAAATGATATGAAATAGGTTTATGGATGAAGAATGCGGGGACAAGGGGAAACTCAATATTAGATATCTAAATGGCTTTTCATATTTATACGGTCATGCGCCGCCACAATCAACAAAGACGCGTCGTGACGCGCGATGACCAAACAAAGGTAAAGTCACGTGTTACTATATATAGGGGATGTATGTGGTCACTTGCGCCCGCCTTTATCTCTGCCTGTAACTACCATCACCACTGTTCTCTTTTCCCTTCCTGTTCATAGTTCTCCCTTATCTATAAACTTTTATTGCAATGGCACCCAAACCCTCTTCGACTGGTGGAAAAGCACCTGCTTCCACGGCCACCGCATCCAAGGCGCCCGCTAAGACTACGGAGGGATCTAAGGCTGCGAAGAAGACTTCAAAGACTGCAGCCACTGCAGCTGGTGGTGAAGAGAAGAAAAAGAGGAGAAAAGTTCGCAAGGAAACCTATTCATCTTACATTTACAAGGGTACGCTTAAAACCATCTGGCTCATGTTTGAACAGATTCTAATTTACTTTAATACTCAGTTCTTAAGCAAGTGCACCCCGATACTGGTATCTCCAACAAGGCTATGGCCATCCTTAACTCTTTTGTAAACGATATTTTTGAACGTATCGCTACCGAAGCCTCAAGTGCGTTTATTATTTCATCTAATCTTTACCGAATTTTCTCACACGTCTATAGAACTTGCTGCCTACTCGAAGAAGTCAACTATCTCATCACGCGAAATCCAAACATCTGTCCGTCTCATCTTGCCTGGAGAGCTTGCTAAGCATGCTATCTCAGAAGGTACTAAATCAGTGACCAAGGTATGTATTGCACGTACAAATCGTGATAAATGTGTATTGAGATTCCTTTCTAGTTTTCGAGCGCTGGGGCGAAGTAAACTGTTGTTTTGTCTTACATTGTATCCTTACTTGTTGTATCTTGGTATTCGTATATTTTTGAGATGTACTTTCTCTCTTATTTTAGCAAATCGATGATTGTCACCATTATATCATGACGTTCCAGAGCAGCAAATGTTGTTTGTCTGTCGTAATCTCTCTGTTTGAGCTGTTTGATGAAACGCTGTGTGAAATATCTGAACTTTGACCAGCGTAGGTGTATCCTGTCATACGAGTCGAAATAGGTTTATAGCCAATCTGGTGGAGGAGACGGTAATACGGGTATTGAACATTGAACATGAGACGAGCCGGCTGGGTAGATTTGGTTGACTTGTAATCTAAAGGCAGGTATAGTAGATGATGTATTCCTAAGGGGCAAGGCTGAGGACGAAGACTTTTATTCTGTGGCAAACAGTAATATTGCACATCCAGGTATGCATACAGGTATAAAACATCAGGGTAAATACAACGCCCACATCCCTCAACAGAGAGAATTAGATAGATAGATGATTGAACACACCCGGCGCGTCTACGATCAAGTGCAGGAGCGGGGATCGACTACGTTTTGGGAAGGGTACGTGTCTGGTGATATGATTAAAAGATGAAACAGAGAGATAAAATGACAATGACGGCGTAATCAGGCCAAAAGCGATGGATATATGTATGATTCCGGGGGAATTGTTGAAATGAAGCGATGACTAGACTTTTTTTAAAAATCGACTGCAGCTTGAGATGGAGAGGTAATGCAAAACCGAGTAAGCCAGACCTGGATGAGAAAAGACACCATGCTCCGAACCGAATGCTCCAGGAGAAAAAAGAAACCGAAATCGAAGCCAAACAAATGTGAAAATTTGAACACGGCGCCAGAGCCCCTAATTCCAGATAAGAAAAAAAAGCTCCACTGTTCACCACTTTACAACCCATCAACGGCGATCCCAAGCCCGACAGGTCTTGCTTCTTGCCCTTCTTGCCTCGTTCCATTGACACCCCCGTGGCGCGCAGGGTCCGACTCAGGACGATGCACAAGCGACCCGCGCTTCCCTGCGCTTCCACCCACACCACCAGCACTAATGGTCCGTGTGAGACCATGCAGGTGCGAATCTCCATCTACATGTGCACCACCCTTATCTTTCTCAGATCCTTCATTCGGAGTGAACCACATGGCTGGTGTAGACGAGCCCCCCGCTGCGGAAGCAGCGTCGTCCACAGGGGGCGCACTGCTCGCGCCCGTCTCAGCCGTCTTGGTCGTTCCCATACTTCCACTTCCGCTCGCACTAGTACTTCCACTGCCACTCTCTGCTTCCCTGCTGACACTTTTGCCAACTTTACTCCCCTCTTTCATAATCTCATTCGCAACATTCATCGGCGGAAAATAACCCATCTCTGGAACATCAGGAGGGGGGACGGGCGGGAAATATCCCACATTGCCCTGCCCTGTACCACCACTTCCATCTCCAGACGACCCAGAGCGGAAATACCCTTCGTCGTCGCCCCCGCTACCACCGCCTTCATTACCAGCACCTCCACCACCAAAGTACCCATCGTTGTGGATTGGCGCTCCCACTGTAGGATTTATGTATGGGTTAGGACCCCCAGGCCTGCCCCATAATGCTCCAGGCGTCATTGTCACGCCAGGAGAGAACATGTTCCCTGGTCCATGAGGGGTTTGAACAAACTGTGTATATACGTGTGGGTGTGAGTGGTGGGGATGGGCAAACGGAGAGTGGGGCTGTGCGTAAGGGGAGTGCGGGTGCGCGTAGGGAGAATGTGGGTGCGTGTATGGGTGTGGGTGATACGGTGAAAGCGGGTGAGCAGCGAAGGCGTACATCGGCGTAGTAGGAAGAGGGAGTGACATCCCTGGTCTAGATCCTTCTCGAGCACCATTTCTTTCACCGCCCTTCTTTACCTGTTGTTTCGCTTCCGTTGCCCCCTTCTCCATCTCTTTGGATGGCTGCTGCGCAGTCCGAGCCTGTTGTTGTTGTTGTTGTTGTTGTTGTTGTTGCTGCTGCTGTTGCTGTTGCTGTTGCTGCTGGTGCTGCATATGCTGATGTTGTTGCTGGGACATTTGTGATTGTGGCTGCAAGAAAGTAAACGGCGGCATCGATGGAGTAATAGGCGGGAGCCCATGCGGTGTCATCACACTCATGGCGTACGAAGGATGATGCATTGGGGTCATGGGATGGCCATTTCCGCCTTGAACTGCGTACCCTCCCTGCGTGGAGTAACCAGGATGGTGCATCGGGCTACTAGGATGTCCAAGTGGAGACATAGGCACATATCCAACGTTCATACCATGAGCGGGATGATACAAAGGCGACGTAGGGTGAGCCACATGCGGTGACATCGGTCCATGTACATGCACATGCGAAGGCATTGGGCCATGGCCATGTGGAGACAGAGGCTGTGGATATACTGGCAGAGAAAAGTTAGAAGGGGGAGGAAGCGATATAGGACCTGGATGAGCGGGATGATGGTGCTGCGATTGGGATTGGCTCTGAGCGGATTGTTGGGATTGCTGTCGTTGAGAGTGGGATGAATGTCGTTGTTTTTGAGAAGAATCGAGATGAGATTGTGGCCCTTGTGAACGTCCAGGTTGAATCGCTGAACCCTTTTGATCATCGCCTTGTGATCCATACGATGTCTGCCGCGACTGCGTCTGCGAACCATCATGTCCGGAAGGTGCCTGTCTCGCTTTCATATGCGTTAGTGTCGGTGACGATAAATTTCCATAAGACGGCACCGCATCCTTGTGCTCAGCAAGGTGATCCAGACCCACGGCTTCAGGACTACGGGGACTTTGAGTTTGACTCGTATTCGCGCTTGGCACAACACTTTGACTCGCGCTTTGGAGGACACTTCCGCCCACACTAACGCTCCCACCGAAACTACTCATACCAAAGCCTCTGCTAAACAAAGGGCCTGCGCCCTGGCCATTTGCACCAAACGATCGACTTCTTCCTCCATGCCCTTGTCCATGTATATCAGATGAGATGCGACCGAATGAGGACCCACTAATTTGGATATTGAATGATTCCCTCCTCCGACTTTGTCCTACATTTTCGTCTCGTCCCCCAATTGCATCGTCACGCATCCCAAGCGCACCTAACGCCGAGGTAATGTAATCTACATTTCCAAATGGCGAATTAGAGGATGGCTGACCTTGTCCTGACGACGAAGATAATGGAGCTTGTAACGACGGGGAAGGCACTTGAGCCTGCTTTAGTGACCCAGAACCTGCTCTTGATCCATGGGGCCGCTGTCCAAGTAAATCAAACGGAGATTCATGCGATAAGAAGGGCGACGAAGAGGACGATGCCGTTTGCGTTTGCTGTTGTTCTCGGTTGAATGGTGTCTGCTGATCAATGCCAAACGGTGAAGTAGACGATGGCTGTCGGGACGGAGCAGATGAATGTTGCAAAGACGAACTAACTGAGGGGTGTCGCGACGACGCAAATGAGGGATGCCTGGAAGATGTTGCCGAAGGGTGTCTGTAGGAAGCTAGGGCACTGTCTCGCTCGTATAAAGCTAATGAACTTTCGCGCTCGCGTTCGGCAGACACTTGATCTAGCAGATTAGCGATAAGGGCTGAAGAGTTAGGTTCGGTGACGTTAGTATCAATGCTGAGTGCGGCGGCACCTGTGGTATTGTTTGATAATATGGTATTAGTTTGATTTCCATTGATACTTGCATCCGGGAAAAGTGATGAATTAATCATTGTGGAGCGTTGCGAGGCTGACGTGGAGGACGAGGACCCCGCACGTGCATTTGAGTATGCAGATGGTGGAGCAGAATTGAGGAATGGTGAGTGCGACTGGGAGTGTATATGATGAAGTTGGCTTGGCGTGAACGAGTGCGACGAGTGTCCGTGGAGTAAGCCTATCGATGAATTAGGTGCAGCATGCACAGGGCGAGGGGAAGCAGTATTGGAAGCTGTTCCAGAGATAGGCACAGAGTTTGTACCCGAGAACGATCCCGCGCCTAAATATGAGTGGTTCCCTGACGACAAAAGTGCAGAACTTGCGTTCATTATTGAACCTGTCGTTGATCCAGGTAATGAAGAAGCAGACAAAGGTATAGAAGTCGGAACGAGGTGTGCAGATGCTGATGAACCTCCAGGCATTGGAGACGAAAACCCAGATACCGAAAGCGGCTGCGCTGAGTTGGAGAACTTGTCATAGTGAACTTTGAGGGGACGCCCATTGAATTCATATCTAGACGTGTAGGATAAAAAAAATGAGTATATGCGGCTATTTGCGACTACATGCGGAAAGATATCGACGTTTACGAAGAACAATGCGAGCGAAAACTATACACCGTTCACAGCAGTATACTTGAACACCCAAACAAGCTCGACAGGCCGCTAGTGAAGTGGAACAACCGGTAGATGCGTCTGATAGCACTAGCGGCGTGGGCAAAGGGGTACGGAAAATGGTCCCACTCACCCATTGAACATCCTCAAACCCCTCTCAGCACTTGCTTCATCGCCAAATTGAACGGTGCCAAAACCTCGTGAACGTCCATCTGCGCCAAGAGCAACGTCTGCGCGCAGCACTGAGCCGGCAGTTCGAAATAGGTCTTTGAGATCTTGCCATTGGATGTGAAAGGGAAGCTGTATTTTTCCTCTTCAGCAACGCGATGACAGGTGATCAGGCAATAATGATCAAGTGAGAAGGAATACTTACGTTCCCCACAAACAAATTCCGCCCCCCATTAACCGACCCGGAAGACGACCCAGGACGTTCGTAAAATGTATAGTCATCCAATTCCCCCACAGAAGAGAGAGCTATTCCATATGGATTTGAGAGAAATGGAGCTGAAGAAACGCCTGAGTTATATTGACTCGGGGGAACGCCTGAGCCGAAACCGCTCGACGAAACTACACCAGCAAGCGATGGAATAGATCCATTAGCCAACTGTAATTCGTACTCCAGTTCTGACCCGGCAGGAACAGCACCTCCCATTCCAGTGCCAACGCTCATACTGGAACCTGCACTGGATCCAAGTCTGTCTGGCCGTACCTCTAGTACGCGCGTCTGCCACGAGTATCCATTGAACATATCAATCGCTCGACCTGCATCTTCTGCAGAGGCGAGCAGGACGGTTCCGTATCCTCGTGAACGGTTATCGGGTCCAAGAGAAACATCTGCGCGGAGGACGGTACCAGCTTTGCGGAAAAGATCCTTTAGGTCCTGCCAGCGGACACGGTACGGAAGCTGTGAAGACATTTAGCGGGTGAAATGTGTATATGTTGTTAAGAAAGAGGAGAGAAAAGGGACGTACATTTCCTACAAATAATTGGGTACGAGTATCACGAAGAGGTCCTTGTCGGGAGTCGGGAGTCGGGCGAGAGGATGTGGCGAGTTGAATTACAGCTTCAATGTCATCATTAGTTGGTGGTGCTGGTGAAGTTGAAGAAGGGAAGAGCGAGCTATCCTGTGCCACAGTCAGAGGGTGAAGTGGTCAGACGAGGAGGGCTTACTCTGAAGAGCGAGGACATGCCCAGCTGTTCGTGATGGCGCAGCTACTACTGATATCAGCCCAGTGGTGTTGCTGGCTTGTCGTCGTTGTGGATTAAGTTGTCGCCGTCGTGGATGACGATGGGGGACGATGAGGAGAGTGTGCTAGCAATAAAGGGAATGGAAACGAGAGCAGCGGCTGTGGATCTGTTTGGCAGGTACACCTGTTCATTGACACGGATGCTCCACTCCACCACACCCACCAAAAAAAAATTAGGGTAGCGCCACTCTGCATCATACGTCATACCTGCCGTTAAGGGTAATATCCTTCTGCTGACGACATTCCTACAGAACCGAACCTGACCGTGGAAGTTTGTAGCGCCGCGATATCTCTCCCCTCATCGTCGCACACGACGAGCTCACTCTTCTTGGCGGGGTAAATCCATCGCAGACTGGCGTACCGCCAAGATTTTGGGGGTTCAGCCCACGCATGCTACTGGTTCTGCAGATTCTGATGAACTGGGGGAAGATCCTCATCTCGTCATCCAGCCATACAAGGTTACACGCTCGAACCAAACTTGTTCAGCTCCACAGCAATTTAGGGCATTCCGTCGAAAGAACTACGGATTGCAGTGCAACTTGCCACACCAAATTCATAGATCCGCAGCAAGACGATAGAAAATAGATGATAAATAAAATAACTCGTACACATATTATACATCTACAGACAAATACCACACCCCTCGTCCTCACCCAGCAACGTCCAGATAAGATAAGAAACTGAAGTGTCTACTTCGCTGCAGCGCTCGAGAACTGTAGATGTAAAAGCCAACATCAGCATCATGATCAGAAAATGAAAACATCTGCGTACCTTCGTCACACTCTTCGTTCCCTCCGAGATCGCATGTTTGGCGAGTTCACCAGGCAATATCAACCGCACGCTCGTTTGGATTTCGCGTGACGAGATCGTCGATTTTTTGGAGTAGGAAGCAAGTTCTACCGAGCAAGAATAAGCTTAAAGTTCATTCGAAACGGACAAAATCAGACATACTGGAGGCTTCAGTGGCAATTCGCTCGAAGATATCGTTCACGAATGAGTTAAGAATGGCCATCGCCTTGTTGGAAATACCAGTATCAGGGTGTACCTGTTTGAGAACTGCGAAATGATAAGTACAAAGTCAGAAACAAATAAGATATATGCGCACCTTTGTATATGTACGAGCTGTAAGTCTCCTTGCGGACTTTTCTTCTCTTCTTCTTCTCGCCGTCTGCGCCTGTAGCTCCACTCGAAGTTTTCTTCGCCTTGGAACCCTCAGTCGTCTTTGCAGGAGCCTTAGAGGCTGGGGCCTTGGAGGCGGTGGTGGAAGCTGGGGCTTTCGAGGCAGTTGAAGCGGGTTTGGGTGCCATTGCTAAAGAATTGATGTGATTGAGGGTACTGAGTTGTATGGATGGAAAATGGGTTTGAAGCTATCAGCGAGGACGGGTAATTGAAATCCGGGGCAAAATGCGAGCACGCACTATTTATCGTTTGGTCCGCCTGACTTTACATTTGTTTACGTGTCGCGCCTTTGTTGATCGCGCGAGACGCGTCGACGCGACTTTGTTGACCGTTGAACCTTATTTCATCCGCGCGGGCGGCGGGAGTATAAATAGTGGCGCACCTGATTTCCGCAAGGTCGAAACTTTCAAGTCCCCCCTACCTGTTCATTTTGTACGAACCGTACATATATCAATAACCCACTTGTTTTCGTCAATCGACATCAACTCTCAAATTCATAAAAAATGTCTGGAAAAGTTAGCGGCAAAGCCAAGTCTGGTGGAAAGGCTTCTACTGGGGACGCATCTTCCAAATCTCAATCGCGCTCGGCGAAAGCAGGTCTTCAGTTCCCTGTTGGTCGTGTGCATCGGTTGTTGAAGAAAGGGAACTATGCTCAGCGAGTTGGTGCCGGTGCACCTGGTGGGTTTAACTCATCATTTACTCCCATCTTGATACGATACTGATTAGTCTTTCAGTTTACCTCGCTGCCGTTTTGGAATATCTTGCTGCTGAGATTTTGGAGCTTGCTGGAAATGCAGCAAGAGATAACAAGAAGCAGAGAATTGTACCTAGACATTTGCAACTTGCCATTCGTAATGATGAAGAGTGCGTTTTACTTTCCGTCATCTGTGCCTTTAATACTTATTTTATTGCATCGCAGACTCAACAAACTTCTCGGCGATGTTGTCATTTCGCAAGGTGGTGTTGTACCATTTATCAACCCTGAGCTATTGCCATCAAAAACGTCGAAGGGAAAGAAGGACAGCCAAGAAGTATAATCTAATTGTCTCTTTGGTTGACCGTAGAGGGGGGTTAGTGGCCACATTCACATGTGGACCATTGGATGTTCATGTATTTTTCCATGTATTTTATAGTATTATTTTACTTATATTATTGTCTGCCTTTCGACTCCTGCACGATGTGAGTACTAAGTACTGAGTGATTGTGAGAACCGTATATTAGTGGCGGTGCTTTTCATTTTTGGCAAAGATAGTGTTTGTTCTACTCCACTCCATAAACAAAAAAATCTGAATGGAACGCAGACCCAAATACACCTGTAATCATCGACTGTCATCATTTTTGTTTATCCCTGGCGATAACTTGAGCTGATAGATCATCCTAGCTATATTCGTAGGGTCTGAATGTTTAGATACATTCTGAAACGGAAAACGCCACTGTCGCTCGCAACTGTTTTGACATCGAGTGAAGATTATCATCAAATTGTTTTCCCTATATGCCGAATCTGCTGTTCCGAACTAGAACTTGTTCGGACAACAGGAGGACATGCCAGTGCTAGTCTTTGTAGGCCGTCCAAAGAGCTCGAAGGAAGGCAGTCGTTCCTTCCTTCTCAACAATAAGGACGTGTTTAGTCATGCTAAGATAGCTTAGCAATTACTAGTAGGTGGTAAGCATTAATGATTTTCTATTACCTCTGACCCTCTCGGCATCGTGATGTATGACTCGAGGAATGCCAGGTAGTTCCCATTATTGAGACGGCATGCCCGCGATGGAGACTACTGAAATATGCAATGGAGGCGTCACCACCGAGCGGGGTTTCGTTGAAACAGATATGAAATGGTATGTTTTATAACTTCAGCTTATTCTTTAGGTTCCCCTGTCATCTTTGCTTCACATGATTCTTCTCACACCATTCCTGATGCGTAGCACCGAAGCCCTTAGTCTCGATGTATTGCCCGCATTCGCGGAAGATGATGCTAATGCATGATGAAGTTCAAGGCAAACTACTTCAAACATTCCAGTTGTGAGGCGCTAGAGCTTATCTGGACATCAACGTTGCACCGCAATCTATTTAAAAGATGCCTATCAGTCAGCTCTCTGGATATCCCTCAATGGACTCACTTACTTCTGTCGCTGCTAGGAACCAGAGTTCCATGATATTATACACTACCGGGCTAGTTGCGTTGTCGTTGTCGTATGCGCTCTATCGTCTCCTTGCATTACCATCACACCTTCGTCACCTTCCCTCCGTGCCTATATGGCCTATTGTCCTTAGCTATGCCCGTCAAGAGCCCGATGATGTTCGCATCAAGCGCCTCCTACTGCCTTATGCCAATAAACACTCGGAGGGCGTAGTTCTGGTGTGGGTATTTGGTCAATGGATGGTCCATATACTTGATCCCCAGGTATTGTTTTCCCCACTATCTATTGGCGTCTTTCTTATTCCTGTTTCAGCTTGCGTTTCAGGTGAATGCAAACCTTAGAGATTTTCCAAAGTATTTCCCACCGTGGGATCTCCTATTGCTCCGTTTTACTGGGAGAAAGAATATCGTGACGACCAACGGTGATGAATGGAGGAAAATCTCTACACTCATTCACGATGCCTTCACGATCCCAGTTCCTGTCGACGTTTTCACTTCCCTTGCAAAAAAGCTATTCCACGTCATCGAACAAACGACATCCACGAGTGGCGATGATCATAAAGTAAACTGGGCCGATCTTGCACAACGATATGCTTTAGATGCGATAGGCTACTCCGTAGCCGGCTACAATATCGATGCAATCAGTACCGAATCACAGCTTGCCAATGATTACAACACTTTCATGCGTCACACGGCCGATCCCCTCTACCTCGCGTTGCCCATCCTCGAGAAGATTATTCCACGTAAACATGTATTTGATTTGATGAACAATATCAAGGATAAACTCGCCGACATGCTACTCGCCAAGCGCTTAGATCCCGGACAGGATATTATGTCTTTTATGCTGAGAGACCCGACTTTGACCAAAGACGAATTGCGCGATAACATCTCGACCCTCTTTATTGCTGGGCATGTAAGTTTTTACAACTCTTTCTCTTTATTCGCTCTTCTCAATATGCCAGATAGGACACAACAGCTGGTGCTTTGTCTATGTTGATTTACTATCTTGCGGTCGACCAGATTTCCCAAAAGAGCGCTAGGGAAGAAGTCATACGCGTTCTCGGGCCTTCTGCTGACCCTTCGCTCCCCCTCCTGAGTGCAAACGCCCTACCCTATGTCAGTGCTTGTATCAAGGAGGCTCTTCGAAACAATACGCCCGTTTCTTACGCTGTTCCCCGTATTTCCGGGAAGGCCGTAAACCTCGGCAAATATTACATTCCTTCCGGCACTGCTGTCATTACGAACATCTATGGGGTACACCATAATGAGTCCGTGTGGAAGGACGCTAGTGTTTTCAGGCCAGAGCGGTTCTTGACAGGAGAAGACACTAACCAGGTCAAACATTCCTGGATCCCATTCAATGGCGGCCCGCGCCGGTGCCCAGCACAAAATTTTGCACAGTACGAGCTGCGCACACTGGCTTCGATGTTGTTGAGGGAGTACGAGTGGACTTTGCCCGAGGACTCTATTCACGCAAACGGGATAAAGAACGCATTTTCGCCGTTCGCGTTGACAGTGCCTCACGACCTAGATATCATCTTCAGAAAGCGTACGTGAGATCGTCTTTAACAAGACGTCAAAGACTCGGAGATTGTAGGATTATTCTTGTGTGTATTTCCACCATTATAAAGAATGATTACATGACTATATGCGTTTACGATAGCTGAAATTTGAAGGCGTGAAAGCTTCGATATCTTTCCTTGTAATATTTTGTATCAATTCTTCTCGACTCAACTGTTGACACTACTTCCTCGTGGTGTTCGTAGTGTACTCGAGTACAACAATATAATGGGATAAAGATAACCGCGGTCTTTATAATTCCGTCAGTCGTTGCGCGATGCCGTCCGATGCCGCACGGATTGTCTGAACCTTGCAGCATAGCCCTAGTATAGATGTCCAAACTTGAATATTACAAGCGAGCTCGAACGCCCCGTTACAAGGACATTGTTGTGATCTCCAGAAAGCTCGAGGGCTCTTATATCACAGCGAGCAGCATCATTCTGCTCCATATTACACGTCATCCTATATCCACTCACATCGCAATTGAACATGTACGAGGAGTTACGAGTATAGTGTCAAAGCCAAATGATTTCAAAGACCAGCGGGCCAGAATACATTGTGAGTAAGTGTTTAACAAGATTCTTCGGTGAATATGTTGACAAGTTCCATCATCGTTGCTATATTTGATCATTTTCAAGATTTTTCTTTTGACACCCTCGATTGCGAGCCGGGTTATATATGCGCGAAATTTTGATTTGGTTTTCTGTTTGAAACCTACAAGAGCCTTCTCCTCAATGGACGACTCGCTATCTTAGTGTCTTCCCAACCAAATCGATCTTCGCACTTATCTACCTTGAGGTTCATCGAATTCGAACGTTCCACCAGTCATCTGGTTTTTGCTCTTCATTTGGGTTGAAAACAGCCGGCCAATTCTGGCGCTCAGTCGGTCCGGTTTGGGAACTTTTCGACGTCACAATGGACACATCTCAAGGCTTTGCAAGACATCCACCGCAATAAGTCAATTGGCCGCTTCCTTATGTGTGAGTATGGAATCAGAGATAGCTATACTTTCCTTGGCGTCCCTTGGAATGAAACTGTTGACTTATTATTATATACGTTTCACAGGATCCATACGCACATATATTAGCGCTGTACGTAGACGGTGACGTTTGTACCTTATCGCTATTTCCATAAATACGTGGAATGCTGGATTACCATCAAACAACATCCTATTCTTGGAATAATACTCGATGGATACGCCCTACATGACCAGTATTAAGATTCAAGATTTGACCGTTTGGTGGACTATCAGTCTACTTGCTTTGACTTATTTGCTCCACCGTTTTCTTGCGGTGTCGTCACACCTTCGCCATCTTCCCGCTTTACCAATATTCTCCATAACTTGGAGCTATATCTGTCAAGAGCCCGATGATGTTCGCTTCAAGCGTCTTATCATACCTTATGCCAACAAACATTCCGAAGGTGTGGTTCTGGTGTGGATTTTTGGTCAATGGACAGTTCATGTCGTTGATCCACAGGTAATTCCTCACTATCTAGTTTAATCTAGTTCTGATTTGTTTTTTCAGATTGTGTACCAAGTAAATGGAAACATTACCAATTTCCCGAAAGATATTCCTCCATGGGATCTACTTCTTATCCGTTTCACAGGGAGAAGCAATATCGCCATGAGAAATGGCGAGGAATGGAAAAGCCTTTCCACAATTATTCGTGAGGCATTTACAACTCCAATTCCTATCGAATTGTTTGCTTCCCTTGCAAAAAATCTATTCCATGTGATCAACCAAACACCCCTAGCGGATGACAAGGGACTCAAAGTGAGGTGGAACGGTCTCTCACAACGGTTCACTTTGGACGCAGTAGGGTATTCGGTGCTTGGATACAACGTCGATGCTATCAGTACCCAAACCCAGTTTGTCAAGGATTACAATATGTTCATGCATTACACAAACGATCCCCTCTATCTTGCATTGCCCATATTCGAGAAGATTATAACACGTAAACATGCATTTGAGTTGGTGGAAACTCTCAAGAAAAGGCTTGTAGACATGTTGCTTGCCAAGCGTATGGATCCTGGAGATGATATCGTATCATTTTTGTTGAGAGATCCGAGTTTGACCGTAGAGGAGTTGCGTGATAATCTGTCAACTCTCCTCATTGCGGGACACGTACGTATTTTCGTCAGAGTCTCTTTTTTACTCTTCTCAACTCGTGTGACAGGATACGACAGCAGGTGCAATTTCCACTATCGTTTACCACCTTGCTGTCAATCAAACTGCCCAACAGAATGCTAGAAACGAAGTCATTCGCGTTCTTGGGCCATCCGCTAGCCCTTCGTTACCCCGAAATCATTACCTTACGTCAATGCTTGCGTCTAGGAGGCCCTTCGAATCATTTCTCCTTCTTCGTATGGTATTCCCCGCATGTCCCAAATGGCCACCAACCTTAGCAAGTATTACGTCCCTCCCAACACTGCCGTTGTTTCGAATATCTGTGGTGTGCACCATAGTGAGACCGTGTGGAGTGACTTTTCAGGCCAGAGCGATTCTTAGAAAGAGAAAATGAATTGCAGAACATTTTTCATGGATTCCGTTCTCCAGTGGTCCCCGCCAATGTCCAGCACAAAACTTTGCGATGTACGAGATGCGCACACTAGCTTCAACGTTGTTAAGAGAATATGAGTGGACACTGCCTAAGGACCCAATCCATGCGGACGGGATCAAGAATGCATTTTCGCCGTTCGCATTGACTCTGCCTCGCGACTTGGACATCATATTCAGAAAGCGTGTATGAAGAAGTTATCCACAAGACCCTCAAAACGTTCTGGTACTTTCTTTTGTCTATAGCTCCGTACTTGAAATCTGATCGTATGAATCACCCGTGATAGCCTCGTTCGTTATCATAAATCATCATCACAGCTTATTTGCAACTCCCAGCATGTGTTTTATGGCGGACATTATCATTCTCTACATCCTGAGCACAGATGGGTGCCAAGAGCTTCTGTAGTTTGCGGGTCTGGACCGTTCAACACTTGTCCGAGATCGACCGTGTGTGTCGCCAACCTGGCCTTGATATTCCTCATTTCAGATGTGAGTACCGTCACTCACTACATGTGTAACATTGGCCTCGTCAAATTTACCATGGGGTCCAAGGCCGACTATACATTGACTTTCACACTACCACTTCACCAATACGAAGATTCCCAATGGCTTAATTTTCTAGTAACGCACTGGCCACTGTTTAGGGAATAGTGGTTAGGGTACATTGTATGATCTAGTACTACGCGTTCCGAATGGATCATTTGGTGAGCATTTCAACAAATACTCATCAGCATCTTTGAATTATTATTGGGATATTGTTAAAGTAAACGCCGGTGATAGATTCACAAAACCATGACTTGGAATTTTAATATCGTAATGTTCCCCTTCAGCCTCAATCAACGATTCGTGGACTTGCTCATCAGTGTTTCGTTCCTTTCTGAAAGCTTAGTCTTCATCGAGAACCACTGAACATAGAGGTGTCACAGGAATCCTGTGCTGAGCTTTCCATCTGAGCTTTGGCGTTCACATGGCTTATTTTGAAACGTTTGAAGCACAGGCACATTCCAAATTGGTGGAAGATTTTGCTTCTACTGGTGTCTATTCTACTGACCGCTGCACACATGAGTATAGTGGTTCAAATATAGGCATACTTTGTGCCATGTTCTACCACTTGGAAAGATGATCACTCTCTTTGTTGGGCACAATCTGCACAGCCATTATACCCAGTGTTACACCGCATGCGTTTTAGCTAAACTTGGATGGCTAGCGCTATCTTATCACTTTTCTATAAGTACTGGGTGGTTTGTTGGGTTATCGGTAAGCAACATCCCACTACTCGGATAGTATTCTGATGGATATCCTCACCACGTTCAGTGCCAGCATCCAGAGTCCGACCATTTGGTTGACTTTTGGTCCACTTGCTCTGTCTTATTCTCTATACCGTTTTCTCGCCGTACCATCACACCTTCGCCATCTTCCTGCTTTACCGATATTTTCCGTGGTCTGGAGCTATATCTGTCAAGAACCTGATGATGTTCGCATCAAGCGTCTTATCCTGTCTCATGCCAAGAAGTACTCGGAAGGTGTTGTTCTGGTGTGGATGTTTGGTCGATGGACGGTCCATGTCGTTGATCCCAAGGTGGTTTCCTTACCTCTAATCTGGTGTTATTCTCATCTCTTTCTCAGCTCGCGTTTCAAGTGACCGCAGACGTTACAAATTTTCCAAAAGATTTTCCTACATGGGATCTACTCCTCACCCGTTTCATAGGCAGAAATAACATCACCATGAGCAACGGCGATGAATGGAGAAAGGTGTCCACAATCGTCCGCGACGCATTTACCACTCCAATCCCTATTGATTTGTTCACATCCCTTGCAAAAAATATATTCCGGGTTATTGACCAGACACCCCTAACGGATAACAAGGAACTTAAAGTGGAGTGGAGCGATCTTGCACAACGATTCGCTTTGGACGCAGTAGGTTATTCAGTAATTGGCTTCAGCATTGATGCCATCAGCACCGAATCCCAGTTCGTCAAGGACTACAATATGTTCATGCGTTACACAGCCGATCCCCTCTACCTCGCACTGCCCATCTTCGAGAAGATTATTCCACGTAAACATGCATTTGATTTGATGGAAGACCTCAAGAAAAGGCTTATCGACATGTTGCTCGCCAAGCGTTTGGACCCTGGAGATGACATCATGTCGTTTTTACTGAGAGACCCGAGTTTGACCATGGAGGACTTGCGCAATAATATGTCCATTCTCTTTATTGCGGGACATGTAAGCCTGCCGTTTTATGCCCCACCTTCTCTTTATTTAATCATATCTATTTGCGAAATGTCGGCAGGATACGACATCTGGTACAATATCGTCCATGGTTTACTACCTTGCTCTCAATCAAGCTGCCCAAAAGAGCGCTCGAGATGAAGTCGTTCGCGTTCTTGGACCATCCGCCAGCCCATCACTCTCCCTCATGGGCCCTAGTTCATTACCTTATGTCAATGCTTGTATCAAAGAGACCCTTCGAGCAAACTCTCCTACTTCTTATACAGTCCCCCGCATGACCCAGAAGGCTACCAACCTTGGCAAATATTACATTCCTCCTAACACCGCCATCCTTTCGAACATGTATGGGGTGCACCACAACGAGGCAGTTTGGAGTGACACGGACGTTTTCAGGCCAGAGCGGTTCTTAAAAGGAGAAATTGAGTCGCAGACCAAGAATTCATGGATTCCGTTCTCCACTGGTCCTCGCCAGTGCCCAGCCCAAAACTTCGTGATGTACGAGATGCGCACACTGGCTTCAATGTTGTTAAGAGAATACGAGTGGACACTGCCCGTGGACTCGATCCATGCTGATGGGATCAAGAATGCTTGTTCCCCGTTTGCACTGACTCTTCCTTACAACTTGGATATCATATTCAGAAAGCGTGTATGAAGAAGTTATCCACAAGATCCCCCAAGATGTTCCGGTACTCCCTCGTGTCTATAGTTGCATTCTCGATATTTTATTGTATGACTCACTTACTATGATAGCCTCATTTTCACATATACTTCCGGTTTATGTGGATCCACTATCACGTGTCTATGGTGGACACTTACTACATCCTGCTAACACTCTGCGCGGATTTATTTTTGAGTGATGCTGTAACTTGCAGGTCTGCATACATCATTACCATCGCTGGACTCCGATGACCAAGGGCTTGACCAGCACTAAAATAGGCCAACGGTTCTGTACTGGTTGTGAAATTTCTACTCCGAGTCGCCATGGACGCTTATAGGCATCAAATCGAGCTCGTGCTAACCAAAGTGACACTTCAAGCACCTTCAGGCTTCCAAGCCCCTCTACGACTACCCGATTCCACTCACGCGGTACGCTCCAAATTGGCAATCTTGTGCATGAATACTCACTTCATCTGGTTAGTAGTAAGCTGATTCTGTGTTAGAGTCTATAGCAGTATGGTGTTGAATAGGAGGTGAATATACTGGATTAACAGCTTAACGATATCGCTAGGGGTATAAGTATGGTGCTACTTTTGAACTTCGTTTAGTGGTGCTCGCACAGTTCCTCCATCTACTATGCTAAGCATTCTGGTGTGGTATACTTTTGCATTTTCTGCTTTGTTTTACGCTATTCTCCATTCCAGATTATTCAAGTTATTTTCAGTGCCATCTCATCTACGCCATCTTCCCCATGTGCCTGCTCTTCCTCTACTGTGGAGTTATATTCGTCGAGAACCCGAAGATGTTCGGATGAAGCGTTTTCTTTTACCTCTTGTCAACGAGTCCTCTGAGTCCTCTGAGGGCATTGCGCTCATGTGGGCTTTTGGTGGTTGGGTAGTCCACATTCTTGATCCCCAGGTAGCCTCTCTTTTCTTCTTTCTCGAGAAGCTATTCTTACCGATTATCAGCTCTATGCCCAAGTGAAGGGACTGACCACAAAGCACTTTTCTACAAAGGACCTCCCCATATTTCGTTTCACGGGCTTGTCAAATATTGTTACAACAAATGGTGAAGAATGGAAGAAGCACTCTCGGGTTATCATTGAGGCTTTCACCTCACCTATCCCCGTCGATCTATTTGTTTCCCTCGCTAAAGCTCTCTATGAAGTCATAGACCAGGCACCCACAATTAACACGGAGGATCACCACGTCAACTGGTCCGACCTTGCACAGCGATTTTCTCTGGACGCTGTGAGTTACTCCATCCTTGGATTTGATTTCGACGCCATCCGTACGGAGTCTCAATTTGTCAAAGAATTCAATGCATATATGGATGAAGCCGCTGTTGTTCTCTACATCATCTTTCCTTCTATCGAAAAGATATTACCGCGCAAATTCTCTTCGTCCTTGCTAAATAGTCTTAACGACAGAATGCAAGACATGATCCAAGTCAAAAAGTCGGATCCTGGCGAAGACATCATGTCATACTTGCTGAAAAGCCCTGATATGAGCGAGAAGGATCTCCGTGACAACATGTCAATGCTCATCTTTGCGGGGCATGTACGTTAGCTTCTCTTCCTCTATTTTCGAACATTTTCACTTACGCCCTGGCAGGAAACAACCGCAGGCGCTCTTTCGACTCTTGTTTACCATCTCGCTGACAACCAAGATATTCAAAAGGCTGCTCGTGAAGAAGTCCTTCGTGTCCTTGGACCCTCGGCTGACCCTTCCCTCCCTCTCATGGGCCCCAAATCGCTGCCTTATGTAAATGCATGTGTCAAGGAGTCCCTCCGAATCAACCCTCCGGCTTCCTACACCATTCCTCGCATCTCCCCGGAGAGCATATCGTTGGGTAAATACCATATTCCCCCCAACACCCCAATTACGCCGAACCTCTATGCGATGCACCATAACGAGACAGTATGGAGTGATCCACATGTGTTCAGGCCAGAGAGGTTTCTAGAAGACGAGAGTTCGGAGTTGAAGAACGCCTGGATCCCATTTTCTAGTGGCCCGCGACAGTGTCCAGCCAAGAACTTTGTCATGTACGAGGTGCGCACACTGGCTGCTATGTTACTGAGGGAATACGAATGGAAATTTCCCGAGGACTCGGTCCATCGAGGCGGGGTTAAGAATGGGTTTTCGACATTTGCTCTGACAATTCCCTATAAACTCGATATCATCTTTTCAAAACGAGGGCAGGAATGAGATGAGATGTATGATCGCAGAGTTCTCTGTACATTTTGTAAATTCAACTAACAATTGGAGTGCACGTAAGTAGGGCATGTACATTAGACTATACACGTATCTCACATTTCTTGGGCTCTATGAACATGTAAAATACGAGACGGTTGGATATACTGTATGTCCGCCAGGCATATATCAACAAAAATTCGCTGATCATGGATTATTTATTCCGTCATTGATCTACATGACACTAAATTAAATGATCAAAACCTAGGTATAATTGAAGCATCGCCTTTCGCATAAGACTCTTGCCTCAATTCACGCCCATGCCACTCCGATTAAAAGCTTATATTTTTCCAACAAGAAGGTTCTTGAAAATTTCACGTCCAGTAATGCGCACCGTGTGAAAGAAGGTGGGCAAGTCAAGCGTGGACGAGACTGTGTCCGCCAGGCCAAATGGTAACATTAATGGAATCCAGCCTAAGCAGCATACCACCATGTGAGTAAAAGGTTAGGCCAATAAAGAAATGAAACCGTACCTCTGGCATATTCCAGGGCAAAGCAACCCTCATGCATTTTGTACTGTTTTGCCGTACCCCTTGGCAAAAAGTGGACGTCGCCAGGACCATATTTCTCCATTTCCATCGCACCAGGTTTGAAAGCCCACTGCTCGCCGACCAAAATGTTGAAGTAATCATCAGCGGTATGTAGCCCGGTATGTCCTTCCGTGCCTAGTGGGGTCCCAAAGATAATCAAATACTCTGTAATGGACGCGTGGATGATGTACATGGCGCCCATGGCGCCGCCTGCATTGTTGAACACCCATTCCGAGGAATTCGTGTTGAGGGAGATCTGGCGCGTGGAACTCGGGAAGGTAGACGTGAGGTTCGTGATGATGTGCTGTACCATGCCATTAGGATTTTCTGGCGATGCAGCAATGGCCGAATTGGCCAATTCGTTTAAGAAGGTCGGGTTCAGGACATACCACTGGTCCTGCAGATGGATTGATGTAAGTATTTGGGCTGGGCTGACCAAAATAAGAAAAATATGTACCTTGATAGTATCAAGCCAGCTACACGTTGCAAAGAAGAGGAATAGGGCGGCAGCACGCGCGACCCACCTTGTCAGTGGGTCACGCCTATGCTTCTTGAAGTGCTCTAGCTTCTCGCCTCTCGTGCTCTCCATTTTCTCGCCTCGTGTTTTTGAGAATGTCATTGTGTGGCGGTATGGTGGGCTCGTGAGTGTGAATATGCAGTGGCCGAGTTCGGGCCTAGTGGTATGGATATAATATTTTCCTCCTGGGTTTTTCGTCAATTTGAAGTCTCGTCTCCTTTGCTCAGAGACGAGGACTGAGAGTATGGAAACTTGCGGGGAAGAGAAGGGAAGAAGCAAACGTTGTTAACTATGCAAGAGACTTACTCAGCCTGGGACCTCTTTATGAGGTCCTGCAGGCGGCTGCCGTCACGGTAAATGAAAGAAAAGTGGTACGAGACACCCGCTAAGCCATGTGCACGTGATACGCGAACATCCAACATTATTTTTTTCAGATGCATGGTCAGGGCGTACAACTCCCTGCATACTGCCTTCCAGCTGTTGTACTACCAGTAGTGCGGTAGGCATAAAAAAAAAAGAAATACCAACATAAAGATCCCTTGATTTTGTTGTACTACAATATTATCCGCATATCCTCCAGAAGCTCAAAAAGTGACGTGAAAAAGGGTACCAGCCACAAGTTGGCTCGCAGATTTATGTTGCTTTTCCATCCATAACTCCCTCTACAACGCTGCCAACCCACGCCTCGAACTTCTCTTGATTCATAACACCCGACTCGTCGAAAAACGCGTTGTACCCTCTGGCTTCACGTGCTTTCCCCTTTGCTAGAAGGGACTTCCCTGCGCCCGAGGACTGCACATAAGAGATTGAAACTTCGTATGCCGGTGGTTTTGTCTTGAGTACGGGCTCAGTCCGTGACGATATAGTGATACGCTCAGTGACAATCTAGATAGTAGTTCGTATTTGAAATATAAGTGGGTCATTACAAAGCAAAATCTGTGGGGTATCGAACGCACCCGTTTTGAGAAAGTCTTGCGCTTTCCTACGAAGATGATATCACCTTCGACGAAATAAGAGTATAATACCTGGAGCGTCGTCAAAATAATATACCTATCCGTCATGTTAAAGTTGATTCATTTACTGCAAGAAGAGAAATGCTTACAAGATGAGGCCAGCCCATACAGCAGGTTTTGATTTCTCAAATTCGACTTTGAAACCATAAAGCCCAGTAGCCGCTGCTACGAACACGCCCGCCCAACCTAACGCAAGGCGGACATCCGTATGCAGGTGTATTTGCTTGAATAAGTCTGGCCTTGATAAGAACTGCAGGGGAGTGGGTGATATCAATTAATGCACCATGAGCATGCGTATAGGCTCAGAGCACGCACTCTTTTCAAGGCATCGTCACAAGCATTTTTTAGGTCCACGAGATTTGCGTTATTTAATTTTATAATTTCCCGCTCTTCTGGGGTAATTACGATGCTGAGGGGACCTGGAGGTTTCTCTGGCGAAGAACCGGCAGAAGAAGAGGCGCGCCGGCGTGAGGTGGTAGGAGTCGACAGGGTGGAGCTCTTTGCATTTACACGGGCCATTTTAGTGGACTCGCTGTATGAAATCTAGAGGTGGTATGAAAGAATGGAGAAAGATAAAGTGAAGCAAAGCGCTGAGGCAGTGGCCAAACGCGATTATTGGCCGACCTGCGACGTGGACAAGCGTGTCAAACCCGTGGGAGAAATGCCTATTTGGAACTGTCACGTGGGGTCATATCCAAAAACCTCTTAGAAAATATGTTTGTGCTCTTATCAGTTAGCTTCTATCATATACGAAACATAATAAAACTATGTGAAACTCAGCCGCTGCCCAAGAGACTATAGAAACGACTTTATTATTTACCTATGTGAAACTACAATGGATGTTAGTTTAAGGTGATCTCTAATAAATGTAATGTAACATACCTCAGCCGCTGCCCAAGAGGCTATAGAAACGACTGAGGTATTTCTATACTAAACCCCCTACTACTTATAGCCGGAGGTGCTACTCGCTATAGTATAATGACTCCTAGGAGAACAATGGTGACTCCATGGAGAACAATGGCTGCTTCGGCAGAGACCGGGTTTATCCGATTTTGTCAAAACATTCTGGTAATATCTCAGAGGACCTAAGCACTACCCTGGTAGTGCTTGATGTTAGTTGCCAATAGCTGCCAATAATTGATTGCACTAGTGTAGAAATTATATTATGTAAGTGAACTTCGGAGCTTCGCCCAAAGCTTTACTCTGTGATTACAACCGGCCTTTTGTGGCTGTCATTGTTTTTCACATGATATTTACATATGTTTGTTATATAAGAAGCATGTATTTACGTTGTTACGGCATTCATTTGCCAAAAGAATCCTTCTCCTGCACCTGTTCCCACGCCCTGAGGGACCAAATATCCAACAACTAGGATAGCTTACGGGCTCCCAGCAAGTGCTGACAATTCTGACAATCCCTGCCAGTGTGACTAATACTTTGAGTCTTTGAAGCGTTGAACATTGAACTCCCTGGTATCAATCTTATCTTCTCCTACAATTTCAGTATTTTCTTGTTACATTACAGCATTTTACAAAACAATAAACTTCTTGCATTTCAACCAAACAGTTGTCACAGGCGCCTCACCTGCCTCTTTTGTCCTTCTGTCGGATCGGTGTACCAATGCTAATACAGCTGACTGATGGCAACTCCAATAAGCTCGTGAGCCTGCAAACATTGCGACCCATGAGTGGAGGCTTTGTAAGCTGCACATGACAATTGACACTTCTCAAGCCAACGTCGCAGAGAAGCATATCCGCAAGGATTCTCATATAGAAAGCAAAGACTTGAGTTTTCTCTGTTCCTTCGGCTTTCTCCCTCTTTTCTTCCTCACCTCTCCCTTCGTTCCGTGATCCTCCAAGAATTTTTTCTACCTCGCTTCGCTATGTCTTCAATCAATAATCCACCCCCCGGTATCTCAATCAATTCCTCGACAAATAATACTGATAATCCTTCCTCCGGCTCTTCTACACAAACAACCCCATCTGTTCCTCCTGCTCCTCCTCCATTCTCACTTCCCACTCTTCCCCCACTTTCTTCTCTTCTTTCCAATCCCCCCCCTTCCCTCTTCCCAACCTTATCCTATCCATCCATACCAATTTCCTCGCTTATCAATTCATCAGGCACTATCAATCCGATCTTCTGATCCACCAATTAGATATCCACCAATCCCACGGTCCCAATCAGTGCTTCCAGCAACGCCAACTTAACTAATCTCATCGCAGCATTTTCTCAATTCTCGCCTGACTCACAACAAAAAGCATGAGACATCATTACTAACTCCGTTCCCAATACATCTGCAATCACTGGGCGACCAATATGTAGAATTTGAATGCCAACAAATTACCTCCTCCTTCGACTTCAGACTTTAATTATGGTGTTCATGCATTTATAGAATAACTCGCTCGTTTCAATTTTCATGTGCCCTTAACACTCTTTACTACAGCCTCTACCAACAAGCTTCACCAGGAAACACCGTTCCTAAAACAGGTCACAGTTTATAATAAACAAAATCAAAAATTACATGCACTCGACCTTTTGCAATTTCCCAATGAACTGTGAGGCAACAATAAACTATAACAAAAACAAAACCTGTCTCCTACTGCACTTGCAGGGAGTAAGAGGTTCAATGAGCTTGAGGTCGATAGATGCTAGTAAATATAGCAAGTAGAGGACTTGGGAGTAAACTCAAGGGTTTCGGTTGAGGAGTAAAGCGGGTAAATTCAGTAATAGAAAACTAAAGAGCTATACATGCTATGTGTAGGGTTTATATAGCTAACTGTCCGTTCCTCAGACCGAAAGGAGAATATGTAACAACCAAGAGTTAGTTACTCTGGCGCACACAAGAACACACTATAAAGACGATGTTGAGGGAGTGGTTACCCCTTAAGCTGCAGAGAGTTTGTTGGTATACAACAGGAGGACTCGCTAAGGAGTCTCCTGGATTTATTGGGGTATATATACTAATACAGAGTATTTGTACTTATGTACTGTACAGTTGATAAAGTCAGTGGCTGATGATGTCATGGGGCCTAGCCCGCATGACCAGCTCCACTGTGTGAGAGAGTTGTATCTAAAATAAGAAGAAGGCAACGCGGCACGAGAAAGAGGAGTTTGAACAAAAGGGGAAGTGCCGCGTGGCACCCTGTGTGAAAGCTAAAGTGTACAAGGTTAAAGCGGAGAATGAAAAAGAAGGAAAGGTCCGAAAATTGTGTTATCGTAACAGAATAGATGAAAAGTGGTCTGAGGAATAAATCGTCCAATAAGAAAAAGGGAACAACTATCGTACAACTTTAACTTGATTAATCAGCGGGTGAGAGAATTGTACTAATAATAGATGTTTTTCATGCGTGTTCAGGAACTGTATCCTCATGGTGAGGTACGATCCTGATCAAAGCATTTATTAGTATATCCAGACCTTGATGGGGGTTGGAGCTGGTTGGCGAGATGCCTACTACCAGTCCCTACCCATCGTGCTGGCTGGCTGGGAGTGATACTCAGTCTCCGATCTGTGATATAAAGTGGTAGCGGTGGTTAAGAAAGCCTGTGAGGGCTATGAGAAGTAAGATAGCAAATGATACCTCTAGCCCTAGAGCTAGAGGTGTAACGGGAAAAGTGTTTGAGAACTAAGACATAGAGAAAATAAGAAACATGTAAAATGGTCCTTACATGAACGCTCCATGGATGCTACTGATTGGCACGAAGCATGGAATTGATATACTCAATATCTAGACCAATACTTCAATGTACCAATCGCACAACACTGGAAGGAACATTATACATTCTTAGCGAAACAGTAAGATTTCAAACAAAACTTTCCCGCCATCCTAGAATTTGACATCAAACAAAGATCATTGAACACCATTGAATGCTGAGAAGTAAACTATGAGCTTTATCTACGACGCTTCGCCACCATCAAATTTGATTAACTTCAAAAGTCAATCACTGGAAGCATGGCTTACAAATTGACCTTTTTGTCATCCTACAAATCGCAAAGGTATGATCCCTACGACAAAACCAAGTCCTTTTGCAAGGACAACAATGACATATACCCCAACAACAACAACAACAATGATAAAACACCCCAAACCAATGCCCCCATCTGTCTTGTATGTCAACGAACAGGCCATTGTTTTGGTCAGTGCACTGAAGAAACAACGACCTCAAACTCACAAACATTCTCACGCGCCCTCAACGGCAAACTCATCTCTTGCACCACCGCCACCCCTATATGCGTCACTTTCAACCTCAATTCCCCCAAACGCCCTTGCAACCACAACCACCCCGACCAACACATCTGTTTGTTCTGTGGATCAAATGATCATGCCACTTGCTCTCGCAAGTGCATATGATCATTCATTTATTCCTTTCAAAATTTTCTCTCCTCCTCCTGTACTTATTACTTCTCCCAAACGTTATGTATACTATGACAACATCACCATTTCACCCACTCCATACGATAATGATCCGGATTTAATAAAATCAAAACTCCATACTCGTTTCAACAATTCGAAAATTTTCTTAAAAAATTCAAACTTCTTTCATCATATCCTGAACTTCCTCTTAAATTACAGAATGGTTTTCCTATTGGGCCTATCAATCCCATTACTCATACCTATGCTCTGGACAATTTGCCAGGCACCTACATTCACATAGACATCATTCATGATTACATCAAAAACGAACTACTTCTTGAACGTTTCTCCGGCCCTTTCTCTCAAACTCTATTAGAATCCAAAATAGTTCCCTTTTGTTCGTCCCCTCTCCAAGTAGCTACCAAAGATGGCGCACCCAACTAAATACAGAGTATGCCGACATCTTTCTTTTGAAGGTTTGCAAAACAAATCAATCAATGATTTCATTGACAAAACAAAGTACACCACCCGCTGGGGAATGGCACCAGAAGTCGCTGAAATAGTACGTCTCCCATATCATCTTACTAGCCATTATCCTATCTCTCCACCTTTCTTTATGTGCTACACCTTTGCATGCAACCTCACTCAGCAAATAACGACTTCACGAGATTCACCAACTCCATGTTGATCAATCATTTCACTTTGCTGAGGAATGCAAGGCGCACACACATCCTCATTCATATATCTCTTCTCACTCTATTCTTTCCTCATCTCTGAATTACTCTCTCACAATCTCAATCAAAATCTCTGATCACACTCATTCTTATCAAACTCCATTAGATAGCACAATCTTCTCTCAGCACTCAGGCAGCCACACTTGACATAGAAGGAGCCTACCGAACTATCCCAGTTCTCCCTGATCACAAACGAGCACTCATTGTACGCTCCGAAGATCTCTTCTATATTGACCATAATGTACCATTCAGTCTCACATCAGCATCAGGCTTGCAAGGGGAAGTGGCAGATGCCACTACTGATATATGGCAAGCACTCCACATTTCTCCCACACTCAAATGGGTCGACAACTTTGTCATTTGTCATACCCCTCATTCCTCTGGTACCTACTCAGGTGTTTTTAATCACACAACGTATCATTATAATTACAATCTTGAATTTGCCAAAGAACTCATTTCCCCACTCTGCATACCATGGCATCGAGAGAAAGGTCAACCATTCAGTGACACGTTCACATATCTTGGCTTCCTCTGGGACTTGCCAAATAAAACAGTTTCACTTCCTGAACCAAAACGACTCAAGTACATTTTATGTCTGTCACAATATCTAGACACATTCTCAAATACTCAAGTTCCAAAGAAAGAGGCTGAGAAAATCAGCGGCACTCTTTTGCATATTGCCTTTGCCTTTCCACAAGGACAATCATACCTGGCTCATCTTTACAAATGGATTGCAGATTTCCCGCACAATCATACTCCACACTATATGTGTAATTCCGTCATATCCAATCTCAAATGGTGGTTATCATTACTCAAAATCACTTGTCCTCCACATTCTCTTCTACCACACTTCCCAACTTGAGATTACAATATATGGGTCGACACTTCAACCAGCACAGGCATCGGCATTCTCTGGAACGGCCAATGGGATGCCTGGTACACTCTCGAAGGGTGGAAAGCACCTGGAAGAGATATTGGCTGGCTTGAAGCCATTGCAGTAGAATTAGCCATCATTACATTAATTTGCATGGGAATTTCCCAATGTGATATCCTTATACACAGTGATAACAAAGGGGTCATCGCATCCTTCAAGAAAGGAAGATGCCAAAATTTGAATATCAATTCAATCATCAGACACTCAGAGGCTACTCTAGCAAATCATGAAATCACCATTTCACCTATATGTTAGAATATACTCTGAAATACCAATACTCCATAGGATAATACCTCTGATTTGTAAGCCAGCCCAGTATGCAGCAGCTATTCTGTGTAAGACGTCCGTGGTTGCATGTCATGTTTAAGATCCTACATTGTATAACCTTGGCCATATAGCTCAATTGGTAGAGCAGCTGGCGTGTATCCAGAAGATTCCAGGTTCAATCCCTGGTCTGGTCATTATCCAATTTTATCACTATGTACGTTAACACCAAACACAATCTTGCAGATCCCATTTCCTGAGGTATCTTTCCCTCTTCTTCCTCACATATTTCTTTCCCTATCCCCATACCTGATAACTTACTTCCGTTCATTCGACATACCTGACAATCACATACAGGCGGCAGCTAACACCCTATATCACGACTTCCCCATTGATGTGCGTCGGGCAGCCAACTCCTCTCACTCTGATATCACTTGCATCCCTCAAAAACCCCGTCCTCACAATGTTATTCAACCATCTTCCCATCGCCCTCCAGTCCTAGCAAGCAATCACTTACTACTATGGACGACACCTCATTCACTATCATTCCAACAAGAACTTGAGACACGCTTACCTTCCTCTCAACTCCTCAAACTATTCCATGTCATAATAGCCTCATTAGATCAGAATACAAGGAGTAACTACAGTGCAGGCCTCCTGCAATTCACCCAATATTGCGACAGACCCAACATTCCCGAAATAGATTGAATGCCTGTCTCTGAAACACTCCTCTCAGCCTTCTGCGCGGACGCTGCAGGCTCCATATCCTCCAGCGCTGTCATGCACCAAAGTTGATTGGTAGCATGGACAGGTGTCAAAAATGAAGCGAATATTCAAAAAGACTCGCCTTTGCGCCACACAGGCACAGTGCCACATGGAATAGTAATTAATATTGCCTTTTTCGAACTTGTGGCTGATCAGCACCACATCTATTAGGCAATTCAGTCGCACTCACCTTTGCTTTTCCATTCAGTACTTTCTGCATTTTAGCATTTTGGCAAATTTTTGCGCCGCCACTGGCTACACATTGTGCCCTCGCTTTTTTTGTCCTCCCTTACTTTTTTTCTTTACTCAGCCCCACCATGGGACTATTACTCTCTTTCTTATTCTCACCTGACGGTCGCTTCTGGATCCCCATTTTAGTTCATCTCCTCGTCACCTCCATCCTCCTCCTCCTCATCTTCTTTGCTCCCCCACCATATCTGATGTCACCACTCTCTATCTGCTTCCATCGCCAATCCGTTGACCACCACGTGCCACTGCTGATATCAGCAAAGCCCCGGTGGCCGGTCCAAGTTGGGCAAAAGGTCCATCTTCATGACGTCAATCTGCCATCATATACCATCAAAACATTGGTCGCTTGTCTCACCTGGTTGGAGTGTGGGTGGGTAGTTTTTGAGCTGGAGAAGGTTCATCCCCTTGTGTTGCCTATGTACATTGCTGTCCCATTCACTTGGGTACACTTATCTTTTGTCCATCGTCTTTGCTACAGCTACACCTACCACACGCTGCCTGGGACTTACTTGTTCCAAATTGGAACCACTCCCCTCCCTCCCTCATCTGACCAGGTGGTCCAGTACAACCGGTCCATTGGTAAGGCCATGGAACCATCGGATTTGGACCAGGTGGTGGACCGGTGGCTCCAGTTTCTTTTTTTCAGCAGAACATTCATTTACAGTGCAATTGTTTTTGATTTTTGAATCATTTTTATGGACACATATGTTTTTAGAATGCCTGACTGACAATAAAGGAACTGTGTTGATACTGATATTTTTTTGCCTTGCCCTTTTTTTACTGCATCTTCTTATGACATCATGGTTTTCTTGCTCTCTTTCTGTTATTGGACTTTATTTTATGGCCATACAAACCTGTGACATTAGTACTTACACATAAACATGTGTTACACTCCATTCTTCCCATTCCCTTTTGTCGTCTATCCGATAATACAAACTATTGCACTATTCATATCCCTTGGTCCAAAACAACGCAACTTGAAGATGCTGATATAAGTATCACGGCGCGCTCTCATCATACTTGCCCTTTCTCGGCTTTATGTCTTCACCTCTCAGCCAACACTGATATCCCTGGCTCAGCTCCTCTTTTTTCATATAAAACCTCGAACGATACTTGGGCTCCCATTACCAAGACTTGGTTCATGACAAGATGCGATGATGTATGGGTGGAGTATTCCTTGTATGCCAGGACATTCTTTCAGGATAGGAGGAGCTACTGAATTATTGTTACAAGGTATAAATCCTGATGTTGTTGCTACTCAAGGCCATTGGCGCAGTAGAGCTTTTCTCAAATATTGGCGTAAAATCAAATTAATTTTGCCGCTATTTATTTTCCATTCTTCCTCATCATCCTCCATAACAGATGTTTGTACAAACATGGATAATTTCCACACCCGTCATCACATACCAGCTCTCACACATGCTCATTGATTTACTTGGCATTTCCTTTCATTCTCTCCCCAACTCACAAGTTTGTTCTCTCTTCACACTTTCTTCTTGTTCACATCTCGTATACTTCTTGCTCGAATAAAAATATTGATTGACTTCTTCATCTATTTGATACTCAATAATTCTTAATCACCAGCTCAGTTTGGGTGGTGTCGGGTTCTTTTCTACAAAAAGTACTTGATGGTATGGAGCTGTGCTCTACCATGGTTAGGTCTCACCCTTTTTCCAAAAATCACCCTCCTTTTTGAGTCCTAGCTATGACATGCTCCGAAGGTCTCTGTCTTTTGAGTTTCCTCCCTTCTCTCCCCTCTCGTTTTCCCGAAATTCAATTTAAGTGTTTTTGATGACTCAGCATCACGTGACCATTATCACGAAAACCAAGACCTTCCCCTAGTCTCCCTTGCTTACCTAATTCAATATATGATGAGTCGATATCTTGTAAATAAGTGTCTGCACCAAAGTAAAACCATTTGGCGTGAACCCCCCCTTCGGTGCCAATAACACGAATATTGAGCTCTTTTGCACCTTGATTTCAAACTCAATCACTCCAATTGAATATGGCTGAGCATCACAGTAAAGGCTAGCTATTGCTTCAACCAGCATAACTCACCACTTAGCCTTTGTTTGAATCAGTAGAGTTGATAGTGAAGCTCTCAGATGACAAACAACGCTAGTTACAAATTTTTCTTCCATCCCAAACAGATGCTGAGCCATTGAGATAGTGAAACTATCAGCCACTCCAATCAAAATGCCACTACAAATTGCAGACACACCTGAACCAAAACATGGGCAAAAAGAAATGGGATATTCAGAGTCATATAGGTCCAAGGTGCTACATAAATTGTTGTAGTTGTGATGCAATAGGAGGGATCATGTACATAACATTTGTTCTCTACAGTAGCTGTTTCAGCTGAAACCTTTATGTGCTTTTTCCTGGTGTGACTAGCCACAAAATGCCGAGTTCAAGCCAAATGTGCTGCTCATGGTGCCTTCTCTATTACTACCGAAGCGGGGGTTCCTGCCAAAGGTCCTTACTTCGGACCAGACTAACCTTCCCCACCAAACCACAAAATATATTATCTCATGACAAATATTTAGTGTTTTCTCTTATAGTATATCAAGGAAAAATGAATATATTCTTCTAACTAAATATATATATATATATATATTTCCATCTCTCACTACTTAGTACAGCAAACTACAAAACTGGGAAATGGGTCAGTTTTTGCTAGGTCGTTTTGCATGATGGCGACAGTCAGCACACCGGCGTCCGGAGCCGTGGGTTACCAGGCCCGTTCCTGGTGGCCTAGTAATGTAAGGCCCAGGTGTATGGTGGATGTTTGTCAACAGATGAAACCTTTATGGTGCTGCAGACTCGGCACTTACTCTTTAATCTCCGCCCATAGGATTTACTGTAAAATTGTTATAATTTAATCTTTCCATGACTTTAAGGCCACACGACAACCTAAGCAGATCAATAAATTTAAGACCAAAAGTACCAGTTTACAAGAGAGAGGCAGCTGCGAACTACAGTAAGAGTATGGATAAGAATTACCGACATAGACTACTGAAGATTTGGCCCTCTTCCAAACATGAACATACAGAAGTACCAACAGAATAGGGCTATGTAAGAGTATAAGCGGACAAACCGTCATTAAGAAGTAAAAAGACTTACCGAGTCATCGTGCAGCAGCGGCTTCAAACCGAGGAAAGCACAAAACCTATTACATTTGTGTAGAGTAGGAAAATTTTCTAGAGTATCCATCGCCAAAACTCGCAGCACACTCTCTGTAAGATTATGTGAGAATACATGAGGACTAAAATAACAACACTCACTTGGATGTAATTACTTGACAGTCTGTTAAAAAGGAACCAGCACCTAGCAACAAGTAAAGGTCAGAAGGCAAGAAATGAAGCATTATTAATTTAACTTACCTTGAAAATCTGAGAGGAAAACCAGGCCCAATGACACCATATACTGAATATGTTGCACACAGCAGAGGAATGTGGCAATCAAATGTTCTTCTTCCAAGAGGCCATGCCGAGGAGTCGCGCAATTGTTGTTGATATACTTCACAAATTTCCCAAAGATCCTTTCCTCAATAATGAAGGTTGCAGTATTCGGATCCGAAGATGAACGGGGAAGAGCGAGACCACAACGAACAACGTGAAGGCGAGGGATAGGCGGGGCTTCTGGGTTTGAATCTTGGTGGGCGAGTACATTGTTGATGAAGCTGTAGGTGTAGTCCATAAGACTTGTTGCCCAGTAAAGACAGTTGCACTCGACCAAGGATTTTTCCAGTTCATCACTAAGGGCTAAATGTCTTCTCCCCAATGCTGAATTATTTGAGGCAACTTCTCTGTAAAAACATTGCTTCGCAACAATTGCTTTGGCTTGTAACAGTGGAATATTGTTGACGTTAGTTGTGAGTGAATCAGCAGTGCGGGAAATAGACGTGGGATGACAAGTCTTAAAAGTCCCCGCTGGCGCTACCATTGACTTTGTTGAACGATCCACAGTCAGCAAGACAGAGGTATACTCGTCTTTACGGCCAACTTTGAAAGATTTCTGTGCTTGAAGCAGTTCCAGGAAAGGCATTGATGGCACGGGGACGATAGTATAGACAGCGGCATCGTCATTAACTACAAAAATAAAGAAATAGCACCAATATAAAAGAGGCATAACTTATGAAATGGTTTGGCCTGACGACAAACACCCTCCTGAGCTTTCATAACAAGATGTAGAAGGTTACGATCTGGTAGGTCAAAGTTGGAATCGTTGGATAGGTTTGCGTCATTATTGAACGGACTCCCAGAGTCAGCAATGTTGGACTGTGCAAGAGTGAGAGACGTGGATTGATTACCGGCAGCGGGCGGTACAATGGAACCAAAAAAGCTTGTTGTTGTAGATGGCTTGCAGATGTGTGATAGAGAACGACGCTAGGAAATATTAGTCAGAGGATAAAGCACAAAAAATATACATACATGCTCTGCAGGTGTGATTTGACAACTTAGAGTTGATGCGGATGCCCTTGAGCTTGAAGGACTTGAAGAGCCCCTTTTTCGTCTTGTAACACACTTTGATTTCAGCATAGTGGCCAATTGGAAAACCTAAAATACAAGGTTAGAACACAAAGTTTGAGCAAAGGAATGAATACATTTTCCATGGGGCTCACACTGGAGTCAGAACCATCATCTCGAACTGATCCATGTCCACCAGTTTTCACTACACGAGAACACTCTTCTTTCCAGTTCAGAATGTCCTCAAATTGTGTGTTAGTCATTACCAGGATGATTGTTACTTTGACATTGGACTGAAGCTTCGGAATAGGGTTTGTCCCTGAAACGCGGTAGAAAAAGTTGTGTAGGACAAGGCGCTCGGTGTTCAAGTATGGCATGCGTGGGTTGTATAGTATCAATTTGGGAGCTCAGTGCATTTCTAGGCTTTCGAGTGAAAGGTTGTATTGTTTTGACCATTCCAAGAACAATGGCTGTAAAGTTTCAATAACATTGAGACAAAGGAAGCAGCACGTAATTGAGAGTGGGATGGAGATATCACGTTCTATATTCTAACATGGCAGTCTAGCAAAAACAGTTATATGATGACATGAAAGAAAACCACTTACTCCTACTAATTCAGAACCAGATTTACCCTCTTCTCGGAGATGATGCAAAGCAATTCAAATAGTTACTTGGCGTTGAGGCATCATTGTGGCAGCCAACATTTTGCTGCGCTGTTGGCCATGAAGAGAATGGTTTGATGTGTAGCCTACACTAGAAGAACTGCGCGGACCAGCAGAGGAAATGGAGGGTGCACAAAAATTGGTGGGAAGTTTATTAGAGATAGAAGCAGGAGGAGGAGGGGGAGGGCCCATTGTTGCTACATCAGACCCGGAAGACTGCCTGGGATATACCTCTTCTGTGGAAACATGACCAAAAACATGAGGTTAGAATGCAAATGAACTTGAAAATAAAAAGAAGGCTGACCTCCACGTTGTGCTGCCGAAGAAGCCTTGACAAGCGCCTTTCTTGCCACAGCATCAATTTCTCCCGGAACAACTGAGAACTCTTGAATAGTACGGATCAAAATGACATCATGAACGTGCACAAAAGATGACATACCAACACGCAATGAACCGCTGGCCGCTTGTCTGTTCAGATAATGCTGGTGGCATTCTGGGCAACAACAGCGACCAGTGCCATCTTTCCCTTTGATGTGATGAAACATTGTCGTAGTCAAACATTGTGCAGCACCTCCCACATTTCTGAGTAGTGGGCTGTAAGTGGATTGGAGTGAACTTGCTGGCTGACATGACTGGACTAGATGCTGAGTGGGATAACGTACCAACATGACATATATATATGTCTGGGTTACAGGTGAGTCTCTGGGCCGGGACTTTACAGGCGCAGGGCACCAGTGAGTCTCACCTTCCTTATTCTTGCTCTGTTCCACTGAGATCCATATTCGAAAAAGTGATGCGAGCGAAGTTTCCATTTGTTAATATCAGTGGGCCACGCAACAAACATGTGGTGGAAGAGGTATTCCGAGTTGGTAGAATCTGTGGGAAGCCAAGCCTGAGCTTCAAGGGATCTGAGACGAGCTTGAACGGGCCTGTAAGGGTTACATTGTCGATGATGAGAACTGTTGTTAGAAAACCACACACAAAAACAAACTAACACACAATCCTCCCAGATTCCACGGAACTTGTTTATGGGCTTTGCCTCCTAGAACAGTGGAGTGGTCTGGTTGTTCGTGGGGTGGTACGTATAAAGATCCTTCAAAGTAAAACCCAGAGGTGTATGAGTGTGGGTTTTGAGGAGGAGGGATAGTTGAATTTATAGAAAGATAGGGGCTTTGTGGTGAGTATAGACGAGCACTACCTTGCTAATCGTAGCACAAGGTAGGTTTGAGAACAACGAGGATGACGAGGTGACGAGGTTCCCAGTGATAGCAGGCTCCTGACGCACAAACTGTAGTGCTCAGAAGGACTCTGATCGAAAGGGATGACAATCACTTTCAAAAGTGACGAGTGACAATGACAGCAGTTAACAGTGGTAGAAGTGGTAAGTGTTGTGACCACACTGGATCACAAGTAGCAGAGTAGTGAACTTGAGAGTAGAGAAGAAGTCTGGATTGGATTTCTTGCTTTTTTTTTTACAAGGTAAAATACAGGGGTTTATATAGTAAAAGAAAAGTAGGCTATGCACAGTATAGCTGTGCAAAAAGAATGAGAAAGAACATGAAGGAAGGAATGTACGCTGACAAATCCTGCATAGGTAGTACAGGATAAGATTGTAAAAAAAGGAAAAGAAAGAGATAGAACAATGAATGCTGTGAGTAATGTCACAGGTTTGTACAGCCATAAAGTAAAGTCCAATAGCAAAAAGAGAGCAGAAAAATCATGATGTCATGGGAAGATGCAGTAAAAAAGGGCAAGGCAAAACACTATCAGTATCAACACAGTTCCTTTATTGTCAGTCAGGCATTCTAAAAAATATGTGTCCATAAAAATGATTCAAAAATCAAAAACAATTGCACTGTAAATGAATGTTCTGCTGAAGAAAAAGAAACTGGAGCCACCGGTCCACCACCTAATCCAAATCCGACAGTTCCATGGCCTTACCAATGGACTGGTTGTGTTGGACCACCTGATCAAATGAGGGAGGGAGAGGAGTAGTTCCAATTTGGAACAAGTGAGTCCCAGGCAGCGTGTGGTAGGTGTAGCTGTAGCGAAGACGATGGACAAAAGATAAGTGTACCCAAGTGAATGGGACAGCAATAAACATGGGCGACGCAAGGGGATGAACCTTCTCCAGCTCAAAAACTACCCACCCACGCTCCAACCAGGCAAGACGAGCGACCGATGTTTTGATAGTATATGATGGCAGATCGACGACATGAAGATGGTCCTGTTGCCCTATTTGGACCGGCCGCCGGGGCTTTGCTGATATCAGCAGTGGCACGTGGTAGTCAACGGATCGGCGACGGAAGCAGATAGGAAGTGGTGACATCAGAAATGGTGGGGGTGCAAATAAGATGAGGAGGAGGAGGGTGGAGGTGACGAACAAGTGGATTAGAATGGGGATCCAGAAACGACCGTCAGGTGAGAATAAAAAGGAGAGGAAGGGGCCCATGGTGGGGCTAGGCAAAGGAAGGGGAGTAAGGGAAATGACAAAAGCGAGGGCGCAATGCAATGTGTAGCCAGTGGCAACACGAAAATTTGCCAAAATGCCGAAATGCGGAAAGTACCGAATGGAAAAACAAAGGTGAGCGTGACTGGATTGCCTAATAGAGGTGGTGCTGATCAGCCACAAGTTCGAAAAAGGCAATATTAATTACTATTCCACGTAGCACTGTGCCTGTGTGGCGCAAAGGTGAGTCTTTTTGAATATTTGCTTCGTTATTGACACCTGTCCATGCTACCAATCAACTTTGTGTAAGGACCATTTTATTATTTTCTTATCTTCACTATGTCTTGGTTCTCAAACACTTTTCCCGTTACACCTCTGGCTCTAGGGCTAGAGGTATCCTTTGCCGTTTTACTTCTCATAGCCCTCACAGGCTTTCTTAACCATCACTACCATTTTATATCACAGATCAGAGACTGGGTATCGCTCCCAGCCAGCCAGCACACTGAGTAGGGACTGGTAGTAGGCATCTCGCCAACCAGCTCCAAGCCTCAGTAAAGCCTGGTTATACTAATAACACCTTATTCAGGATCGTACCTCATTACGAGGATACGGTTCCTGAACACACGTGACAATCCTCTATTATTAGTACAAGTCTCTCACCTGCTGATTAATCAAGTTAAAAATTGTACGATAGTTGTTCTCTCTTTTTCTTATTGGTCGATTGATTCCTCAGACCACTTTTCGTATATTCTCCTTTTGGTCTGAGGAACGAACAGTTCACTATATAAAGCCTTACCTATTCATGTATGGCTCCTTAGTTTTCTATTACTGAATTTACCCGCTTTACTCCTCAACAAGAACCTTTGAAGCTTACCTCTCAAAAGTCCTCTACTTGCTATATTTACTAGCGTCTGTCGACCTCAAGCTTATCAAATCCCTTACTCCCTGCAAGTGCAGAAGGAGACAGGTTTTGTTTTTGTTATAGTTTATTGTTGCCTCACACTTTGGTGCATGACAACGTCCCTGTACCAGGACGCACAACTACTAGCCATGTAGAACTAGGAAAACAATGATGTGAGTACCACATCCCCACATCCTGCTTACCAGCTTACATTTCACTCGTGAATTCAACAGAATCAGGATATGCACGGCACACTGCTCAACTAGGTCATCAAATCAACCAACCTGACCCCCCCAATTTAATACGGCAATTTCTGTTTGACTAGATCCATCTTGACGATGCAAATGCTCCATCCTCACATGATATTCCCCTTTTGCTTTGTCCGTACTTCAATGGCCAAGTCTCAGTCTTCCACTCCGCTACTGCATACTACTATGCACCTTGTGACCCCAGTTGCATCGGTTGCATGAGGCACGAGATCCTCAGAGCAGTACCATCTTGGCGTGGGGGTGCTCCTTGACATGACTGTGTCTTCGTCGAGCGAGATCCTAGTCTTCAAGGCATGCAAGGACTGGACGTTGTCCGGATCCTGGCTTTTTTTTCTTTCTTGTTTGAGGGTGTTTACTATCCTTGTGCACTTGTGCGATGGTTTTCAAAGGATGACAACATGCCTGATGATCTCACAGGCATGTACAAAGTTCAACCGGACTTCAATGAAGATAACTCTCCATTAGTAGAAATCATTCACTTAGATTGTGCTCTTTGGGCTACCCATCTACTTCCAATATTTGGGGAAGGATTTATTGACTCAGATGTTACCTGTCATAATTCCCTTGATAGCTTCAGTTCATTTTATGTCAATAAATTCATAGATCATCAGGCCTTTGATATAATATTTTGATTGTTTTTTTTTCTCTGCTCTTATTCTCGCTTTTTGGTGCTTTTTTGTTTGTACCACTTGTGAATGATGATCTTGCCTTTATGTGCAGCTTTACTAAGTTTTGTTAAATGTCCAACTCACTTGTGCGACTTCCATCAAACTTGTGACTTTCTCGTCATCTTAAATTTCCTTTATCATATTATATTCAACTTTCCTATCTTACACTGCTTGGAAACAAAAATAAGCTGCCCAAGGAGTTGCACATTTTACTGATGCTCCTTCTTGATCTTCATCTTATCAACCCCAAAAATGTGTCCTAGGAGCTATTTCAAGGCTTGGGTGGTATCAAGTTTGTCAATAGCACAGGCCATCGGCACACGGTGTTGCTCTGAAGCCCAACTTCGCATCATCAAAGAGCTATCAAACGGTAAAGGGTATAAACCGAGTCACTCCGCTTTCCCAGCAATATACATCTGGATACTCGCTAGCCAAGCCATAGTGATTCCTTGCCGATGTAGTCTGGCGTAGTCGTCAATAGTATTCTATAGTCCTTATAGGTGGTGTACATATCGTAGAAAATAATGGCAGGAGAGCTAAGATTCATGTTACAGTGCCGAGTCAATGCTGAAGGTATTGGATTTCATTGATACTAGTAGCTGCAGCTGGCTGTTGAACGTCGAAAATGACGGTGGTTGAATTGCTAGATTATACATTGTACAGAAGGGCCATTGACTACACAACATACAAGAAAGCTTGAAGCGCTATCTAATAACCAAGAGACGCATGAAATGTCTCTGATTATTTACATAGAACTCATCATACACTCTCATGCTCGTATCACAGGTTGCTGCAGGATCGGCTTTCTTGTTGTACTTTGGAACCAAGTGAATGACTTGGCAGACGTCTGTTAATGGGACAACAGCTAAGCTGTTTGAATAAGATTGATGGCAAACAAGATACATCTGGATATTTGGTGCTGGAATAGCAAAACAAACTCCATTGGCCTCGGCATAGTGGAGAGGGGAATAATCAAAAATTTTGATGCAAAGCAGAGGTGAGGATGCATGTGCATTTGAAGGCACAGGACAAAATATGGTGTGAACCTGTGCTACAATATAACCTGGAATAGTGTGTCAGTAAGTACTGGCATGAGATCTCATAATACATCACCAATGTTCTGATACATCTGCTGACAACATCATTCCCTCATCATGTCGGATAAGGAGAGTATCACAGCGACCATGTGGTAATGTGTCACTCGGGGGAAGAGCCTGGACTGTTCGGGGGGGTAAAAGAATGGCTTTGCAGATGACATCAAGTCTGTTGAAAGGAATGGCATTTCTGGAAACACCGAAAAATGTCACAAGAACAGACGAAAGATCAGGAATGGAATATGTTGTAGTAGCATCTGTAATAGAAATAGAGGGTGCATGAGGGCGTTTTGTTAAAAGAAATGCAGTGAAATGATCATATGAGATATGAGAGCGGGGCTTGTTGAATAACGAGATGATAAGCTTCTTGGAATGTAGATTTTGTTCCTCCGGTAGTACCTGAGAAAGCCATATAAGCTCAGGATAATGGACTGAAATCAAACCGACACCTTGTTTCATGGAATTGATAAGACTTGCACCGTTTTCCTTTAAGGTGGTGTAAAGTTGGAAGAAACATTGTTTTTCTTGGCGGTCCAGGAAGCGGCAGCACTGGCCATGAAAATCTCTGTGATTTGAACCCCTATATGGTGTCTTGACTAGCGTGATATGGCAGCGCTCCGTTATATCACTGGTCCATTGGAAAGGTGCCCCAAGCAGCTTGATACTCCATTCTACATGGTGCATAAGTTCCAGCTTTGGGATTTCGAAATGCTTGAGTAGATTCTTCTTTGCACCTCGTTGACCACCTGCTTGAAAGATACTCCCTTTATAATGGTAAAACTGTCGGAGAGCTTCATTCATTGTGTGCATTATTTTGCCCGTATGTAACAGACTTTGTGCCAGAAATATGAAGTCTGTTATGGCACGGAGTGCACATAGGGCGTCATTAGAAACAGCACCTGCTGACACAGCAATGAGAACCTTCTTGAGTTCGCAATGTTCACGGCCGGTACACTGCTTGATTTGGGAGATTCCTTGGGACCAATGGTGCACTCCAACTCTTGGCTGAAGAGCTGAGAGTCGCAGGTCAAGCTCAGGGCCCCCAATGATGTTGATCACCCATTTGAGAACATGGTCATAATAAAATTTATGCCAGTTGTGTAGCGCATCGGGAGTAAGGAATATTGAAGGGTCGGCCATCCCCCAATCACGCCAAAATGGCTCTGTTACCCCATTCAAATGCATAGTTTTGCATTTTTTATGAAACAGGTTGATTTTGTTCGCATTAACAAGAGAGCAGACCTTCTCAATGGTGTTTAGTGTTAGCTCTTGAGAACAGATTGGTTGAGGTGTAGGATTACCAAAATGACGAGAGTTGGAGGTGGAGATGGGTGAGTGTTTCACAGACATACATGAGATCAGCAGCTGTTCAGGCAAATTTGTGATCCAAGATATTAGGGGTGTGTGTACACAATGGAGATGCCCAAATGGGTCAGATATCAAATGTGGTGTACACCAAGTCTCCTTCAGGCTGGCCATGACAATGTTGATACAGAAATGATATATTTGTGCCGATAAAACTGACTGAATGGAGGCAGAAACATCGATGAACTTGGGAATGGGTAAGTAGGCGACCAAAGCAAACACATGAGATGAGGCTTTTATTCAAACTGATGGGTGTATGTTTGCGAGAGATAGGAGGACTGGATGCATCTCTAAGTTGCCGGTTCCTACAGTCAGTGGGGTTTTGTCAGAAGCGGTGATGATACCCACAAGTGTATTACCACTGGGAATTGAAGACTAATCACATAAAACACATATATAGTAGCAAAAAAACATCACTTACTTGCAAGTCCCACGCAAGCTCTCCACTCATGAACTTGTCATATGCTCGTTTTTCCCCTCTTTCTGTCTGCTCATATAACCTGTAGGGCTCCATATCCATGGATGAAGTGAAAACAGGGTTACTGAAGAGCATGTCGACTACTTCTATACCTTCTCGATAGTACAGTGTTATGGGGCGCTTTGTCTTGTAAGGCCCCACCGTAATGTTTACATGCTTCCAGTGTGGGACATCCGGCAATGATTCTATTTGAGTCTGAATGTCCCTAGCGGTAGTATAACATAAATCCTGTTGTTTAACCTGTAATTGCAGGTTTGAGGATATTAGAAATTGAAAACAATAATGAAAAAGTCTTACATTATCAAGTCGTAAGAATGTGTCAATTTTCTGTTGGGATAATGAGGTCAAACTCAGCCGGTTCGCTAAACCCCACTCTTCTTGTGATGTGAATGGGTAGTGTAGATTCTCCTTTCGAATATGGACAAAGATGTCTTCATCCATTTTCTGTAAGTAATTCCGACCACCAGGCCAACTTGAAGACTTGTTCGGATGACAATCTCTGGTTATACCGAATGCATCTCGAGACCCTGTAGAGTTGTTAGAATGCAAATCATAGCTATTACTAACTGCAGGCTCATCAACATGACGAGCATTGCTGTCGGGTTCAACATCCATAGGAACTGGGATAGCTGCTTCGCTATGTTCCTCCTCAGTCCCCCCATGCAAATTTTCATATTCATCATCCTCAGAGTCACTCCCATACAGCTGAGAGTCGTCACCAGGATCATTGACCACTAGCATACAAAAGTCATTATATGAAAATCATTGGGGCTAAAATTACTTACTATCCAGTGCAGTCTCTGGGTCGTCGCAATAATCACTATCATATTCTGGATCAGCGTCCGCAAGCCATTGCCCACAATTGCTTTGTGGAGATGAGAGATTATGTTCTAGTTCTTCATGGCTCTGGAATATTCTTGCACAGTTCAAACAAAAGTAGTCAGTGTTAGAAGTTGAAGCAGGCGGAGTGGAATAACCAGGAAAAGCGAGGGACATATTGGGGTCCATCGTTTGGTTGATGAGGAGCTATAGAAGGCGAAGGGTAATTTAAGGCCAGGAAAATATTTAGCACAGTAAAAGCGGTTGTGAGTTATAAACAAAAAACTGACCTGATTGCGGACTTAGAGAGTGGAGGGATGCAAGTTAGAGAGAAAGATTTCTGCGGACTTTGACATGGTCACTTGTACCTAAAGAAAGCTTTTTTCACCCTCTCGATCTCAACCTCACTTGTACCTAAAGAAAGTCTAGTTGTGCATATCAGTACGGTGCGCATACCTTGAGGTATCATGAGGATGATTGACAATTGAATGTGATCATGGCATCAACAAGATCACTGATCCCTGGCCATCAGGAAAAACCCTTTTGCTATATAGCGCTATATAGCCACCACCTCTATATATATAAATGCATTCATAGAAACTATAGTACTATCAGTGCAATCATAGCTCTTATAGCTCTTATAGCATAGTAGTAGGCAAAATCTTAACCAAGGGGAGAAGTATCTATAATTTGCTCAAACTCTGGATTAATGTGATAAACTTCTTCAGTAATAGAAAGAGGCCAAAAGTGTGAGGCAACAATAAACTATAACAAAAACGAAACCTGTCTCCTTCTGCACTTGCAGGGAGTAAGGGGTTCAATGAGCTTGAGGTCGACAGACGCTAGTAAATATAGCGAGTAGAGGACTTTGAGAGGTAAGCTTCAAAGGTTCTTGTTGAGGAGTAAAGCGGGTAAATTCAGTAATAGAAAACTAAGGAGCCATACATGAATAGGTAAGGCTTTATATAGTGAACTGTCCGTTCCTCAGACCGAAAGGAGAATATACGAAAAGTGGTCTGAGGAATCAATCGACCAATAAGAAAAAGGGAGAGTAACTATCGTACAACTTTTAACTTGATTAATCAGCAGGTGAGAGACTTGTACTAATAATAGAGGATTGTCACATGTGTTCAGGAACCGTATCCTCATGATGAGGTACGATCCTAAATAAGGCGTTATTAGTATAACCAGGCTTTACTGGGGCTTGGAGCTGGTTGGCGAGATGCCTACTACCAGTCCCTACTCAGTGTGCTGGCTGGCTGGGAGCGATACCCAGTCTCTGATCTGTGATATAAAATGGTAGTGATGGTTAAGAAAGCCTGTGAGGGCTATGAGAAGTAGAACGGCAAACGATACCTCTAGCCCTAGAGCCAGAGGCGTAATGGGAAAAGTGTTCGAGAACCAAGACATAGCAAAGATAAGAAAATAATAAAATGGTCCTTACAAAAAGTGTTTGGAGTCAAGTATATTATTATAGGCAAGGTACTATAAGTGCTCTTATAGCCTATAGCAGCCTGCATAGCTCCTATAGCTGTGAAGGTCATAGTTATAATATAGTTCAAGGTGCTTAAAAGGGCTAATAAATCATACAGTATTAATTAATTATATAGCCTGTATTAATGAGATAGTAGTTTGTATCTTTGATATTTATAAAATAAGAATAATGATTTATCTAAATATAAGTAGTGACAATGAGTAAAAAAATAATCTAAGTCCATGAAAGGTCAATATATAACACCTGTATATATATTTTATAAGCTCTCATGGTGTAGTGGATAAATGTGATGTGTGGTGATAGGTTGCTTAGTCACCCAAAAGCTGACTAGCAGGTTGAAAGTTCAAGTCCTGTCTGTGTTAATTTTTTTTTATCAGCCACACAACAATTTCCAACATCTATAAGAGCATTTATAGAGCTATATGAGGCTCTATAGATGGCAGAGGTTCTATAACAGATTTGACCACTATAACAGCTTTATGAGTACTTATAGTGCTATAGAGCTCTATATAGCTACCCCCATTTTTCCTGATGGCCAGTGAGTGAGTTGGCACAACCTGCAGGTGCGTGAGAAGATCAAGAACCTTAAGCCTCCAAGTCCTCCACAATGTCCGCAAGTCTTTAGTATGATAAACCTTGCAGAACCAAGGACAGCATTACCTTCATGTCCATTAGACTCACCCCTGGAGAAGCCCACAGAGCCAGAGCTTGAGGTTGCTAGTAGTAAAGGCAGCAAAAAATGCAGACTTCCTGCAGGTGATTTTGACATCCTACCGCCTCCCAAAAAAAACATGAAGAAATTATTTACCTCAGTAAGTGCTTGGTTGCCCTACTCACCTTCTTTTCCATATTGACGAGACTCAGGCTTTCATAGAGCGTAGCAAGGAAGTTAATGTTTACTTTGCACGCAAACGTCTTTCTCTTGCACGAGCCACCAGAGCCACCCTCACTTCTGCGGAGCACACAGCAAAATGTTGATTACAGGAGGCTGAACTAGTACATGATCTGGCAAAGGATGAGCTCGAAGAGGCCCAGTTTTGGAAAAAGAAGGCAGACATACAAGTTGGTGCAGTGAGACATTACCTTGATCGTGAGGGCATTCCACTTGCAGACTCGGATGGCTTGGTGGGAGGGATAGTTCCAGACTTCGATAAGATACCTCTATCAAGTCCAGAGAATTCAAGTGAGCCCTCCAAGTCCTCAGGATCAGATGATGGGCATGAGTGACATGCCTACCGACTTGGATCTTGTCATTTTTTTCATCATGCATAGTATTTAAAATGTACAGATTGTGCAATGTAGTGTACACTATATTATATTCTCAATACATGTTTTTGTGCAGTGTTGTAATCATTATTCCTGACTTGAAAGGCTTGAACTTTTGAACTGCGTGAATGTGTGGAAATTTGGACTTGGGGAAGAAACCATCGCCTATTACGATAACACAATTTTTGGACCTTTCCTTTAATTTTCATTCTCCATTTTAACCTTTTTACTATAGTTCACACTCCGTGCCATGCGGCATGTTCCTTTTTCATTCTAACTCCACCTTCTCACGCAGCGCTGCCTTTATTCTTCTTTTAGACACAAACTCTCTCATGCAGTGGAGCTGGTCACACGGGCTACGCCCTCTGATATCATTAGCCACTACTTTTATCAACTGTACAGTACATAGGTACAAACACTCTGTATTAGTATAAATACCCCAATAGATCAAGGAGACTCCTCAGCGAGTCCTCCTGTTGTTAACCAACAAACTCTCTGCAGCCTAAGGGGTAACCACTCCCCATTCACTACCCTTATAGTGTGTTCTTGTGTGCGCCAGAGTAACTAACTCTTGGTTGTTACATCGCCTGTCTACATTAAACTCACTTAGTATCAGCCTGATGCCATGATCTACAGACATTATGGTATCAGGCTTGTTCATAATCCTATCCATCCTGTCCATTACCGTCATTACACGTTTCTTTCATTAACTTCTATACAGTATAATGAAGCACTGTCAACACCATGGTGCACTTTCATGTAAGTCTCATTTTGCATGTATTATACATCATTGCATCCACTTAGTTTTTTATGTACACATACAGGGTTTCCATACATTAAAATCTGACTTTTTATGTTCGAGTAGTGTAGTATTTTAGGATTTCCCAGCTTGATACTCTGAAGTCCCCAGTCAGTCTTATTCAACATGTCAGGTGAGTCTTTCGTTGCTCATTTTTTTGCAGATCTAACTTGTATTTTAGAGACAATACAAGGTTCAAGAGGGCCTGGTTGCCCTCGAGGTTCAGGAAGAGGGAGAGGGTCTGGTCTGGGTCGGGGTGCTACTTCTCAAGTCGATCCTGGCCCTCAACTCCCCGCATTTCAACCACGTCCATACAGAGGCCCATCGTACAATGCTGGAGGAGCCTTCAGCTCAACAGATCAACCCCATCCGACCCCTCAAACACTCCAGTCTCCGATCCATCGCCCTTTCTCAACACTGCTCACGCAGCCACTCCCATCCCAGTCTTTTCAGCACGATACCCAACATTCTCCCCTGCCAATTCCTACACCAGTGCAACATCCAGCGCAACATCCCTGGCCCGTACATTCTCCATTTCCATCTCTGCCAACACAATATCCCCGGCCTACACACTCTTTGGTTCCTCCTCGGTCACCTCCACCACAGCTACCTCCCATAGGCCAATTTCAAGAGCACCGCCAACAGCCACATCCCCTGCCCTCGCAGCCTATTATAAACTCCCACTATCTATCCACAAGCCCCTACCCAAACTGCAACCCCAACATGTGGCCCCCTCTATCTAGTGCACCCCATACCCGCCCATCTCAAGATCAAAGTCAAAACTCCCTTTCAACCTCACCGCCCTTCTCTCCTAGCTTTGCCAATGTTGTCCAATCCAGGCCTTCTGCAAGCCAGCCTCAAAGTATGGTCCGCCCAATGTTGCCTGCCCCCAGCACCAAATTTCAGCCTGCCATTTTGCGGAGCAGTGGGGCCCCCTGGGCTCGAGACATAGCCTCCCAGATGCCACCATCCTCCAGCACCACTAATCCCAGCACTGAAACTCGACCTACCATTCTGCACAGTAGCAGGGCCCCCAGCACTCCAAATGCAGTCTCCCAAATGTGATTTCCCCCCGGAACTATGAGTCCCAGCACAGGAACTCGACCCTCTGTCCCACAAACTACTACGGCTTCTACAGCCAGCTCTAGTACAGTGTCATCCACAGCATCTTTACGCAGAAGGATTGCTGCTGCGTCATTGATTCAGGTAATGTATCAACATTGCCTTGTAGCATTCTCCATGATATGCCCTGTAATATCATTACTGATATACCTACATATACAGGCTTCTGGAAGGATCACTGATACATTGGCTGACCATCAATCCCAACAAGTGTCCCGCCATCTCCCCTCCCAGGACTTCCTTCAGCAATTCCAAAACCATACACCGCCCAACTCTTCTGCTCCCTCACGAAGGTCTCATACCGCTTCTCGCTCACGTTGTTCCAGCCGTTCCCGTACTCGCCGTCGTTCTCAGCAGTCATCTTCTGAAGATTCATGTTCCAACTCGCAAGATCAAGACACAGAGGATGATGAAGACAGAAACCCTGCAAATACTGATTTTGAGATAAATGTGATGGCGAAAAGCCTCGTGCCCAACAACATTCAAAGAAGGAGAAGAAACCCACACCTTGGGATATGGCATTCTACCTGCCAAAGGTTCAGAAGAGGATTGCTTGTGCACAAATGTTCTATGGCCAAGAGGTCGCTACCTCCTGGGGATTTCCATACTTGGCCAAAGGGCCACCTCCCGAGCAGCCTCACCGGAGCACTGAAACCAAGGAGGAAGCTTGGAACACTATCAATCAAACCAATGACAGCTACCAATGTGAGTCTATCAAGCATCCTCAATCGTGATAGCAAACCTAACATCTCCTTCAAAGATCCCGAACTCGACAAAGGTATTCGAAAATTGGTCAAGTTTTCATTTTTTTCATTTACTTGAACGCTAATATCTACTCTATAGATCAGAGACGAAGGCGCGTCGCTGCGTGGCAAGGTTAGAGATTATGGATGGATTGCTGCTAATCATTATAATATACCAGTACCAGCCGACAACATATTGTCAGATCCGGATAAACTGAAGGAATGGGAGGACCACATAATAAATCAATGGCTGGGAAAAGACACAAAGATGTTTCTGCATGGTCAAATGGCTGATGGGAGGACAGATTGGTATGGACATCCTGCATTGGATGAAATGATGGTTGGGTTTTGGTTTGGAAGATGCTCCTATACTCGTGATTTTCTGCACAACTTTCAACCGCCAAACAAGATGACTTTGGCACTCACTTGCACAGCTGTATGTATTTTCATTTATGCATATTCATATCTACTGACAACTCTTGATAGCTCAAATGTTCTATTGAAGAAAAGATTCGAAATATAGCTTTTCAATCCATCATCCATGTCGTCAAATTCAAGACCGATAAGTATCAATCATTCTATAAGACACACATAGCTAGTATTGAGAAGGCAATGAACTCACAAATCATTGGGCCGATTGTCAAGAAGTGATGTGATGACTGGGCCAGACGTGGGAGGTAGGTGGTATAATGTCCATTCAAGCATTCCTAATGCCTATTCAATGAGTAGCAAGCTACAGAGAAGCCACACTGAAGGTAACCACCAATTTGATGGTGATGGTGATGATGACGAACTAGGGGCTTCTTTTATTCCAAGTGATTCAGAGCTGGAATGAATGTAATTACTGCTTTACTGCTATCTCGTTGTATATGCCCTATGGAATCACTTGTAACGCCATGATCTATGGATTATTTCACTTAAATTTCACTGGTTTTTTATTCAGCTATTGTACTATGTGGTGGGCCATTTATGAATTAAACTCTGGGATTCAATTTTTCATTGTGCGAGCAAGAAACCAACGCATCCTGTTATGTAGTGCGTCTGTAATAGCTTTGTAGCAACGGTTCACTACGCATAATGCTGTTTGTGTCCGGACACTAAGCGAAGCTACAGAAGCTACGTAGCAATGGCCAGTCTACCGATGTACACGGATAATGTCAGACCATCTCGATCCACCTTTTTTAGTCAATCATCAAGTGTCTGGCCACTCGAGGTTGACTGAGCATGCAAAGTAGGTAAGCATGACTTTCTGCTTACCTAATATTTCCAGCTGACATATGCCTTGTACCCCCTTGCACTCAATCCCTGGCCTGCCTGCGAACTTTACCATACAAATTTTATATAGTAACTATTTTCCTTTCCATATTCGTGACATTTTGTCTTCACCAATTTTCCCTTTACTTGCAAAGCACATTTTATAATAATATTGATACTCACAACAGTCACGGTCACACTGCATGGGCAAATTAGAGGTATAAAAGCGGCTGTTGAATATACTAAGATGCCGTGTTCCGCGGTGTCTAAAATTCCAACCGTAACCAAACGACCACCGTACCGACATGGTTCAGCTGTGCAGAGCGTATTATCCTGCAAGCCCTTTTAGAGTCAAGCACGCAAATTTGTCCATCAGATCCAAGAGAATTCGGACTGACATCGAATGCAGAGCGTCTCAAGTGAAGGCCGGTGCTATACCCACACAGCATCGATATCAATGAATGTAAGGTCTCACCACCATTCTCAGCGTCGTCAGGAAAGATGCCAGTGGCGCCATTAGTAAACTATTCATCTCATCATGATTCTTTCTACAGTAGCTGTGTTCCTGGGCCCTGGCTGCTGGCTGCTGACACGGAGTATCGTAGTACTGGAAAACTTATAAAGGCTTGTAATTTTACTCGATAACGACCACTCGCCTAACAGCTCACCAGAGAGAACCAGAGGTCTGTTATTCAGGAGTTTTTTCTTGAGTGAACCACTCTACTGACAAGGACGAACTGTCTTTCTCCTCAGGTTTACCATTGACCGCCAATACACACTTCTTGAGATTTCCCCCAGCATATCATAGGTGTGCGACACGGTAGCTAGTGAGTCCTGTTGTATTTTCTTGGGCGAAGTCGCGGTTTCTAACGCTGAGCGTGCTCTACATTCCTATGTGGCAGCATAAACTGACGGTACACTTTGAAGTCACTTATCGGTCAGTAATCCGACGACTCTCTCTGTGGAAACTGCGATTGTCACCGCCGCACAAAATATGATAAGGATATTTATGGGGAGGCCAAGTTACCCTGTGAGCGGGCAAGTGCGATTCGGAGGACCGAGAGTTACTTCAGGCGGCCAGCCTTCCAATTCAGCATCCGGTATGCCGTCGCGTTTACTGCCAACCAGAAGAAAATCCAGGGCATACTTACCCTCCAACATGCAAGCTGTTGTCTTTGAGCGCGTAGTATGCAGAGGCGAAGAAGGTGGTGTAGGATTCGTGAATGTACTGCGGTTGTGATACTAGCAATTTAAGGATGCGAATAAATATCGAGTGGCTACCTAGCTACCTCATGTCTGAGGAAGGTTCTGATAGAAAGCTGGATCGCTGCCAGATGACCGTAGTAGTGGAACTCTCCGTGAGTTCAAGCTGGATTTTGGCAAGAACGCTTTATGCTGAGAACTACAAACTGGAGTAGGATTTCCCGAATGGGATTGACCACTCTCGGCCCCGATTAAATGAATGTGGGAAAGGATTAATAATTTATTTGTGGTTTACGCCAGCAATATTATTATTTCACAGCTCTTCTGTACATTGACTCTATGCATAACGCCAGTCTCACTCATATTTGCTTGAATTGAAGAGGAAAGTCAATAGTTGGGATCATGGCGCCTGCTCACATTGCTATCCTTGGTGGCGGGCTTACAGGCTTATCATCTGCATTTCATTTATCTCGTCGTTTTCCAAACTCGCTAATCACGTTACTGGACAAGGAGACACGGCTGGGTGGATGGGCTCGTACTAAGCGTATTCAGGTCAAAGGGGCTGATGGAAAAGAAGGCATTGTTGTAATAGAAGCAGGCCCACGGACATTGAGGCCAAATGCGAAGTCCGTCTTGGAACTTGTAAGTTCAAGATTGTAGACCCCCTGATAAAAATATCACAGCTCCCCTTCTTGTTGACTTTCTGTGTATGATTGCTAACTTGGCTACACCAAGGCCAGATCAACCTATTGGACTTGAAGTCCTCGCTTGTGACCGTCTCAAAGTCATCGCCAGCAGCCAGGAATCGCTATCTCCGCATTCCTAACCATGCCGGCCTAGAGAAAATTCCATCCTCCCTGCTTTCTATGCCGTTTTCTTCACTTGGCCGGACCATGCTACTTGGTGGTATGCGCGACATTTTTAGCCGACGAAATAGACCACCGATATCCGACGAGTCTGTCGACTCGTTCTTGGCACGTAGATTCGGTGAAAAAATAGCAAGGACATTTGGAAGCGCAATTATACATGGTATATATGCCGCCGATTCTCGTATGCTAAGTTTACGTGCTGCGTTTCCGTCCATGTGGGAGTCGGAGGATAGGGGCAGCGGAAGCGTCAGTATGGGATTCTTGCGACCAGTACGGAAAACAGAAACGAATACCAACCATCATTACGAGCTAGGAGACGTGATGGACTTGATGCGGGACGTATCTGTGTACTCGTTTAAGGATGGTATTGGTTCGCTCACTGACACCTTGGCACGGGAGATCAGGAAGAAGCCAAATGTAAGGGTATATAGCGGCGTAGGTGTCACATCCCTACGTCTTAGTTCAGGAAGTAAAGGATTCGAGGTAATTTTCTATTATTATCCGCTGTATATATATGTATTTTTTTCATATGCTTTTGGCGCAGGTGACCACTGTCTCAAACGAAACATTGCATCCGACTCATGTAGTATCAGCACTACCACTACCACGTTTGCACTCTCTTCTACCGCCGACACTTGCCCTTCCTCATCTAAAAACAAACCCTTACACTTCCGTGACAGTCGTGAACTTGGTATTTTCTGCACCGTCTGGATCTTCACTGCATCCTCCAGGGTTTGGCTACCTCGTCCCACGGCCTGATAGCGGGTATACTGCAGAAGATGCCGGAATTTTAGGCTGTGTATTTGACTCGTCAGCGACCGCGTCCCAAGACAATGTGGATGGAATCGTCAAATTGACGGTTATGCTTGGTGGGCCCTATCCCATCTCACCGGCACACGTCGAGATTTCTACCATCTTACGCAACTTATCTATCCATCTGGGCGTGTCTCTACCTCAGCCACTAGCAGTGCGCATACATTCAAATGCTAACTGTATACCGATGCTGGGAGTAGGTCACGTAGAGCGGATGAAGGACCTGAAACAAGTACTCGAGCAAGAGCCCTGGAGCGGACGACTGGAAGTCGTTGGAGCAGGAGTTGGTGGGGTCAGTGTAGGTGACTGTGTCGAAGCAGGCAGAGGTGTTGGTCAAAATTGGGCGTGATATGATTTCGTTTTGAGCTGCTTCTATGTATTAATCAACTGAAGAACATGAAGCTAGAACGAATAATATTGCTAATACTAATAGACACATAATAAACCAAGCATTGCGATACCAGTACAGAGTGACAGTTGAAATTAGTAGATAGATAATAAAACCAAGTCCGATACTATAATCATCATATATCTGTATATCCTACAAGAAGCATCATTGAGCCAATTCACCATGTTCCCAAGGCACGGAAATGACTCCAATTTGATACTCTCCACGCTCGCCGGTTGATGGTTGCTCTGAACTCCCTTCCATACCAGAGGTATTATTGGTCAGACGGATAGGAGAAGGCATCGCAATCATGACTGCGACCTGAACAGCCTCTGGCAGACCGTCAGGCTTATCTGGTATCTTGTTTTGCTTTCTGCCTGGAATGAGTGAGCGCAATGTGCGTGGTCGCAGTCCACTGATGGACACCGGTGCAGCCAGGCCATCAGACGTCGCACTCTCCGCCGAGTATGCTGACGTCCCCTCCTTAATTCTTGGAATGGAATCACCACGCATTAGGGTGGCCGATATCGGCTGTAAGGCAGGTTTGCATCAGAGGTCATGCGAGAAGGCATGAGGGTATCGTCGGAAGTACCCCCGGCGTGAAGAGAAGAGATAGACGCACCATGATCGTCCGCCAATTCCACGAATCCTGGTCGTCCAAGCTCTTCAACCAAGTCTCCCAAAATGCTGGTCTAGTCTGCTTCTCCACAAATTTTGCCCTTTGCACAGCTTCGTCCCATGACTCGCCAGTGCGAATCCTGAAGCCCCTTCGAGAGCCGATGCCGCATCCCACGAAGATGAGCAGAAGAGCGATGAAGGTGATGAGAAAGCCGAAGAAATAGTTTGCGCTGCTGTTTCCACCCGAAGAGCTGCTTGCTGGGGATGCGGTACTGCTGCTGGACGATGAGCTCGTCGTCGCGGTTGAGACAAGAGAGCCCGAGGAGGAGGACATAGGGCTTGTTTTGTCGGACGAATTAGATGTGCGATATCGTGGCACCTAGAGGAAGAGTGGGCTGAGAGAAATGTTGACCAGCAAGATTGTTCTCATTGGGACGGTCGCCTGGGTGAAAAACAAACGTCAACCCGGGCCATCTTACTTGGCAGATTCACAGTTGGTAATTATAACCGTGGTGAAATCCACACGTGCTCCTTATTATCTACACACTTGCGACTTCCATTTTCAAAAACAATACATTGCACCATGAACTTGAAGCTCGCAACCGTTTCGTGCATAGATACAGATTATTTGTACACAAAAGTAGTTAGCAGGGACTTCATAATATCACACAGCTTTCAGGCCCTCCCAATGCCGGTAGTTCCAGCGGCAGGCATCGTGGTTGTTGTTGTCGAAGGCTGAAGCGCTGTGCTCCAAGTGGCAGTGGTGGGCCAAGGGGTTGCCGCAACAGCTGGAGAGGTCGTGCCGTAGGGGGCGGGGCCAGGGACTATCACAGAGTAAAAACTCAGTAGGGCTTTCGAAAGTGTTCCAGTAAGAAAACTTACTCGTGTATGCATCTAACTGTTGATAGATATTAATCAGGATTCCAGGGTCAGTCGGGCTGTAGGCTCCAGGAATATTGACGGTAGGCGGAGAAACAGTTCCAGAGCCCCCAACCTACATCATTACGTGTCCAACCGATAAAGTTCAGTTATAGTGCTCCAAAAGGAATGGACGAACGTTAATCTGATAGCACGACATGTAAAATCTGTTTTGTCATTTCGTTAATAAGATAATATGACATAAGAGTAATGAGGACTAACTGAGCACCACCCTCAGAACTGGCTACGTGAAGAGCTATGATTGGATGACGCTTTGCATGAGGAGTTAGAAATGAGCAAAGGGAATCCCAAGACTTACCAATGACTTCAGCACGTAACAGATAGTTGCCAGGCTCAATATTCTGAGGAACCGTGAAGGTATAGTGCCCACAGTTGTCCTAGTACCAAGACAAGTTAATGAACTATCACTATTTTCTTGTAGCAAGCTCTTACATTGAGAACCTCTAAAACGCATTTATAAATTTCGGAAATCATGAGGAAATAAAATTCTCACCAGTCCCCCAATAATCAGGATCATCTGAAGGAAGACCTATCTCAGAGACTTTGAACCAGGCCGCGCTGGAGCCAACAGCAGTAGTAGCATCAGAGACTTTAGCCATATAAATCTGAAAAGACCCTCAGCATAGATCACGGGGTGGGGAGAACTGTGATAGATTGTTACATTGATTGGGCCGTAGTGGTTCCCCCCAATAGCTTGGGTAGAGCAGGAACGATCGCCAGGCTGCTGGTGCATTTCGACAGTCACTGCATCTCCAGCTAAAGCACGCCATGCATAAGAAACTGAGACGAGCAGGCGGTGACGAATAATAACATACGGTTTACGGGACATATTCCCGAGCTTGGAGTAGGATTCACGTTGCACGTAAGGTCCTATCAATCCTGTTCAAAACCAATGTTATTGTGAGCGCTATCGGAGTACTCACAGTGCTGCTGACATCGGTGACAGGCGAGTTACTCAGGGGCATGCGCACGCAAGCCTCAGAATAGTCCACCCCGTTAATCCACAGATCTTGAAAAGTGGCATGGGCAGTAACAGATACAACAAAACAAACAGTAGCGGCGAGTGAAAGAAGCATTGTAGATTTTCCCAGTCAAATCACGCAGTGCTCGAGAGGATGGCGATACCTTTGGCATTGAGTATCCGCAGAGTTTTATAATGTCTCGTAGGCTATAATACAAGTGTCATTACATCAGTTAGTCTACACCGAAGTAGATATTGTCATGATATACTGGAGAGATATTTCCGCGAAATCCCATCAGGTGATCTCAAAAAGAAAATGCCAGCCTAGGGGAATAATCGTGGAGAATCGATGAAGAAAGTCAACGGCGAGTTGTCGTTAGGCGAGCGGATACAGCTTGTCAATGTTTAGAAGGTTTTACAGAGCATATGCGATTCTCGGAAAAACATAGTTCTGCGAGACATTGGCGGGTTAGCTCTTGGAAGATATTCGATTGTCGGAAAGCTACTATCCGGAAATTATCCGAATTAATGTCAAATAAGACGCACTGCACTAGCCAGGATACTATTGCAGATGTCGTGATAGTGCCAAGTGTTGTGTAAATGTGGATCCTATCGATCATCTGTGCTATTGAAGCATACAATCAGACTTGCGCATTCATAATGAAACCAAGCAACTGAAAGGGTACGCATGACTTGTATTTAACAGGTTGAAACGGAAACATACACTGCATATACATATTTAAGCAAATTTTTATCACCGGAGGTAACAAGAAATGATAGCATGAAGCACTTGCCAAGTCCACGATACCTATGTAGCCCCGCACGGTTCAAGAATCAGCTACCACGGAGGGAGCACCAACACTACCCTTGCGAGTTCTTATAACTTTATTTCGGAGCGCCTTTTCTTTCAACTCGTTTTCTCTTTTTTCCAGTTCCAGTTTCTCTGCTGTGGATTTACCTTTTCGCTGGAAATTCCAGATTTTAGAGGATGAATTGCTAGAAGGAAAAGATCCAATACCGACACCTTCAGCCTCCCCTTCCCATTTACTTTTGCGCTTCTCAACTTTGGCTTGACCCTTAATTTTCAATTCACCCTTTGGGTTGTGAGGAAGATCGTCGACGTCCATACTGACATCTCGTGCTGGAGGCGGTGGGCGTCGATTGGCGGGTGAGCGGCTTACACTTGGGGTCCGACTGAACTTCCTTCTTCCGGAATCTCTGGGTCTCTCCTTACTGTCTCGTCGCCTCGGCGGCGGGGAAACAGGAGACCTCGACCTCGACCTTGAGATACTCATTCGCCTATTTCCTCTTGGGGGGCTCGGGCTTCTCCTCCTACCGTAACTTCGTGGAGGAGGCGACCGAGAACGACTGACTGAGCGCGAAGGAGACCTAGGAGATAGGCGACGTCTACGAGGTGGAGGGCTGCGACTATCTCGGCCTCCATAGCGTCTAGCTTCCCTAGGAGGAGGAGAATAAGAAGGCGACCTCACCCTGCGCCGCGGTGGGGGTGAACGAGACCTAGAAGGAGAACGGGTTGGGGAACGCCTGCGCCTGCGTGGAGGAGGGGAACGAGGAGGCGGGGAACGTGAGGCGCGTGAGGGACGGGAGGCACGAGAAGGTGGAGAACGAGAGAATGACCGCCTTCGAGGAGGCGGCTCACGGAACCTACGCATCGGAGGTGGAGAGCGTGAACTCCGTGCATCAAAGGGCGGAGAACCGGAGACAGAGCGGCGGCGAGGAGGAGGGGATCGGGACATCCGACGGGGAGGGCGCTGAATATGCAACGTCAGATAGCAAATTATGCGAAACGATAAAAAGGACTTACACCTCCTCCACGAGCACCCCAGCCGCTATCGCGCCCTCTGCCACCGCGGTCATCATCGAACCCACCTCTACCTCTACCTCTGCCCCTTCCTCTCCCACCACCCCTGTAGCCACGATCATTTTGACGAACATCATCCAAACGAGCTCTGCGGTCTCTTTCGTTCAAAGCTCGAGTGTCACCTTCTTTTGCTTTTCTCATTTCTTCTTTTTTCTCTTCAACAAAAGTACGAGGTACTCCTGCCGGAGATTCTTGAGCTTCTAACAGTAAGTTCCACAGGGCAATCATGAAAGAAGATGTTGAGTTAGTTAGAAAACCTGTCAAATTTATCTGCATCTTTTTAGGATCAGGAGTCTGAGGACAAAGGACTTGTAAACGAGTGCGATAAACTGGTGCCAATGGCGTGCTTACCGGCTGATCAGGATCTTCAAGAAGGCCCATTGCATATTCGACGACGACTTCGTCTTCGAGGCCAACAAGTTCTACGACCTTCTTTGCAATCCAAGGTCTTATAACCTGCACATTAACCTTACGCATATCAACCTTCAGTGAAGAAAGGGTGTTAACAAATAAGAGATACTCCCTAACACACATTCAACAAACCTTTTTGTCGAACTCGGCAGGGAATTTCATGGATTTCAAGAGTTTTAGCTCTTTGTCAGAGAACCTCCGATCCTGGTCGGCTGAAGTACCCTTAAAAAAGCCTGTTACAAGAACCTTAAGAACGAGGTGTAAACCTCAGAGCTTTAGATGACTTACCAGCGTCAGCCATGTCCGCAACGAATATGCTTCAAAGTAAATATAATCCAATGATGAATGCAGAACTTGAACCAAGACGACGCTTGAGGGTTTCGTTTCTGCGCAAAAGCACCAAGCAGCGTGGGAACCTCGATAAGCGCCCTTGAATGGAGCTACCGTTTCTTTCATTCTTTCTATCAAACACTATGGCCTCATATGCATAACTGACAGAGTCGTGGCATAGTCTCATTCCTCGACCCAACTGTCTTTGGGCTCGAGGTCTTTGCATTGAAAGTATCATAACTGTGTATCAGCGCGATTTTTGGTTGCTCATCGTGGTGTATCATTGTTACCTTCGATATCAGTGAGTTAATGTTGACAAGCATATCACTTCTTCACCCGAAAGATCCATGCCACCTCTACAAAATCTGACATTCAACCATGCTAGCTATATTCGTCACAGTACTTAAAAGGATTGATCTCTACCCCCAACACCGGAGTTTTGAGGATTCTACGAGATAGTTCAAGTTATGTCCTCGTTTCTTTTTGTTCGTCTCCATGTGATATTCTACCTTGCCTCTCAGCTATAGTTGCGACAAAAACATGCATGTTTTCTTCAAGTCTGTCGCCACTCCCATTGGTTAAATCATACACTGCGACCATTAAGTCATCCAATATATTCTCTGTTGTTTCCATCATCCTGGCAATGCAGATGAGGCAATGCTCCCAAACTTTTTAGTTTCATGGTGGCTCTAACCTCTATGTTTCCCATGACATACGTTGTCTAGCGATTTCATGGATGAGCTCAACTGGCGCTTTTGAATCTGACTGAGATCCCTATCACTCACTGTACGACTGGATTTTATTAACGAAATCTGCTAGTTCTACAGCATACCCCCATGACTTTGATTACACTGGTACTCATCATATATACATTAAATACATTAAATAAACATCAAGCACAATCAGATGCCGTGCCAATTGATAGAATCCCTCTGTCGCGAACTTTAGCAAAATGCTGCCTGATCAGCTCCATTCCAAGATCATCTTTGACATTCAGTATCACTTTCACACTTTGCAAGCCCGCAAATTGAGGTTGTGAAAGTATGTCGGCGAGACTATCCCAGTCGATCTTCTCCACGGGGCCTGACACAAGCCCCGACACCGCATAAACCAGCCCTATGGTTACCTCCTGTATATGAGGAGATTGAATATGGCGATAGAGTTCCAGTACCCAGTCCATGTCAGGTGTAGTTTGGTCGAGAAACAAGTTATGCACGTGGAATGCACGAAGCTCTGTGACATCCGAAATTTTCATTTGTTGAACCAAATCCAGTGCTGCATTTAGGTCGTAATCAGTATCGAGAACCAACCAGGTGATGCTTTGATACACACCGTCTGCAAAGTAGAAATCGTCGTCAAATCGTATGTGTAATTCCTGGAGAGATGATCCGACTGAAGAGAGAAATGTGGGTATAGCGGATACATCTTTCTCCGATAGCTCCCATAAGTGTAAGGTATGCACAGCAGGTTCGCGTTCTCCAGACTGAATCCAGTTCAGGATGGAGGCTTTCCGAGTGCATGACAGGGACAAAACGCGTAAATTAGGTGGTCGATGGTATTGGGTTGGCGAATCAAGCTCTATAGACTCTTTTTCCCACTTCACGATGTCGAATTGGAGGTCCTCCAACGCAGGGAACGCATCGATGAATTGCATGAGGTCGCAGAAGGACCGAAATTCAAAGTGCTGCAACTTCAACTTCTTGATCCCTTTGAATATTGTCAGAAAGCTCTGTCTAGCTTCTGTACCGAGAAACTCCCAGGTGACACGTTCAACCTCGAGAGTCTCCACCCGTGTAAGAGCCTTCATGCGGGGTAAAGCTTCGTTCAACCACCTTTTCTCCCAGGTATACGCCCCTCGTCCTTCGCGCATGTAGACTCGGCGTACATACGGCGCAAACGTGGCAATCGGTGACTCTACAAGTCGCAAAAAACTGTCTTTTTTCCATGGATGAAGTGAGATGGAGGAGAATAGATGATGACGAGATGCAGGAAGCCATTCTTTGCAGACCAAGCTGCAGGTGGTAAGGCTGTGAACATCTTCATGGAGATGGTCTATTATATGGTCAGTGATTTCTGGAGGGATTTTGTGACGCCTGAACATGCTCAACGGTTAGCTCTGCAGAAGAGCGCCAAAAAAACGGGGGTTAGGCTCTTTTCATCTCTTTATCACCATGTAATTGCCGTAACGAGGCTGCTTATGCCTTTCTCGGTGTCGACTCCGACCGTACCAGTACTGTGACAACTTTGTGATGGCGGCAAGGTAACAATGTTCTCGGACTAAGATCTCGGTATCAACTTCCATAAATTTTACAGGTACAAAGATATCAATTTACAAGATAATGAAATTCGATAGTAAAACTTGTATAATCAGAGATCGTTGATTTGTGCGGAACCCCGTGTGCTCCTTCACCATTCTCTCAAACCGCCATCATCACCTCGACACACAGCATTTCGCCAAGCCGGTCGTGTCACACAATCAGCTGCTCGTTCCCGGACCAGGGCTTCGTTGATTTCAATGCCTAATCCAGCTCCTGTAGGATGAGAAACCGTGCGTTAGAGTTCATTCGCATCACCACATTACACAGGCAACTCAGGAACACTCACCTTGAAGGGCTGCAACATGTCCATCTTTCACTTCGAAGACCGATGGGTCGACCAAGTACGTGTACAAGTCGGCGTCATCGCTGTTATAGTGGATCTGACCATCAGAAAGGGGTCAGACTAAGATAAGATAGTGGATGTTTCTGAAATAGCTTGCCTGCCAGCTCATTTCCTGGATGACAACTAAGATATGTGTGTAAGCCAAAAATATCACCCATCTCCAAGCCAATATTATAAAGGATACGCACAGTTAGGAGCATTTAATCCGACCTGAATACAAGCGGCAAGAGCAACCGGCCCAAGGGGACAATGAGGAGCAAAAGCGACATCATATGTTTCGGCCATGGCTGCAATCCTGCGCAGCTCGCTGATCCCTCCGCAGTGTGATACCTAAGAAGAGAAAATGAATATTCAACGTTTGTTTACCAACAAATAACCACGTGCATCTGGTTGTGCTATATCAAGCGCTTTCTTCTCGAAGTATGGCCTAAAGTCACTCCGAGAATAGAGTCGTTCTCCTGAAGCGATAGGTGTCGAAACTGCATGAGCTATGTCTGCAATTTCTTCAACCTGCGTGGGTAACAGTGGCTCTGATGATGCGTGGCTGTTGAATACAAGGCCTCAAAAATTGCCTATGCTTCTCACCTTCGATGAATAATGGCTGATAAGGCTCAAGTAGCTTGGCAAGCTGTTTGGCCATGCCTTTGTGGAGACGTCCATGAAAATCGATACCAACATCCAGCCCGACGGCCTTGACTTCTTGAACTCGCTGTATGGTCCCATTCAAGATGGAAGGTGAGTCGATCCATCCAGTAGGGCCTGAAAGAAAGGAATGAGGAAACGCAAACACTGCCAGGAATGAGTCGCACCTGTGCCGCTCATTTTTACGGCCGTAAATCCCTGCTCTTTTCGCAACAGTGCACCCTCACGTACGGACTGAGGGTTGTCGCCTCCAACCCAACCGTAAACCTTGATTTGGTTGCGTACTTTGCCTCCAAGAAGAGACCACACTGGGACTCCAAGCTTCTTGCCTTTGATGTCCCATAGAGCAATGTCAAGGCCTGATAATGCGGACTAAATCAACCACGGTGTGTAAGTGTGTGGTTCGTTTGTGATAGTAAACTAGGGTTACCATCAACACAGGACCGCCCCTGTAGAACCTAGCACGATAAGCATGGTGCCAGATATCTTCGATTGCATCTGCGTCGCTACCGACAAATCTCTCTTTGAGATCGGAGAATGCACCTTCTATGGACTCAGTATGGCCTTCGAGGGTGCTCTCTCCCCAACCGACATAGCCGTCTGCGGTCTCCACTCGCACAAAAAGCCAGCGAGGTGGGAGCCGGAATACCTGAAAGTCCAGTTTCAGTTGTTAGCAACCTGGGAAGCTCGGGACAGGACAACCGTACCTCGATTTTTGATATTAAACTTGGTTGACTTGTTTGCTGCAGAGACATGACTGCGTGAAGTAGGACTATACATAGGGCTGCCCATCTTTTATACGCAAAGCGTGCAAGATAACTTCGAATTCTATGCTTTGATGTTCGTTATGGTCAGCAGGACAACGCCCGGACCGCAAGGTACCTTAGGGGATAATACTTAGGACGGAACTCACATGATAACGAACAGCAGGATGAACAATGACCACAGTTCGGCCGTAGATATCTTCTCAGTGCATGGGACTCGTACATAAGAAATGCAGACTTAAGGTAGCACCGAGTGTTGCCAAAGCCTCAATGAAGTTCAACTGAGGGTTTGATATGTCCCAGTGGAAAGTGCTCTGAGCAGTGGCAAATTTTTGACATGGCAAACTCCCGTCGCCGGTCACGGTTTCCTTCCCCACGTTCCAACGGTCCAGTGGCACTTAGGCCGCACCGCGACATTTCCACTGGCATTATCATCCTAACTTTTGTTATTGTCGACGACACCAAGCCTATCGTTGCGCTGTCTTATAGAAGAGGCATCTACAGACTTTAACGCTTTAAAATTATTAATGTCTTCTCGTGCTTCAATGAGGCCAGGTCTATCGTCATTCACTCTTTTGCTCTTCCTTCTTGTTTGTTTGCTACAAGCAACCCAGATACACGCCATCAAATTCGCCTTGCAATCTTACCGTTTCCCTGCATCCAAGTGTATATGGAATGCCGCACATACGAACGCGCTAGTCATCGTCACAGCCAACGTAGGACCAGGCTTTGGGCAACGGGTTGACATCGAAATCATTGATTCAAGTTCAGAGCGGAATGTTTATTTGAGCAAGAAGGACATCAAGGGGGAGACGAGGCTTGCCGTGACTGCACATGCTGAAGGGGAAGTGGGCGTCTGCTTCAAAAATCATCTAAGTCCAGGTATGCCGTCCCGACAGGTCATCATATACAATTCATATTCTAATACAACGTCACAAACTCAGATATTTCGGGCGAGAAAGCGAGGAATATGACCCGAATTGTAGATTTGGACATAGATATTGGTGCTGATGCCGTGGACTATAAGTGAATACTCTCACCATTTTCCTTCCACGTCACATAGCCTAATGCTGGTTTTCTCTAGTGCTATTGCAAACCAAGAGTCCCTTTCAGGCCTTGAAACGGAGATGCGGAAGTTGGAAGGCATCGTTAAAGAAATAGTGGACGAGTTGGACTATCTTAAAAAGAGGGAGGAACGTTTTGCGAGCACAAACGGTTCGTGCAATAGTCGTGGTTATATCTATTTCATTTGAGCTTATTTCCGCTGCAGATTCCACGAATTCACGCGTTCAAAGTTTTGCATGGTTTACTATCATCTCGTTGGCCGGGCTCGGAGTCTGGCAGATACTTCACCTGCGGGCGTACTTCAAGCGGAAGTATCTCATCGATTAATATACCCACACGGACAGTGCACGACGTTTATGAATCCAGGCATAATTGTCCAGAATATAGCGCCTTTACTTATAAATTCAGTTTAAGTTTTCCAAATTCATGTTAGGTTCTCCCCGAGTGGTCTGGCACCGCATGGCTAGCGATTGTAGTTCAGCAGTTCAACATGTGTATGAAACCACGTCATCCGTGCCACGACACCACAATAACGCTGAGCGGATACAGTGCAGCTTGCTGTCTGTGGATATGACATATCTTCTCAGTATATCGGACCTGTCATCGTGTACAAACACACTTAATATTCTATTGGACTGCAATTGTCTCTTACCCACACTACTTAAACACTGAGGTGGACGGGTTTCTTTATTCAAACGGGCACCTGTCTATAAAAACTGCAGTTACAACTGACGGGAGGCTCATAGATTCTCCTGAAAAAGCGTGAGCCCATCAAGGTGTTCTGAAAGCTCATGATCCGTCTCATCCCCGCTATTTTCCACCAGACGAATTTCATGCTTTTCATCGTTTATGGTCTTTCCTGCTTTACCTCGCCAGCGGGAGACCTTGTTGAGCAACAACATTTCAACTTCTTCCACATCGTGGCAGCTGTCTAACGCAGTACGGAACTTTCGATACCATGGACGCCGGACACTGGTGATAATTAAGGGTCAGTTATAGAAACAGAACATCAGATAGTCTCACCATTGGAACTCCATGATATGTCTTATATGCGCCCGTATGGTATGTAGTGACGCGGTTCCAGGATGCAGTTTACAGATATCGATGTATTCGAGGGATATTTGCACTGGATCGGGCACGATATTTGCAAAAAGGCTGATGGAAGGTCATTAAAGAAGGGGAGGGTGTTTGATGAACGGAATATACCAAGGATTTCCAAGCAGGGTCTCTCCAACCATGTAGCCATCCGCACCTGTGAAGGTACGGTTTTCTTCCAAATCCGCCCAAGTACGCACGTTCCCGTTGCTCACGACTGGGATGTGGAGCTGTTCTTTTAGTCGCTTAATCTCGTAAAGGTCTGCAGCTCCTTGTCGCCGTCGCCGTGCAGAGACATGTCTCGCATGAAGAGTCACCCAAGATGCCCCAGCAGACTCGATCCGCTTTGCTAAATCCACAGTTTTGGGAGTATCTTGACATAATCTGATTTTCGCCGAAACAGGGACGGTAAATGAGTTGGACATTGCAGAAACTGCAAGAACAAGGTATGAGTGCGATAATTCCTCTATGACGTGGAAGACATACCGATGCCTTCTACTAATGGCCAATCTTTCTGTCCCAATAAATACCCACCGAAATGGCCATCTCGTGCATGGTCTTGTGGACATCCCAGGTTTAAATCTAGTCGACTTCGCGCCAGCAACAATCAAAGCTGCATTTTGTGATATTACGGTGCAGGAACACACACCTATGGCATCACAGTATGATTGTAATTTTCTACCAGCCTTGACTATGGTCTCTGGGTCGTTCCCGCAAAGTTGAACGACCACAGGGCGCTCAAGTCCACCTGCAGATCCACAAATATCTCGCTGATTAAAGTCAAGGTAGGCCTGATCATTTATGAGTTTTTCGGGTATGAGCATCTGTGTATATGCTACAGTTGCGCCGTATTTACGAGTCAAGATGCGAAACGGTAAATCGCTCTGGTTTACCATCGGCGCCGAGATAGATTGCAGATTTATTGACTCCATCGGAAATATTTCCTTGCTATTATCAGGGTCAAATCTGATTTTCTCTTCCTTTAGCAAAAAGGAAATACTGACTGGTGGAAGCCTCAAACGTTGTGGAAAACAAGTAAAACATACAGATAAGATAAGATCCAACGTGACCATGAGCGTGGAATGAAAACTCGGCTATTGCCGAGCTTATGAAAGCACGTCGGCTGTTAACTCCGAGTCAGAGTTGACTCAGTATAGGCATTGCTACTTTTACATTTACTGGTCAGGCGGATTTCCGTCAACCGTGTTGTGTTTTTCCATAACATCTTACATTCAAACATGTCATTTAACAGGTTCAGGTGTATTCGTTCTGCAGCAGCTAATGGTGCCAAAGCACTGCAGTACCGTTCCTCAGCTATAGGTCGGCGGTACATATCGGGGGATGCTCCGAAAGTCCTCCCAGATATCGAGGTACTGTGAATTGCGCAACATATTTCTTGAACATGAAGCTTATGGGCGCGTGCCAACAAAAAGCCTTCACGACTTGAAGTCACTCGGACGAATACACCTGGGGAGCTTCCTCCATCTTCGCAGCTTCTGTTTGGACGAACATTTGTGAGAAATGATTTTTTTCTCAGAGGAGGAGTACCTAACGTTCTCTCAACAGACCGACCATATGATAAGGGTTTCATGGACTGAAGCTGAGGGCTGGAGTGTACCACGAATCGAACCTTGTATGTTCGCGCGTCTTCGCCACTACTCGCTTTATTCCTGTTATTTTCTCATGTTACCATTCTCTAGTTGGAACCATCAACCTCAATCCTAGTGCAACTGTTCTTCACTATGCCCAGTCACTATTTGAGGGATTGAAAGCTTACCGCCAACCAAATGGGACAATAACTATGTTCCGTCCTGACATGAACATGAAGCGTATGAACAGCAGCGCCCAGCGTCTTGCATTACCCGTAAGTGTTAGTGTCAAGTAATGATGCGAATAACCCATATTTTCCATAAAAGACATTCGACGGTGCTGCTCTTACAGAGGTAATAAAAGAGCTAGTCCGGCTAGACAAAAACTGGATACCCAAAGAGCCTGGACATAGCTTGTACATTAGGCCTGCCTTGAGTGAGCTACACCTAGTGATTTTGGGCGCTTTTTGCTGACTGTATGTAAAAGTTGGAACAAATGGTCTCTTGGGTATTCAGCCTCCCAGCGAAGCGCTTCTTTTCGTCATTTGTAGTCCTGTGGGCCCATACTACCCGAAAGGCTTCAAGCCGGTTCCTCTTTACGGTACAACAGAATATATCAGAGCTGCGCCGGGAGGTTAGTGCATTGTCGCTACTTCTCTTTTATGACCTTAACAACTATCAACGATAGGTACTGGTGCCTTCAAGTTAGCAGCAAACTATGCCCCTGGTGTAGTCGCTCAAAAGTCAGCCGCACAGGCTGGTTACGTACAGAACCTATGGTTGCACGGTCCTGAGCATTACTTAACCGAGGTTGGCACTATGAACTTGTTTATCGTACTGAAAGGCAGCGACGGAGGTTCGTATCCCTACTACGTGCGTAGATCTGGCTGACAATAACGTCTAGTTGTCGAGCTTGTCACTCCTCCACTTGACGGTATGATCCTTCCCGGTGTTACTCGTGACTCTGTACTTGCTCTTGCTCGGAACCATGTTGCTGGAACCAAGCGGCTAGATGGTTTGCCAGAGCAGATCAAAATCTCTGAGCGGCCCATTACGATGGCTGAGGTGATCAGCGCCTCCAAGTCCGGACAGCTCGTGGAGCTCTTCGGTACAGGTGAATTCACCGTTCCCTTGATTCATCGTTTTGAAGTAAAGTGCTCACCCACTATGACTGGCAGGCACCGCAGCTGTAGTTTGTCCTGTCGATAAGATCGGATACCTCGGTAGTGATGTGCACATTCCTACGGGCCCCGACGGCATGGGACCTATCTCTAAACCACTATGGAAAGAGTTGGTTGGAATACAGACTGGTGTTGTTGAGAGCGAGTGGAACGTCGTTGTCTAGAAGTAAGGTCTTCACCAGGATAGTCTGCAATATCTATCTAGTATCATGATTCTCTGTTTTTGGATAGGACCTTGGGTCATGGTAAATTATGGAACGCTACAATGTTACTGACCATTTGCTATACCATCTTATCTTTGAGGTGAATAATCCTCGGACCCCTGGAAATCTTTTCTGTGCTGCATTTCATTATTGTCAGGCAAGTTGTTGTCAAGTAAACTAAATCTTTTTGGTGCACCCACAGCTAGTGATCACCGGTCGCCGTTTATGTCAAGAAAGCATGCTGTTTCTTGCTTTTGGGAACCACAAACTCACGCCCCACCCTCGACCGAATTTGCTCATTTGACGCCTCGGTCGTATTCTCGAACTCGGTAATTTTGTTTTGAATACTCAGCGCTCATAACTTAACTTTGCAGTCGCTCCATTTCCGCAGATACGGACTCGCCCCTGGTGGGCTCTCGGAACTTTCCTCCCATTAGTTCAAGTTCCGTGATCCCCCAAAGCAGCCAGCCGGACCGCTTTGACGTAGTTCCATGCTTATGGTGCAGTATGGCTGCATAGCATATGATGTCCCTCCCCCGATCCCTCCTGTTATCAGAATCTCACTCACTCTATCCCATTGGGAGAGTCTGGTTTGTGTTAGAATGCCGGACTCCCCGGACTGTTCGTCACATGTCGTTGATCATCATCGGTAAGTCCCCTACATGATCAAGTGCCTTTCTCTAATTGTTTCGATCATGAGGCAATTGACATCCCGCATGGTGGGTTATAGCAGGCTAAAATGACTAGGCCGTATTCCTTTCGCTAGCTCAGCCTTGGTATATCATCTGTTTCCTTGTGAGAATTAAGAAATTAAATATTTCTGTGTAGCAGGTGGACTGCATGGCACCGTGATGCAAATACCACTTCCCAGGACCAGTCCAACAAACCTTATATATGAACGAACTCAAGTCAAAACAGCCGTTTGTGATGCTTGATTGTATTTCTTGACTCGAGCTATCAATTAACGTTCTGTCTAAACCATGCAGATTGTAGGCACAATTATAAGCTATCAGGAGGCAATCACCTCGTGCTACCACTCGCCGGTACGGAAATGCCTATGTAACGTACAAAACTCGCCCATTATCTCCTGATACCAAGAATGATCTATTTGTTTCCCCAGTTATCGTCATCATTCTATACTTGTCGTCTCCCGTATCTTTCTATCACGGACGGTCTTGGGGCGCCCCCACGGCCCACTATCGTCGTGATGCAGCGGATGCGAACATGCGAACGTCGCTCGCAAAACTCCTGACGTGCCGATACGAGGGCGCTCGCTGAGGCGCCAGTGGCCTTCATAAAGGTCAGTTGATATTCGCCCTGGATTCATGAGAATAGTTCGATCATTGATGGCCGTATGATCACACAGCGCTTGACCACATACAACCTAATTTGCCTTCTCTGGCTTTCCGAATTCATCACACGACTCTTACCTTACAATGATGACCACTCTCATTGCAGCGCCATTTTTGTCACGCTTTCTCACCACCCGCGCACCGCTGGCGTTCTCCGACATTCATCCGGGAAAGTCCAGTCACTGGCCGAAGTATCTTCGAGCTTGCGCGTCAAAAGGTGTCTCGTCACTGTGATTCTGTTAATGAAGAGGTCAGGCTGTCATTGTGCTGCGGTGGACTGTCTCGGCGAGGAATTATCGGCTTTTGCCCAAACTTGATGAATACTGTACGTGTGCCGTCGTCCTTAGTTGACCTGCATCAACTGATTTCCCGCATGACGAGATGATAGGAGATACAGCTTCACCGAGGGACGGCCAAAGGTTTATCGCAGCTTGATGTATTTGATGTATGATATCTACCAATGGGTCTTACCGTAGACACGCGCAGGAAGCACGTTGTTGGGGACGATGAGGATGTTCCCTTCTATTTCCCATTACCGTGGCTCTTCATCGGCTCCGGTAAGTCTTGAGAGTTTTCCAAGCTCTCAGTGGAGATGGGGAGGCTGGGTGCCTATTTCTAGAAGTAGTATACTCCAGGGACCTGCTATCGAGTGTCGACTTCTATTGGTGTACACCAGGATGTCGCTCGTCATCCGATACCAAACCTATGGGGCCCCGTACTCCATTTGTGGAGTGTCTCCGGGACTGTGTCGATATCATGCTATCAGGAAGTCGCCGTCGGTGAAGGGCTATTCTGAACTTCCATCGTATCGGTGTAGTACCACTCACGCCCCAACTTCTTTGTGGAAATGCTGGATGCAGATAAATACTGGATGTAGATGTCTTCGCGGGAGAAGATTAAGTATGTGTTTCTCATAGATCTGCATAAAGTTCCCGCATGATGTACCCCGCTGACGCTATGATATTGCATGTTTCCAGGGTTATGGATAAATTCAAGGTTTCGGCATCTGCGTCTGTGGGTATGGTACCTTGTTAGAGCGATCATGTGTCAAGATCTTGCTACAATGCGTATGAGGCGTGCTGATGTTGAGATATAGCACCTTGTAGGTCTTGCTTTCTTTGTACCGACAGTTTGGGATGAATGGTATACGATTGGATGATTATATCGTGTATATGCGCCACTTCGCTCCAGTTATGGAGCCAAAGCTAGGTGATAGTGAATGTTACATCCCACTGAACTACCAAATCAACGACGTGAGCACCGAGCGCACAGATGAAGTACACGTATTTCAAACGCGATATCGATGCAGGCTATTTGAAAATCAGTGGTTTGCGCGTTCTAAGTTCACAAGCAATTCAGATACCAATTCAGGTAAGAAATGTAATGAATTGTAAATCCGCGAACATCGGAGTCCTCCAAGTGTGTGATGTGCGCGAGTGGTTGTGCAAGTAAAAATACAAATGAGCCCGTAAATAACCAAGACAATGCTAAGAGATGAAATAAAGATGGGTACAGTACAACAGGCGCACCGTCAAGTCCATTTTCTAATGAGGAGAGCGGGGGTAGAGGGGGTAGAGGGGTTGAAAAAAATGGGGGGCGTAACGTCTCATGATGGTCTAATCATAACCTTGAGTACCATATTTCCATCTTCATCTTTTCCACGAGCTAGAAGCTCGAAAGCTCGTGAGGTGTCTTCGAGTGCAAAGCGGTGCGTAATTAATTTTTCGACGCCTTTTAATTTGCCTGAAGCGAGCAACTGCAAAGCAGTGGGGTATGTATTGGCGTAACGGAAAGAACCCTGGATATCGACTTCGCGCAGGGCTGCAGCGGACAGCGGCAAGACGAGGTTTCGTGATCCCATCCCGACAAGCATGACTTTGCCGCCCGTGATAGCAGCCTGATTATGGGGGGACACAAAACGTAACGGCGATAAGAAAAATGAATCTAAAAAAAAAATAAGATTCGCAAACTTACGTGAATGGACATCTGAATGCACGGTTCCGCGCCGGTGCATTCGAAGACGAGATCGAAGCCGTCCACTTCGCCAAACTCGCGCAGAGCGAGCTGTATGGTCTCCTTTGCTCTGTTGAGCTGATCCTCGGAGGTTTTTGCCTTGTCCGACATGGGTAGGCAGTACGTTTGAGAAGCGAAGCCATTGGCTTTCGCAAAGTCGAGACGTGCTTGATTGATGTCAATGGCGACAACGCGGGAGGCGCCGTAAGATTTCGCAAGTGCACAAGCGAGGATGCCGATAGCACCCACCCCAAACACGAGGACGGTTTGACCTGGCTTCAAGCCAGCGCGTGATGAAGCGTGTATGAGGACAGAGAGAGGTTCGGCGAGAGCAGCTTGCTCAAATGAACAGCTATCTGGCAGTCTGGAATGGACACAACGGGGCTCAGAAACAGCATAGAGGGGACAGATAGAAAGACGACATACGGATGAAGGACGTGGGCTGGGTGGTTCATGCGATCTTGAAGGGTACCATCGGAGTGGGGGAATGTTTTGGCACTGCTGCAGAAGCGCATGCCTTTGCAAAGGTTGTAACGACCTTTGCTGCAGTAGTCGCAGTGGTTGCACATGATGCCAGCCTCAATAGCGACGCGCTGACCGGTGATAAGGTTTTTTACGCCTGGGCCGACCGCAGTGACGATTCCAGCAGACTCGTGGCCGAGAACGAGAGGAGCTTGAAGGGCGAAGTCGCCGTTGCGACCCTCGAGATAATAGTGCACTGTGTAAGAAAGTTATATGAGAAGACATGGGCTTAGAAGACATAGGACATACGGTCACTTCCGCAGAGGCCAGTGGACATGACGGCGACCTGGGCATGGTTGTGTTGTGGGGGCCAGACGCTACGCTCCTCTGGGCGGAGGTCTCGTGGACCGTGGAGGACGATGGCGCGCTGTGTGGGGAGTGCGACTGGAGACATTTGGGAGGAAGAGGGAGGAGGAGTGATGTACGTACATTTGCATGACCTTATAAAGGATCGAGAGTATGGATAGTCTCGTGAGGAGGACATCTCGGTGCGAAGAATAGCTGGAGAACAGGAGAACATATCCGGTCCGGTCACCGCACGCGTGACATGCACCGACAAAACCCTGAATTTAAGAACAGTCACACACATAATTCTTCTATTTTCCATTTCCATCCATAAATACACCCAATTTGTGCGTTTCCCTGCCATACCCGCGCAGTCTCGACCTGTTTTCTTCATTCTTCCCTCCCTGTTGCATTTGCGTCAGAAGAGCCAAGTAACATCGGGCTCACCCTATATATTATTAATCATGTTTAACCTACTTTGCCAAACCTAAATATATCGGATCTCCGGGTCGTGGTCCGATGCGGGGTAGGCGCCAGTCTAGGCCCCGATATACTGAACAGTCCTGAATAGGCTCGATTGTATTCGTGTCTACATCCCAGTATACTACAAAAACTCATTATATTCTCTTCCATGTGAGTCTCCAGCTGGTGTTCATCATGGATCCCTCTCCCCATGTTCCTTCTCCAAACCTCTTCTCTCTCGCATCCCACAACGTCCTCATCACTGGTGCCACGAGGGGTACGTATTTATTTTTCAGCCACCCTTCCTTCGATCGACTAGCCGGCCACTAACAACTCTTATCTCGTCCAATTTATCTTACCACCCCCTCAATATCCCTTACTCTATCCCGTCTCAGGCATAGGCGCTGCTTGCGCACTTGCTCTTGCCCAGGCTGGAGCATCCATCTGTCTCGTCCAGCGAGAACCCCAGTCTGGAGAAACCCCTAACCTCGACACCTTCAATGCCATCCGTGCCCTGGGGGCCACCGCGCACGTCGTCTATTGCGATCTGGGAGATTTGCAGGCAGTCCGGGAACTTTTTCCAAAGGCACTTGATGCGATGGGCGGTAATATCCACGTCCTTGTCAACTGTGCTGGTATACAACGGAGATCCCCGAGCGTTGATTTCCGCGAGAAGGATTGGGATGATGTATGTTTGCCTATCTCCTCGCGTTTCCATCTTCGCGCTAATTTCCCTTCTCTTTTTAATCAAATTCCCAAACCGTATTGTTTATCTTTTTAGGTTCTCGATGTCAACCTCAAATCGGTCTGGCTGCTATCCCAAGCAGCTGGCCAGCACATGGTCCCTCTCCGCAGGGGAAAAATCATCAATTTCTGTTCTCTTCTTACCTTTCAGGGTGGTCTAACCGTACCAGCATATGCTGCTGCAAAGGGTGCCGTCGGTCAGCTCACAAAAGCTCTTAGCAACGAATGGAGCCAGCACAATATTCAGGTTAATGGCATCTGTCCAGGATATATTGCCACTGATATGTGAGTCCATCTGTTTTTGTTATCTTCGACGCAGTTATCAGAGCCTCCCATCTGCTTCGAGAATGCCCTGATCCGAATGCTTTTTGCATAGTCAAAGCGAAACGCCAGGATCTCCGCTGTCATCGTTCACTCCTTTCTTGTGCACCTGTTCGGTCTATGGTTTTTTAATCTTCTTGTCCTCTCTTTAGGAACGAGAGATTGCTCGCAGATCCGGTCCGCCTTAAACAGATCTCGGAACGTATTCCCGCAGGGAGATGGGGCAACCCTCAGGACTTCGCCGGACCAGTTGTATTTCTAGCAAGTTCAGCTAGTCAATACGTATGTGGTGAACTCCTTGTGGTTGATGGGGTGAGTATTTTCTGCTCAATCTTGGCATCAAAACCATCCTGATTCGTGCTATCCAAAGGGCTGGATGGGCCGGTGATCCAATCGAAACCTTTTAACTGGTCGCGCGACTTGTATACGTGTTCGTTGGATGTCAAAGCGTAGTTGTTTATCTGATAAACATGATCATCGGAGCTGGTCTCGCTTTTCCGATCGCTGTGACGTCCTCTGTATCTGAAATTATATTTGTCATACTGGTCACGACTGGTGCAATTTCACTTTGTAACGAGGGGGGATAATATGAGATCCGCACGCAGGAAGAAAGTGCTTGAGATCGCGATTTGGGTCCACTATTCTGTGCTAAGTTTCGAGTACCTGTTTAAGCCATGGTGGAGTTCTTCTACAAGGAATTTGCCGGGAACAGAGTCCGTCAATTTTAGTTCATTTGTGTGGCAGTTGTATCAGGTCCGATTATCGTCAACGCATTGAACGTGCTTCGCTCGATGATCTGAGGACCTGGAATGGATGTAGGACCACTACTGCGAGCCCCTCGAATTTACCGGTCGGCCCGGGCGTGTATTCCTCGTCGTATAAGGGGATAGGGCCGGCATCCGTGCCCATCAAAAACCAAAGTGAGTTACTGTGGGCACATCGTAAGGTAGCTGGAGGAGTGCGAGCCTTGGTGCGACGAGGGAAAATTTGCTATCGTTAGCAAGCCGTGCTGATCGGGGTCGGAGTCTCTGAATTACAGAGGTATGATTGGATGGAGTTCAAAGGGTGTTGATAGACACGTTTCGGCATAGAAGGGGGAGAGGAGCATCCTCGATAATTAATGAGCAGCGCGATGCCCTGCTTTAGAGTGGCTTAGACTACGAATCAAGATGCAAAAATATGGTTTGTTCCAATCGCCGCCATCAAGAAAACGGAAGTTACATCGGAGAATATATTTGCTCCAACGTTCTAGAGACATCAACGCCAGAGTACTGGGTGCAGAACACGCTTGACGAAAAATAGGTTCACACCTTGAGATGATTTACGTCAAGAGTACAGTTAAAATCCGGATAACACGATGGCAAAAGTGGGAGGTCAGCGGGGACGCGGGCCGAGAGACATCGTGAAAAAAAAGGGCACACGGGGGAAGTCGAGTAGTACGCAGGCTGGTAAAAAACATCAATGACGTATCACCGGAGAAGGAAGAGAATTCGCTAGCAATGAGCATGTTCTTCAGTGTGCGCCCGTAGTAAGGGGAGGATGGTGTGCATTTCGGCTAATGTACCATCGCCAGATTCGGGGTGCCACATGAGTATTGAATGAGGACAGAAGACCAAAAAATGAGAGATAGCTAGCCAAGGACGCTAACCATCATAAAACGGCGATTGAGAGGGCACGAAGAACGAGATTTTGGTAATGAAGTCAGGACTTTGCTCGGAACGTCATGGAGTTACCAGCGTTCCTTGCATCCTTCTGCCATCGAGAAGGCAAAAAAGCATGCCATAGGGGTGATGCCAGCTGGTTCGGTCCGAGTTGAAACGCGGCTTCATCCCTACTAGTCTCCTATCTTGCATTTTCAGACGAACCACGATGACCAGTTCTGTCAGACAACTACCCGTGTGACCCGCTGTTGGCGGCCATGGATAAAAAAGCAAAGACATGTACAAATAAATTGTTTGAAAGCGTCTTTTATGGACGGGGTTGATGGGGACGGAGCGCTAGCAATATTTCGAACATCAGGCCTCGGCCAAGGGCGGTCCTGTAGGCCGAAGATGCGGCCGCCCAACTATTTTGATCAGTCCATCCTCCAGAACCTACGCATCGGAAAGAAGGATGACGATAAAAGAAAGTGGTGGTGTCGCAGCTTCGCGCTGCAGAAGCCTTCTGCTCTCGTGACGAACGGTCTAGCATGATGGTAGCATGACGCGACACCAATGCTCTACCATAGACTTGGGTAGGGAAAAATTATGCGATCCTCACTTCTATGATCAGTGGGCCGGGTAATATAGGACGTCGAAGGGCTGTATCACGCGTACTCCATGGCATTTCAAGAGCACCTGGCCTATTGGGTAGTCCTCGCGAATTTCAAAGTAGTCAGCGGATTAACCTCCTCCACATGAACATGATGACAGTAAACGAAGTGCGTAGCACACTTGAGTACGGACCGATTACGTTAGATGAGAGCAATAGCACAAGCTGAGTCCGAAAGGTGTAGAGATCTGGCACTCTATCAGCCTAATTCTAGAATACCTGAGTGGATATATGCACTCACCCCATGATGTGCTGACATGGAACGGGGCGAATATCAAGATGACCGATTATATCTGGAGCATAGGTGATGCTGTGGAACTACATAGAATGAAACAAGGCACAAATCAGCGGCAGATGCCTACTAGCTTGACTGCACTCGCAATCAATGCCCATATCGTATCATGATAAGCAAGGTTAGTTTTGAGATCAACACATGCGGTTTTCAATAAGATGAAACGGTGTTTGTCTAGTCTTCAAAATCATGAGACCTCGCACTGCCCTGAGACGTACTGTCAGACTTTTGCCGAAGGAGAAGACAGAACTCCGGAAAGAATACTACTGATGGTAAAACACAAGTAATCTAGGAGGGTTCATTATCTCTTTTACATCAGTCAATGATATGTCTAGATCCAGAAAAACGCAAAAAGCAAGTTCGATGAGGTGCGTACCTTGTGGAACACGAAAACACGATATTGTCCCCAGATGGGCACTTAAAAAGAGTTGTGTTGCAGATAAGCCCTGATAACTTCAAGCAAAAAGCTCCATACATATATTGTGCTGTACTTTCTTCACGATGGTTCACGATCTATGAAATATTATGCCTCGGGACTCGAAATACGCCATGTTAGTGGTATGTAACAGGACGGCGGTGTCTGAAAATTGCGAGCAAAGTAGTCCACTGTCAGGCTGATAGTGACGGACTCATAAGTCATCACGAATCTTTTTAACAGGCAAAAACGGGTCAAAAAAGGCGTCAATCAACATAACCGACCTCAGATATCTGTAGAAGTCTCGCATCAATGCGTTTACGAGCGAGTTAGGACTGAAACACTGCTTCAAAGTTATTGGTTCGACGCCCCGTATGATGCCCGTATGATGGATGATCGTTGTCGTCACTGAATAACTGGGCATGTCTACGAACTGAACAGGGCTTGAACATGTGAGCTGTTGCAGCCTGAGGCTGTAGTTGAGATCCAGATAGTGATCCGCTGTCGTGGTTGTCATCGTGGTAGGAGAGCAACAAGGGGCGCTTAGCTCAGTACTCGGGGCGCGTCTAACTTTACCCTCCAGCATCGATATCCCAGCAACCTGAGAGAGCATCTCATACCTGCCACGTTCTCTCTAGGGAAATGCTCTTCAAGTGAGATATTTTCAACTCCTTCATTATCAAGTGCTATATAAGATTGCCACGACTCAGAAGCGCCCATGTTTCCATCATCGCATTCAGGCCCTAACACCTTTCTAACTGGACAGATGAAATACTATATCTTCACCATCAGGATCAGGTGCAGTGTTATATCCTTGTTTGAGCAGTTCCGCAGCTAACCCAGCCAATGATTACCTTTCTCATGCTTCGTCTCATCGTTGTCCCCGACTACCCTCGACTTTCCTACAGTATATATAGATCACAAAACGACAATGGGAAGAATACTTGGCCTCGAAAACTCCTCCCCAACGTCGCCACATTTCTCTCTATTGGTTGACCCACTCGTATCTATTTATCATGACTATAGTCCTCACCCCATATTGGTCTAATGGCGTTCAGAAACTCAGATTGCAACCCCAACGTAAGCACATCGTTTCAATTGTATGCGTATGGAATGGACCTCAAATGTCTGGGACGATAGCGCCTCCAAAGCCTGCCCATGGTTCGATGCCCCCTGCATTCAGCGACTCCATTCACGCAGAAAGGTGCCTTGCGCAATTGCGTTCAAAAGATAAACCCATCGAAAAGTACATATACCTTACACAACTGAAGGATGCAGATGAAAACATATTCTATAAACTATGTCTGGCTAACATGCCTGTAGGTGGCCTGAATATATTTGATATTCCGAAATGAATGTCTGCTTCCAGGAAATCACACCTCTTGTCTATACCCCTACAGTGGGAGATGCATGTCTGCAATTCTCTCGTAATTTCAGAAGGCCTGAGGGACTGGTAAGACACCCACCCTTTGTTGCTGCAGATAGTCGTTTGACGCATATATCCAGTTCATATCAATCAAGGATAAGGGAAAGATTGGTGCTATCCTTCGTAATTGGTCCCGAAAGGACGAAGCACGTATCAGTGTGGTTACAGACGGTATGCGGGTTTGGATGATAGATATAACAACTGCATTAAAGAAAAACCTTTCCAGGGTCTCGTATTCTTGGCCTCGGCGACCTTGGCGTGAACGGTATGCCAATCTCTATTGGAAAACTTTCTTTATATGTTGCAGGTGCTGGGTGAGCGTGTTTCCTGTAGGGAGTTCAGCATTTCGCTGACAGGTCGTAGAATACGACCTTCATCCACGATTCCTATATGCCTTGATCTGGGAACAAACAATCAGGCATTCCTCGACGATCCTCTATATCTTGGCCTCCGACAGAAACGAGGTAGTGATGAAGAAATGACTGCGTTCATGGATGAGTTCATGCACGAAATGTCTGTTACTTTCCCAAAACTTTTGGTCCAATTTGAGGTTTGTCCATTTTTGCCAGACACAGATTCGCTGACCTGAAAATCTTATCAGGACTTCTCAACCGACCACGCGTTTATGTATCTCGAGAGATTCCGCAATCAGTATCCCCTGTTTAATGATGACATCCAAGGCACTGGTGCTGTCGTGCTTGCCGGGTTCATCAATGCCGCGAGGCTTTCATCTCAGGCATCCGGTCGCCCGCTTACTTCCCACCGTATCCTATTTTTAGGAGCAGGTTCAGCAGGTGTTGGTGTAGCCATGCAGCTACTCAGTTTCTTCACAAACGCTGGACTTTCTGTTGATGAGGCACGCAAACGTATTTGGCTTGTTGACTCGCAAGGTCTTGTGTACAATGGGCGGGGTGCAATGGCAGAACATAAGAAGTGTACGCTACTTCTTTTTTTCCCGTCTAGTTTGCAGATTTCTCAACTTCATCTAGATTTCTCTCGACAGGATTACACAGGATCTCCAATAACCAACCTCGTGGACATCATCTCCTATGTCAAACCAACTGCGTTGCTTGGACTCTCCACCATTAAAGTAAGATTATGAGTGATATTTTTCGATTCAAGTACTAATGGTTCTGTAGAGCGCATTCAACCAACAAGTGATCAAAACTATGGCCACTCTGAACGAAAAGCCTATTGTATTCCCCTTATCTAATCCCGTCAGACTCTCTGAGTGTGAATTTGGCGAGGCGGTCGAGTGGTCTCAAGGGAGCGTAATTTTTGCTTCCGGGTCACCCTTCCCTGAGATGGAATACAATGGCCGTACCCTTATCCCGGGACAAGGCAACAACATGTATATCTTCCCCGGTATGGCTCATCTACCATCTCTGGAGGAGCTGTCTGACATCGTCTTTAGGCCTTGGCTTGGGCGCTATCTTGTCTCGCGCATCTTCTGTGACAGATAGCATGGTGGAAGCATCGGCTCTTGGTTTGGCAAATTCACTCACGCCTGAGGAACATAAGTTAGATCTTGTATATCCACGAATTGAGCGCATCAGGGATATTAGTGCTGACATTGCACTGCAAGTCATTCGTGCTTCACAAAAAGCGGTCAGTGCTTCCATTTTGCAGGCTTTAGTTTTTTTGATGTGCTGATGATTAAACAGGGCGTCGACCGGTCCAAGGATCTCAGGAAACTGTCAGACGTCGATCTTTTGGCATTTATCAAGAAAATGATGTGGATTCCATAGGTTATATTCTGCCTATCGTGTATATGGCTAAAGGGCGAATAAAATCTAGTACAAGAGTGTGTCCAAGTCTAAATGAACAAAAGAATAACAATCTGAACTAGTACAACCTCATGAAAAGATCAAGTGGTACATATAGCTATTATAATGGCACAGTATTGTATGAGTTGCTTTCTAAGCCTCCAAATCGTGAATATCAGGTAGATGGGGCATATTGCATGAGAGAAGGCACCGAAGAGTGTTTTGGGGGAGCGTGTTCTTGGTCCTCGAAGACCGCAGGCAGGGGCGAGTCAACGATCCCAGAACCACCACCACTGCGTGTCCGGAGAGTTGACATTAAGCTAGGGTTGTTTTGTAAAATGGAAGCGGTCGATGTGAACAGGGTTTCTTTGAAACATACTAGGTAAGCAAGCGAAGCTCAACTCAGGTGAGAAACAAACCTCGCAGACTCCATTGACGGGTATTATCAGGATTGAGAGCCCGGTTTAATCTAGCTTGTCGTCTTCGACGGAAAAGGAAGAATCCCAGGCCAATGAGAATCATAAGGACAATCGAGCCAAGCAAGCTGGACAGAATAATGATTATCCTACGGTCTTCGAGCACTATTGTATTTCCAGTCCCCGGAAAGCGGGAACTAGTCTCTTCAGATTTGTTCGAAGGCACCAGCACAAAATAGTCCAATGTAAAGGGGGACACTGCACTCAAAACATTGATTGTGATATTGTGCGTTGTATAAACTGAGAGTTGAGACATTTGAAATAAAGGCTGGTTGGCAATTGCGTTGTTGGCACTTGGTTCAGTGATCGCAACTGGCTGTGAAGTATCGATTGTGTACAGGGCAGTGGGTGGAGTCGTGGTTATGTTGCTGGCCGGAATGGTACCGAACACCGTGATACCTGTAGCTGTATGACTTTATACAATGAGAACTAATCAGTTGCAGGAGGTGAGACTAGTACAACCGTTGAACGTGAGGGACACCTGGGAACCACTTGTACTCGTGACATGTGTCGTAGACGTGAAGTCTGTAGTGGCTTCTTCAAGTGTCCACTCGCCTGAGTAAACTACGCGAGGGTCACTGTTGGATATGCAGAAGGGGCAATCCTTTGTTGGGTTGGTATCTGAGGTTGTGTTGGTGCTTCCTGAGCTCGATTGAGGATTTCCTCCAGATGCCGCTCCCTGACTGTTTCCTCCTCCAGAGTTTCCTGAACTACCGCTCACTGAGGTTGACTGGCCTTGTCTACCTGAGCTTCCTGGATTACTCCCAGAACCCCCAGAGGTACCTTGACCTTGATCAAATCCAGTGTTGCCGTTGCCAGTACTGAATACATCCGTATCTGATCCCGCAAGGTTGTGAATGAACTTTGGGTCGGAATGATGTTTGTCGATCAAACTCCCTTTGCTATTCCCCGAATTGTCTCTGAAATAGACGTGTCTGGCATCTTAAATAGGGACAACAATGATTAGCCAAATTACCTTGAATTTCGATGGGGAGACACTCACTGAGCGCCCCAATATGGCCAGCCATTCTTTCGCAGTTAGTCCAGCTGTGAGATACTTATAGGAGCGACGTTCAACCTGAACATCATATTAAAATTATACAAGGAATATATGAATGATTTAACATACGTCGCACTCGAATTGAGGAGGCTCTCCAGTGTGCGTGAGTGAAACCTTCGTGAGGATGAAGGGGGAAAAGCGGTTGAAATATATACTTCTTATAGTGCGACGTCAAGTGACCCAGCAATATGGGAACGACAAAACGGTTGTAAGGGGCTATCTTGCGCAAGTGGGCAGAAACGATAGGACTAAAATGTCCGAGAAAAGGGATTGCAACGGAGGGGCTGCACCTGAGAAACATGACGTCTGTGTAGAAGAATAGGTGCTGCGCTGCGGCATCCAGTATGTGCGTATTGGCTATCACTTGATTTATCTTTCGCACAGTGATCAACAATAAATGCACTTTGAAACGAGTGTGAGCTGTATTTCTTTAAACCTCGTGGTGGCCCCTGTCAATTTGTCATGTACTTAAAACGACAGTATCAGCCTTCTTCTCATCACTAACGATGGACCAAGACTCACAAAAGTTGTGCTGCGCCTAACATAGTGACTACGGTTTTTGACCTTACCAATCTGATGGACTGCAAGGGAGGGAATATTGAGTATAGGCAAGTCTTCATTCCGATTTCGAACAAAATCGAGCAGTCGTGGTGCTTTCGATATCTGTATATAAGATGTGCCGTTGCCAACTTAATTGTAAAGGATGCGTCAGTAACCAGAAGACATCATAAGAAGCCGAGCTCTACGACGCTCGCCCAGTGGATCAAATTTTGGGAACCTTTACGTTTCTCAACTTACCCAAATGAGCGGGATGGACGCAGTATTATTGGTTAGAGACTTCTACCAGGTGAGATCCCCGCCGTCATTTTGAGGCCTTGTTGCAACTTACACCTTCGACTGTTTCCCAAGTCCTGCTTAGTAACGAAAGCTTTTGAGTGAGATTCGGACACGAATGAAGCCAAGTAACCGGTATATCGTCTCGGGAATTGCTCGGAAGTATGACACTCTTGAGCTCATGTAGTACGTGTTCTGACTCAAAACATTAAAACGTCTACTTGAGCTTGTGGTACTATGGTGCAATATTAGCCTGAATAGCTAAGGAGGTTGGGAACGATATGTCGTATTGCATTTGATATAATGTGTGAGAGACCTGACAATCTACGTGCCAACAAGCTGCGACCAAACGGTAGTCCCGTTGCCAACACGATCTTAGGCACGGGAGAAATCAGGGAACTACGACGTTCCTCGCAGACAGTCCGGTTATTATCCGAGGGCTGCATATATCGAAGGAGTACATTGATATCGACTGACCTCTAACCATAAATATCTGAACTCCTGAAGCAGTCAAATCGACTCCCAAATCGACGGGTCCCGGAAGGATATTTCTGGAGGGTCGAAGCCAAAAGGAGTAGTGTCCACCGGAAAATATTCTCCATATGGGTAGTAAGGAATATTTCCTAGGTGTAAGTAGGTTGGGAGGCACGATTGCCAATTATGCAATGATTTCTGCAGAGCATCTATCTTTGATGTATCTCCGGGCCAAGACCATCCAACCTTTTTGATACCATCAAGCAAACTACGGCCACTAGGTTCAGTATCTCGGCAACTTAAATCGGAAGTAGGAAAAACCGACCACTTCAATACTTGCACTCTCTCTAATCTTGTGTCTCCACCTACCTCATTCTCATGCGCCAGTGATTCTGCCACAATGTCCGCCCACGATTCAAAATTTGTTGGCATGAGGTGGGATAGGAATCCTATCGAAGGTGCATCCCGTACGCATTCCGACATCATCTTTGCGCCTCTCAGTGCAGTACGCCGAGTCTGGCCCAATAGTAGACAGTATCGCTCTTTCTTCCTTTGATGTTGTGAATTCTCGGTCACATCTTCGCTATCGAGGAGTGATACCCTTCGTTGCATGTCAACATACGGGGGTAGTGTGAGGGAGGCCCAGGCATGTTTGAGGACAAAGCGGGAAACGGTAATTTCGCCTGGATTGAACGGAACGGTGGGGAACGATATTTGTGCTTGAAGAGAGTTATCGACAACTTTGAAAAGGCAGTGAAGATCATCCAAGAGGACCAAATAACGAGACAAAAAAGATTCATCGAGAGATCGCGACCTAGATGCAGCTATGTATGCCTCATATTTAAGATCATAATAAGGAGTGAGATGGGGGCTGAACTTACGGCCAGTCAGAGAATCACTGCATAGCCTCGCAAGCGATGCAACATGATGAAGGTCTGGGATTGTCAATTAGTAAGCGAAATGGCGAGGAAAGTTGAATACCAGACATGGGACAAGAAAGCGGATGAACGCCTCCAAGTCATCGGGCAATGCCCTAGCCTCCGCAACGATGACTTCAAGCCTCTCTGGGATGGATATGCAAAGAAGGATTTCGTCGGTTGATACACTAAAAGAAATACTGTGTCAATGTGAGAACAACAGTAACTTAGGTATGCGGAGACGCACAAATTTGAAGTGGTTCCCAGATGGAGTGACGTTAAGGCTTCCACCATCTATGCATTATGTTCGCCAACAGTCAGTGGGATCCAGGATCAGATGTGGAGAGACTAGATACCAATATGTAATGCCAATCAAGGGGTGTCATGTTCATATCTGACGTCCCATCTGCTCCCATTGTAGCGAGCTCCCTTAAATGTGTAGCAAATGCGCTTCCATATGGCTTCCCCGCTCGTACACCGGTTCCTTCATATGAAAGATGTAAACATAATTTTCTTATACAGCGTAAAAATGCATGAGTAAAAGTGCATACGTTCAAGTAACTTTTCCAGCATAAAGCAACATTCCATATTCTGGCGACCGCCCAATGCCAAAGTACCTCGCTGCCAGGCAAGGGTTAAAGCACGATCTCTTAGGTGTGCGCAAGCATCAGCCCTTCGTTGACCATATATTTGCAGGTCTAGGTTATCAAGTAAACCGTTCTGGATACTGCTGAATGATGGTGGAGCGGGGCCAGGAGAGAAAAGGAGAGGGTGAGATGAAATAGTGGAACTGAATGCCATTATAGTATATGCCATAACCTGGACGCAGACATAGTTGAGCTATCTACCCGTTAAGAGAAAACTAGAAAAGGCACACCTCAGCTTCTGGAGGCAAAAGCTCAAGGCGTCTCCCGACACTATCAAATAGCGAGCTTAACCAACGATGTGAGACTATAGGTAGCCAATTATACGGAAGCTCGGAATGTACTGTAGCAATGATAACCATATGAGTGACGATATAAAAATGGGAGACATACACTCGAGAAGATGGGCGGCTAATGTCCCTGAGAGCTCAACTATACCTAAACGACTATCTGCATCACTCGGGGATAGTCGAATACAAGGTGTGTTTCTGGTATTAGATTGGTGGGAACCGAATGTCGCTCTGTCATGGTCGACCGTCAGCTATTTGTAGTGGACAAGACCATTTCAGTTAGTTCACCTCGCAAGCTCGACTCGTCTCCCGCCTATTTTCACAGCCTTCTTGCGAACGTGAGGAGTTGTAGTACAGCTGAAATATCGGTGTTCGCTATCCTCATTCCCAATCTGCCAGTAGTCGCGCTGATCACTCACGCAAGACCGTGCTTCTTGCACTGTGCGCATTCAAGATCTCCTCTAGAAAGTACAAGACACCGAACTTTTCTAAGTTTGCAAGAATCGCATGCTTTCCGGTTTTTGTTAGTTGATATGACTGAAACGATGTCTGGAGATGAAGAAGATGGTGAGGAAGTCACCACGGACAAAGAGCAACTTGGAGAGCCTGAGGTCATGCTTGAAGTTGACAAGGACAGTCCCAGTCATGATCGTTGATAGAGATGTTACGACAGTTTACTGTAACCTGTGCAGTCGGTACCGCACAAGTATGTCGAGGTTTCAAAGTTACCCTGGGAACAACTCAGCTACACTGAGCCTTTGTAAATCCTACTAACTATTCCCTTTCCACTGACAGTAGCATCACCAGTAGCATAATGTCCACTGTTTCTACCGCTGGACGGCTCCCCCAACTTGAAATAACACCAGCACCAACTCGAGACAACCTTATATGCGCCGTAAGGGAATTGAGGTGGACAAGGAAGACCTGATGAATTTGGAGTCCATTGGCATCTTCCCATTGGCTGACGAAGAATCTAGCGAAGGCGATGAACATGAGCATCATATGCCCACTTACAGTGACAATCTCGCGAACTAACTCGGTGGATACTACATAGTAGCATCGTAGTCTTCCATACCGACTCAGATAGACTGTGCTAGCGTTGCTGTATAACTGAAGTAAAGATTTGTCTCACGGTGACACCTCAGATCAAGAGAATTTGTGATATATACAAACAGTGAAATAGTACCCTAGATAACGACTGCTTCTATAGTATATACATTCCTTTCTAGATTTTCTTTTACAATCCTGCCATCTGCTTCAGCATCGCGAATTCATTCTTCCCAGTTGCTTTACAGAGACCGTGGAAGCCTGACGATGAATCTGCAAGCAAAGTACCCGGGCTACCATATGTAAAGTGAGTGGATGTTTAGGAGTAATTGCATAGAGTAATAAAGCGTACCGATCGAACTCTACGATACGGCCTTCGTCAAGCAACATAACCTAGAGATAGATAGTCGATCAGAAATGAAAGCGTGTACAGATGCTTGATCACGTACTCTATCATAGTCGATGACCGTGCGCAAGCGATGAGCAATAGTGAGGATGGTGCTCGAAGCAAATTCACTGTAAGACAGCGGTGATTACATCATCGGATGTAGTATGAGTGCAGTCACAGTTGACAACTTACTGTCGGATAGTTTTGCTGATTAGTTCGTCTGTAGCGTAATCAACACTTTCCAGAACCATAAGCTTGACCCTTGAAGTTAATGCAAAAAAAAATCATACCTTGCTGTAGCCTGTTGAAGATGTCTGTCAGTGATCAATATACCACTTTCGTCACAAACTACTTACTTCATCCATGACCAGGACCTTTGACCGCTTGAGAATAGCTCGGGCCATACAGAGCAATTGTTTTTCACTATAGATTTCTAGAGATTTATAGCGTGTTCGCCGAATAGATGGCACATGCTTACCCTGTGGAGAAGTTTTCTCCACCCTCCGAAACCGATGAATCTAAGCTGCGGAAGACGTTCGCGTTGACAGTATCAGTGGCCTCAGATGGCGTATCTTCTGAGGGAATCAAATGTACACGTCTCAAAGCCTCAAACTGGTGGATATGAGTCTAAGCAAAGCCACATCCATACACCTATAGATGAAACACTCACGATCTCAGCATCTTGATACTCATCGAAGACATCGAGAGTCGAGCGTAGAGTCCCACTAAGAATCGTCGGATCCTCTGAAAGCTCTGCTTCAGTAGCTATGGTCCGGCCATGTAACAAGTACTTACGAGGAATGATGGTTAATTTACTGCGAAGGTCGGTGAGACCAATTTGGGATATATCCAGGCCATCTACAAGGATCCGACCTTCCGTGGCTTCGACGAAACGGAAGAAAGACAATGCCAATGTACTTTTTCCAGAACCCGTTCTACCGAGGATGCCGACCTACAAAATCACAAGAATTCAGGCAGAGTTCAGTGGTCGGATTGAGAAGTTTTACCTTTTCACCGGGATGTATGTTAAAGTTGATGTTGTGAAGCACGTTTGGCAACTCGGGCTAAAACAGCTTAGTTTGGCTAGCCAGCAAGTCATAAGAGAAAGTGAACTCACAGCATAACGAATGACGAGGTTATCACAAGTGATGGCGCCATTTTCGGGCCATGACGAAGGCGGCCTTGGCTCAATGAATTCAGGAGGTTCTCGTTTCAATTCAGAGTACTCCTTGACACGTTCCAAGGCAACCTATCCTCTATTTTTAGCGAATATTCTTGAGCTGACTTTCCCCAAACATACCATAGATTGCTCGAGACCCACAAATCTTCGCACCTACGATATCCTAGAGTAAGAACAAGGACACTCGCAACACTTAGGACTCACTAAGAAGAGCAACTATCAAGGAAGGGCGTAAGCAATGGAATCGGATTAATTTTTGATGGTGAACTTACATTGCCCGTAATGGTTGATGCGAATGCTAACGCAAAGCCTGCTAGTGCAGCAGAGATACTGGGCGTAAAGACTGCTACGAAAGCGGTTAATCCCACAACAGCACTTGAAATAATATCATAGCGAGCAGAAAGCCATCGGTTTACTAGCAGAGGGTGATTTAGTCCTGAAAACTATAACGACATGAATCCGGCATACCTCCCCACATCCAATAGTATGGGTTTGAATTCTGAGCATAATATTAGCCATTTAGCTGTCGGAGGAAGGAGACCAGAGCTAACAGTGTCAACACATTGAAGCATGTCTCGTAAAAATTTAGAAGACCCTCCAAAGGCGCGAAGGATTGTCACCCCAGATATAGTTTCACCGTAAATCGAATACAAAGGAGATCGAGTCACGGAATCTTGAACTTGTGTGAGCAATGCATCTCATAAAGAGATACGATATACCTACCTAACCGTCTCATGTCTCTGGCAGTTTGACTGAATACTTTAGCAACTAAGATAAAGATCGTTAGGATGCAGTGTGGTGGGTAAGAAGGAATGAGAATCACCATTGAAATATATGTAGGCCAGCATGGCAGCGACAACGAGGAAGGGCAGGCCTCCAACCATGCTAATAGTTACAATTGTCGTGAATGCGTTCAGCCCGTAAATGACGCCGCGTCCAAAATTGTCCGACATCCTACTATCGATCCCTAGGCAAACAAAAGGATGAGACGAGAAGGCAACAGCTTTTTAATGTGTGTACCTTCGAAATCTTTTCCAAACCGGTTGAGCAATCTTCCTCGAGAAATTGTGTCGTGGAAACGAATGTTGGCAAAGAGAACGGTTTCAAGAAGCCCTTAATATCAGACGTTAGCTAATGGCAAGTTTGAGATAATAAAGCACGTACTCTTGTAGAGAACGTTGGATGCACGAATGGACCCATTGTCTTACATCTTATGAGACAACCAGACTGATCATACTAGAGTGAAGACTTACAAAGAACGTAAAAGCGGGCTGTGGATACGATAAGACCTACGGAAGTAGTCAGTAAACAGCTTATGCGAGCGAGCGAAGGCTATAATACCAATCACAGTAACCTAAAACACTGATGTAAGTGTCAATATACTATGAAGATAAAGATGAAGTGCCTACAATAGCGTAGATAGAAATGTAATACATGGGACCTTTCTCGATTGCTTCCTCTGGGCTTGTTCCAGACCATGTCCTGGAAACAAGATTTAAGGGATAGATCAGCTTGAAATGGGTGTGGGGTGCTTACTTCAACCACCAGTTTTCAGCTACAGGGCTAAGAGCACCCAGAATCATGATGAGAGCAAAACATGCCCAGTACCAATACTGCCCACAAGCATGGATATATGTCTCCCAAATATCTCTGCTGATATGTCCCACGGCCCGTTTTTCCTCCTCGATAAGTTTGCGTGGGGCCTTCTTCGCGAGCTCAGGCTTCGCTTCCTCCGTTGTCACAGCGGTAGATTCCGTTCCTGAGTGGGAGTTGGTGGACTCATCGTCGCCAGTTGGTGAAATCTCTTCGATCTCGAGTGCCCCAGCCCCGCCCTGATCATCCACCGCTTCAGTGGCAGTCGACTGTATAAGAGTATTCATGACGCTGGAGTTTTGGAATTTTTCGTGGTCTCCTTGGTAAATAACACGGCCATTATCCAGGGCAACGATATAGCTGGCACCAGGGGCGCAAAGTTGAACATGGTGAGAGACCAGGATGACAGTCCGGCCTTGCATCAATTCACCCTTGAGACATTCGTGATACAAGTGGTGCGCGGTATGGGCATCGACTACAGCAAACGAACGTTATGTCCTGCAACATTGAGATGTCAAGCACATAGACACGTACCAGCGGATAGGACATCATCCAACAGCAGAACTGATGCACGAGAGTAAACTGCACGAGCGAGCGATACTGTGAGGAATGTATGAGCAGCCAAACATGAAAACTCGCTGAAAAAATAAATACCTCGTGCTTTCTGACCACCTGATAGATTAACCTATAAAAGACGATTGTGAGTCCAAAATAAACAACACAATCTCCACTTCAAAATATAACCTACCCCTCTTTCGCCAATCTCAGACTCGTCGCCATCCTCGAGAATGTTTAAATCACTAACAAGCGCACAGACCTGGAATGCATCATGAGAGCCATATACAACAAGCTCTGTTTCTATGACAAACCTGGAGAGTTTTTTGGTATCTTTCTTCATCGAGCGGCAGATTGAATAGGATATTATCTGGATAGGAACACTCGTCAAACACGCCTCACATCAATGCTCTCAATACATACCTTTAATCGACGCATTGCGCAACCACGCAGCCTAAATACGGTGATGTGAACCAAGGCTCAATGAAGTAAGAGAAAGACAACTACCTGAGGTACATAGGCACAGACACCAGGTACCACCCACTCCTCTTTTGAGACCAGCTTATCCGTGAAAGAAGCAAGCGAATCCGGAGGTGAGCGCGGACAAATGATCTGCCCTGTCAATAGATCCGCTTCTCCCAGAAGCGCTGACGGACATGAAAGAGTCAACACCAAGTTTGACACTCTGTTAACTACTTTTTCGACTCACCTAATAAGAGTAAGGTCTTTCCGCTACCAAGCTTACCGGATATGAGCGACAGCTCGCCTGGAGGGAACGAAATGGACAAGTCGACGAGAACGAATTTTTGTCGAGGGGTTGGTGCAACTGAAGATGCAGCAGAAGACGTAGCACTGCCCGAAGTACGGTCTTGCGGCCAGGTGATAGTGGCTGATTGCAGAGTAATGGTTGAGGGCTGCTCGGACAGTGGTGCGACAGAGGTGACCTCAGCACCATGAAGGTACTTCTCGATACGACGAAGAGAGACGAAACTCTGTAGTAGATAGGAGTGAGAACAAGATGATGGGTTGAATAATGAGGGCTATAGTACCTGCAGCATGTTGATGAATGTTTCGGGCAAGGCATTCAAAGCGAATTTCATCTCAGCAAAAACTAGAAGCAAATTGGGTATCAAAGTCTGATGAAAGTAAGTTGAAACGTACTGAGTATCTATTACAGCCCAATGTAAATAACTGTCAGGTCAAGTAACAATTACAATGAAGACAAAACTAACAGATGTGAACGCAATGGATGGCGTGAGTGTGTTTCCGCGGATGACAGAGAAGTGCCAAAATGAAACGATCGTGACAAGCACTGGAGATGCATCCCTAGTGACAGAAATTAAGATAGTCATCAGTATACGCGGAGTTATGTCTATTTTTCGACTTGTACCAAATAGCATTAAAAAGGACCTAAAGACAGGAATTAACACACGAAACGTGAGACACGAGCTGACATACTTCAATCGTGTAGTTGAGCTTCTGGAACTTGAGCTCCCTTTCTCGGATCTTGAGGACGCGCTTTTCGAAACTACGCTCCCAAGCCATGAACTAGGTAGCGTGTCAGGTCAACATCTTTATACATCGCTGGAGTAGCTTACTTTGAGCATGCGAATACCACCAAGAATCTTTAAAGGGAAAACAACAGAAACAATATGTTGAGCGCACAACCACGAGAGTGTAAAAGAACATACCTCATTCATCAAAGCAACACGCTCGTCGCGTGCCTTCATGAGATTTTCTTGTGCACGGACGACAACTTTACCAGCATAATGGTTCATGGGGAGGAAAAGACAAGTCACTCCCAGACCAATGAAGCATGACGAGCCTAAATGGGACCATAAGTATTGGCAATAGCATGTAGTGAGAATGGGTAAGACATGAACACACCGAGAAGCTTATATAAGAAGAGTGTCCCGATGACGATTTCAATGGGCGAATCTAGCGTGAGTGTGATGGTTCAGTCTAACCGACCAATGACATTATGATGGAGCACAACGAAGACTCTTACCGATGAGTGAGAACATGTGCCACGAGAACTCACTAACACGATCAACATCCGTTGTCATGAGTGTCATGATCTGAGCCTTGCTCGAAAAATCATCATCATCATCGCTCTCCTTTGCATCGTCCTTCCCAGCTTTATCATCACTAGATTTGACTGCAGAAGACGATGCAATATCCTTGCGAACAAGGGTCTTCGCAAATAGTATGGTGTTGAGCTGGATACGTACGCGGACCTGGATTGTAGTCGTCGTGAGGGACCACAGCTGAGCAGTTACTACATAGCAAGTAGTCAGCATTTCGATGCTTTGCCAAAATTAACAACGCACTTAAGAAGACTATCACATTTGAGAAAAATATTCCTGTGGCATATACCAAGCCCCAGCCAGGGTTTTCTCTGGTGGGATCAGACTCGAGATACAACACAAGTTGCTCAAGGAAGAGTGGAGGCGTATAGAAAAGTACAGCAGACACAGCTGCTAGGACAACCTCTGCCATAAGGGCAAACCAGTTGACACAGACAAGCCGGTACGCAAGCTCGAACCCAGAACCAACGCGTGGACGCCAGTTTCCGACACGCAGGCGAACACTGCGAACGGTATGCTTCATAGCAGAATACAGATGTGTTGCGCGCATGTTGGCGGGGAGAATGGGAAGGTCGCCAATCTCTAAGGAAGAAGAGATATTCCCGAGCATCACAACCTTGGTGGTGTAGTTGAACATCAGGAAGTCCAACACAGAAGCACCTTTCATATCATTCAGTTTGGGAATGGGATAAATAATCGAAAAGCTTACTTGCAAGCCCACAAACATTGTGTTGAGCAAAATTTGTCGTTGCCTTGATGGTTTTTTCGGAATATATTCTCTCCGCAGGAAAATGTAAGTGGGGTCCAGATGGTAACGTCCAAGAAATGATGCATGCCACAAGATATAAGGCGAGGACTGCGTACCACAATCCTTTCAGGGCTGGGTCTACCAAAATTAGCACGCGGTCGGGTTTTGTGTAAGGTAAGATAGCAGTTATGGCGAGTAATGCAGAAGGGACAAATGTCAAAGCAGCGAGATGAATCAATGATTCAGAGTGGTACTCTGCATTATCTTGATTTATGGAACGAGCGACGACGATGACCGTGTAGAGACTAAAAGCAGCATGCAAGGCATATACAATCAGAGCATCGCGGTCGTCGTTTATAGCAGACCATGCAAGGCATATTGTCTGGATGGCTAGGATTATAGCCAGAATGATGGTTAGAAACAGCTTCCATAAGCGCATCTAAAATGAAAATTCTATAATGAGTGTCAGACGGAACAAGGTAAATATTACGCACCCTGATCCAAAACGCATCTTCATCTATTGGGTATCCTTCAATGACATCCTCAGGTTTTGTGACATCAAACGGATCGATAGTTTGTTCGGTCTCCTCCCCATGTATCGGTAGCTGGATTTTACCTTCTCTGGGATAGGCAAGGTATAGAAATACGATGAAGCTGCCAACAGCGGTGCTGGCAAGAGCTACAGCTACTGGAAGCTGATACTGAAGCATGCCCGCTTGCGATTCGCTAGGTGAGTGCAGCTAACGAAAAGGGCGTTTCTGTACCAGTTGAATATAAAGTCAAAAGATAAGCCCGAGCGCTGCTCTCCGACTACTATGTAGTATTGGCGGGACTCGGACCCGACCGTGACAGTGACGCCTTTTACTCTGACTCGGAGTCATGCATGTCGCTGGGTTTTATTTCAGGCCAGCCATCCGTGACCGTGAGGTCAAAGACAATTTAGACGACCATCATCATGATGGGTTTGTCAGTGTCAATGGTTTGTCCGTTATCTTTGGTTCGTTTCATAGGCAACGATATCGCCGTCCTTGATATGCCATACGTTACTGGAAATATAAGGCATTTTAGATAGCATGTTGTACTCTCACTCTCATTAGATTAGACCACAAATATTATTTCAATGATATCTCAATACCATACCTGGACCCGGCATCTCATATTACAGTGCATTATGAAGATACATTGTTTCATTATCACTGGTACATTAACACTAGCAAAATCACTTATGAAAGTAAGGGTATTGCTTCTCAGTGGACAGGGGACAGGTCACCTCCCCTGCAGTCACATTCAACATTCTATGGAACGGAAGAGTGAATGAGGAAATAGTGAATGGTGGGGAAAGACTCTGGAGCGCCAACAGGGAGGCCCACAGTATCTTAGTCTCGAATCTAGACGGGTGGGAACAGAGGTCCCAGACCGTCTGGAGACATTCGTTTAAGGACGAGTGCATCGAGTCACACTGTCACACTTATAGCCGTTTTTGGGTAGAGAAAGCGTCCAAAAGTAGAAATTGATAATGTTTCGTCATCGTGATTACTCGTCCAATATACATACAAATTTTTGGGTGTAGTGCAATAACATGGCCCTCCGGGGCAAACCTGGACCCCATTGTTTTGAGTGATGAGTATCGATGAGTAATGATGGAGTGGTGTTCGGGGTCTTCTTTGGTTTGTTCGAAGGGATCTTGTGCTTTTCGCAATGTCACGCGTCGTTGGTGGCCGTCTGTTGGAACAGCTGGCTGGCTTACTTAAAAGTGGGAAGGATAGCTGTACAGGCGATAGGTGTTACGCACAAAGTGCTTAACAAAGTCTGAGGGTTCGTCGAGTTTGTTCAAAGAGACTTATCCGAAGACAAGTTCGAGGATGTAATTCTGAATAGAGGGATTCCAACAGTTGTTGGTCTTCTTCCGTATGGAAGTCTGATCTTGGAAGTTCTAGCTTTGTAAGCGTGAACTGCGTAGAATCGTATTGGAGAATACTACTACTGTTACAAGCGTATTTATAGAGAAGTAAGTCGGCGATAGGAGTTACGTCCTATCTAGGGTAGGTCTGTCCGTTGAGGACTGAGTACTATACAAAGTAATAGAAGTGCGAGAGGAGCGGAAGTGTATGTGAGGGATGTGAGTCATCGGTCCGATGGTATAACCAATGAGTAAAGAGAAATGAGTAGTCCGTAATATAGGTAGACAAATCGTAACATTACCCCCTTACTTGCTTCGAATTTCACCGAAATTCGGTACCCTCGCCATCCATGTTGTAGCTGTCGTCGTAGCTGACATCTCCATGTAATCCCTCCATCAGAATCCTATCTTCGTTTTCCCTACAAATAGGGCACCAATTGAAACTATGCCCTGGTGCGCGTCTATCGCAGTCGGGGCAGTAGTAAGCTTCGCAGTAATATGTACGGTGATTACTCCAACCGCAGTTTTGACAGTAAGGAGCGTTGTCGCGAACACCTTGGTGGTACTTTTGTCGGGTATTGGACGAGGTGTCGGATTTGGGAGTGGGGGGATTGTCATCTCCCAGGTTGTACGTTCCCGCGTACAATTGGTCGATCATGTCGGCGTCATCTACGTTGATTGGATTGGAAGGGGAGCCGGTCTCAGGCCTGCGCGTTACGCCAGGCGGACTGTCTTTCGGACTCTTCGACGTACGAGATCGCCGATTTGATGGAGTTCTGACGGCGGGGATCTGGAGTATCACTTCTTGTCGGCCTAGTCGGGCTCCTCGTCGTTTCGTCAGGTGACGGGTTTGGGCGTTTGGTACCGGTCGAGGCGGAGGTGACTGCGGTGGTAGTGGTTCTGGGTTCGACCCAGTGGAACGGGGACTGGAGGGGTTTGACCCTTGTGAGGTCGGGCTGGTTGGGACGGTGGGAATGTATTTTTCCGCTAACTGGGTGGGCGGAGGTTGTGGGGTAGCGGTGGGGTAGGTGAGCTCTGGGGTAACACTGATCTGATCTGGGTGTAATGGGGACCGGCGGGACAAACCGGGTGGAGGAGTACTCGTATAGCCATCTCGCTCTATCCACGTGCGCGCTTTGGTTAGCAAGATCTTCCTGCCTAATTCCAAATATGCCTTTGCCGCGTCCGTCTGCCCACTCAAGGAGTTCATCCTCAAGCGTCGTTCCAAAGATTCCAAAACTAACTTTTCCATCCGGAGTGCCCGACAGATACTCGAGTCCTGATTGTTGTGCCGCGAATGCTCGTTTTCCAACGAATGTAGTGAGTCTATGGCTTTCAGGAGTTCGTCAGCCACGAGGTCTATGTTAAGGAAGGTGTATAGGGAAGAAAGAGCGTGGTACGCATCGGGATAGCGTTTTTCTGTTTCACGAAATAGATAGATGTGGGCGTTTTTGGCTGACATTAATTCTATGGCGTCGGAGACGTCAGCCTGGTTGTGTCGTTGCCCTCGGGCAAAGGACACTCGTTCGTCGGCTAGCATGTTGGCTTCGCCGGGTACAGAGTAGGTGGTGATGGGGAAGCCGGTAGAGTGAGAAGTAGACATGTTGTGTGTTTTGAGAGACAGAGGATTGGTGGTGGTGGGGGTGGTTGTCTCTTCAACGCAGTTTGTGGTCTCTCTTATAGGCTTCCAGTATCTCCGCAGCATTGGTCAGGTGTTCTTCTGGTTCCCATGAGTTTTCGGAATGAGGGTAATGGCGCCATTTGATCAGGTAACGGCGTCCGCGTTTCCAGGGTTTGTGTATAAGAATACTTTCTACTTCATATTCTTCTTCTTCATTGATAAGGTCAGATGGTGGTCGGATAAAGTTCGGTCCGTGAGTGTTGGTTTCGGTATACGGGGTTAAGAGGGATGCGTGGAAAACGTTGTGTATCCTCCAATGGGGAGGTAACAATAATCGGTAGTTTACCGGGGAGATCTTTTCTTGGATGCGGAAAGGTCCGATGCGTTTCATGTTGAACTTCTTGTATTCGGTGGCTTTTTCCCGCAGGTTGGTGTTTTCTAACCACACCTTTTGTCCTTCTGAGAATCTGGTGAACTTTCCGTTCGTTCATTTCATCATCTTGCTTCTCGCTAGTTCGTGTGCTTTTAGAGCGTTCTCTCTTGCTCTAAGTAGTTCGGATAATCGTTTTTCTACTGACGGGATGTTTGTGGATTGGTGTTTAGTCGGGATTCCTCGGGGTTCGTATCCCATGAGGAGGTAGAATGGCGATTGGTTATTCGTGGAGTGTGGCCGTTGGTTGTGGCAGAATTCGGCCGTCGTAAGGTACTTTGCCCAACTGTGTGGTTGATTCTGGCAAAAGATGCGGAGGTAGATCTCTAGTTCTTGATTGGATCGTTCTGTTTGTCCGTCAGTCTGTGGATGGTATGCCGTGGAGAGTGCGGTTTCGATGTTTAGGAGTTTGTGGAGTTCTTTTGATACTTCAGAGGCGAATTGTGGGCCTCTGTCGGATATGATTTTGTCGTGTAGTCCAAACCGTTTGAAGACAGAGTCATGGAAGATTCGTGCAGTTTCGAGTGCGTCGATGGTTTTGTGGCAAGGTGAGAGGATTACCCCCTTACTAAGTCCTTGGTCTACCACGACCATTATACTGTCATACCCTATAGACTCGGGTAGGTCTGTAATGAAATCCACCGAGAGATACTTCATCGGTTCACTGGTTGTTACGATAACACAATTTCCGGACATCTCCTTTCCTTTTTATTCTCCGCTTTAACTTTATACTTTAAGTGCCACGCGGCATTTCCCTTTCTCGCGCCGCGTTGCCTTTCTTTTTTAGACTTAACTCTCTCACACAGTGGAGCTGGCCATACGGGCTAGGCCCTATGACATCATCAGCCACTGCCTTCATCAACTGTATAGTACACATGTACAAACAACCTGTAGTAGTATATATACCCCAATAGATCCAGGAGACTCCTCAGCGAGTCCTCCTGTTGTTAACCAACAAACTCTCTGCAGCTCAAGGGGTAACCACTCCCTCTTCATTTTCTTTATAGTGTGGTTCTGTGTGCGCCAGAGTAACTAACTCTTGGTTGTTACACTGGTCTTCGGTGTTTGATTCGGGATCAACGGTACCGTGGTCGGATGCGTGTTTACTTTGGCTTGCTGGCAAGTTGCGCATCCTTTCACGTATTCCTCTACCTGTTTCATCATTCCTGGCCACCAATAGGACTTTTTTATTAGTTGATAGGTTTTTAGTCTTCCTGGGTGCCCTGCGGTTAGCGAGTCGTGGTGATTTTTGATGATCGTTCTCTGTTCTTCTGCAGTGTCGATCAGTAGTTTGTTCTGATAGAAGAACTGTCCTTCCGCTTTGTGCCAATCTTCCTTTTTCGTTCTTCCAGGGTAGTTGTCGTTGGTGAGCATTGCTTGCTCTATTGTGTCTTTTATTGTTCTCGTGTGATACAGAAACGCCGACGCTGGTATCATTGGGGTGTCGTCGTCGTCGTCCGTGTTATCGATGTACAAGTTGGGTCGTCTCGAGAGTGCGTCAGGTACCACCATGTGGGTTCCAGGTACGTGCTCTAATGTGTAATTGTATTGTGACAGTTCTAGCTGCCACCTTTGTTGTTGTGGTGTGAGTTTTCTGGCCTCCTGCCAGTACGTCAGGTTCTTGTGATCCGTTAGGATTTGGATCGTGTGTGGGCTTCCTAAAAGCAGGTGTTTCCACTCCTTCAGAGCTCTTATTACCGCTAAAAGTTCCTTGTCGTAGATCTGGTAGTTTTTCTCTGCGGGGGATAGGGTTTTTGAGAAAAATGTGCACGGGTGCCATTGTCCTTGATCATCTGGTTGCATTAACACAGCTCCGGTGGCGTGTTTGCTCGCGTCCGCTGCTATCTTCGACGGTTTCGAGGAATTGGGGATTTGGGTTACAGGGGATTCAAGGAATCTTTGTTTCAATAGTTTGAAAGCGTCATCTTTGATTTTCGTCCAGTTCCACTTTTTGTCTTTTTCTAGCAAGGCGTTTAGGGGTTGGGCTAGGTCAGAGTAATGGCCTATAAACTTTCTGTAGAAGTTTCCGTAACCTAAGAACTTCCGTATGCCTTTGGTGTCTTTCAGGGTTGGCCAATCGCGTATTCCTGCGAGTTTGGCTGGGTCCATGGATACCTGGTTGTGGGAAACAATCATTCCCAAGTATTCGATGGTCTCCGCCTCAAAGGTACATTTTTCAAGTTTCAGGAACAGGTCGTTTTCTCGTAGCCTTTGTAGAACTTGTTTTGTCCGGATGCGGAGTCTTTCAACCTGGGTGTCAAAGATGAGGATGTCGTCCATGTATATGATCATCCAGCCTTCATCAATATAGTCTTTGAATTTGTTGTTCATCAGCCTTTGGAATGTTGCCGGGGAATTGCACATGCCGAAAAACATGACCGTTGGTTCGAATACTCCCTTGCTGGTTTTGAAGGCAACTTTCCATTCGTCTCCTTCTTTTATCCTTACGTTGTTGTATCCCCAACGTAGATCCAGTTTAGTAAAGATGGTGGCTCCTTTCAATCTTTCGATGAGGTCGGGTATCAGGGGTAGTGGATATGGGTCTTTTACGGTATATGCGTTTAGTTTTCTGTAATCTTGGCATGGTCGGAGTGATCCGTCCTTCTTGCCAATGAAGAAGAAGGGGGACACCTGTGGCGACTTGCTTGGCCTGATGTATCCCTTTCTGTAGTTATCCGTCAAGAATTCCGTTAACACTTCATCTTCTTTTGGTGCCAGTGGGTACAATTTGCAATCCGTTGGTACAAATTCCGGTTTCATGTTGATTACATGATCATATTCCCGTCGCTTGGGGAGTCTTTCCGATTTCTTTTTGTCAAAGACGTCTGAATAGCCCTTATATTCATCTGGGAGGATATGTTTTTCTTTTCTTTCTCCGTGTATTTGCGCGTGTTCCATTGCCGAGTTGACTTTTAACCGGATCGTGATTCGAGGATAGGGTGTGCGGTTGGATACGTATCTGTGAATGGTTTTGTACTCGTCCTCGTCTACTGTGGTTGTCCTGATTTTTGTTTCCGTGGTAGTTTGGTTTGTCCTGATTGAGTGTTTGTCTGAGTACGGTAATTCTTTGTCTTTCCAGTTAATGACCGGGTTGACTTTTCGCAACCAGGGGAAGCCTAGCAATACGTCTTCTCCATCCAGTCCGGTTAATAGAAACTTCGTAAACCTGTTTTGTCCTCCTGCGTCTATTCTCTGATAGGTGCAATGCGTAATTTTTCCGTTTTTGTTCGTGGTTCCGTCAACGTTTTTACATGTTATAGGGATCGAGAGTTTTTGGAGGGGGAGTCGGTTTTTAATGGCGAATTTTGTGTCCATGAAGTCGTCCGTAGCTCCTAAATCTATCAGGGCTTTGGTTCCAATGGTTTTCTGTTTTAACGAGCAATCGATTCGTAAAGAGTTGGCATTGATCGTTGCTATTGTTACAGTTGCCATTTTCGACGGTACTAACATCGGGGTAGTCCGTCATTTCAAAAACCCTCGTCTTCTAATTCTTTCATCGCCTCAGCTCTTTGGTCTTCTCCCAATTCCCTCCACATCCTCATGATGTTTTGGACCTTGTCTTCTTCTACTGTCTTGACGTCATCTTCAGTTTCAGTTTGACGTACCTTTCTTTCGGGAGTCTTTCCTTTGTTCTTACAATTCCTCCCGATGTGTCCTTTTTCGTTGCATATGAAGCACCTTCCTTCCTTCCTCCTGGTTTCTTCTTTGTCTTTAGTCAGCCTTTTCACGCTGGTGGATGGTCCACTTTTGCGATTTTTGTTGTACTGTCTTTCTTTGTTTCTGGTCCCCCACGTTCCTTCCGAGATGGTGTTTGCACTGATCCAGTTGGCATCTAGGTTGGCCACCGTGTTCATCCAGTCTTCAATGGTGACCAGTTCCTTTCCGGTGAGTGCTCCGCGGAGGAGGGGGGGTCGGATTGCTTTTTGATAAACCATGATCATGGCTTCGTTGTTGATGCCACTTTTCCCGGCATCTAGCATAAACATCGAGTTGAATGCCACTGCATTTTCTCCTGGTTCCATCCTCATTTTCATCAAGGCGGCCGAAGCCGTTCCTTTGACATTTGCTGTTCTGAAACTGGCTGTGAACATTTTCATAAAATCTGCCCATGTGGGGTAGGCATTCTTGTCTTTGTATTCGGTCATCTTGGCTTCACTCTATGAGGCGGCGGTTCCGTCCTTCATGTAGCTGAGAGCCACGTACACCTTTTTCTTGTCCGAGGTATAAATGGTGTCGTTGATGTCAAAGTGTAAGTCAGTGGATGATATCCATCTTTGGGCCTTGTCTGGGGTCCCATCAAAGTCGTCAATTTTCCCAATCATAGTGGGTTTGGGTGTCGTAGCGTTTGACATGGTGTAGGTAGGTGGGGTAGGAGATGGGTTGGGTGCGGTGGGGAGTATCTGTGGTGTGGGAAGGGGTATTGGTTCACCTTCTGCTGCGTATTCTTCGAAGTCGTCTTCGTTGTAGATGTTTTCTGTGGTTACTGGAGGATCGTGTTGTGTTCTGGGGATTAGTTGTGGATGACTTTCCGCGTAGAACTGTAGCCAACGTGTTCTGGCTTCGTAGAATGTGTCTGCCTGTTCTCTGGTGTGGAGTCGGGTGACGTCTGGTTGAGGGAAGGGGGGTGGTGCTGCTATCCTTCCTTGTCTGGACGATGTCGGGGGTGTTGCTGTCTGTGTCTGTAAATCGTCTGAGCTTCTTCCTGCTCTCTGAGATCTGGTTCTCGGTCATTGCGACGTATTGTCGGCTTTTTCTTCCCAAACCTAAATAGGTGGGACTTCTGGTATGGAATATGATTCTTTTGTTACGCACAAAGTGCTTAACAAAGTCTGAGGGTTCGTCGAGTTTGTTCAAAGAGACTTATCCGAAGACAAGTTCGAGGATGTAATTCTGAATAGAGGGATTCCAACAGTTGTTGGTCTTCTTCCGTATGGAAGTCTGATCTTGGAAGTTCTAGCTTTGTAAGCGTGAACTGCGTAGAATCGTATTGGAGAATACTACTACTGTTACAAGCGTATTTATAAAGAAGTAAGTCAGCGATAGGAGTTACGTCCTATCTAGGGTAGGTCTGTCCGTTGAGGACTGAGTACTATACAAAGTAATAGAAGTGCGAGAGGAGCGGAAGTGTATGTGAGGGATGTGAGTCATCGGTCCGATGGTATAACCGATGAGTAAAGAGAAATGAGTAGTCCGTAATATAGGTAGACAAATCGTAACACACATTGATGGCAAGAGTGAGCAGCCTGGCACTCAAGTTGTTGTATTTGCTTTAATGTGAGAGGCATCTTGCGTCCATTGGCTCGGTGCTCTTGTAAAGTACGGTTGCAAAGAGGCTTGATGGGCGGGGCATTGTGCAGGAAATACACTGTCGCAGCTGTACCGCTATCAAAATGACTGTGGTTGTCAACTCACTGTGAATATACTCGGAAGGGAATGTTGAGATTGTCGTGGGATATGACAAATGGCATTTGCTTGATTTGCTTCCGTATTTTTGTCATCTGGTTGGCGGAAATGGCACTGAATGCATGGGTCGTCCACCGGTGACTCATGATGACACACAGAGTGCAAAGGAGGTTAATGTGACAACACCAACAATGTCAGGCAACAAATACAAAGCTATATAACAAAACTCAATGCCTGGTCAAGTCCTTGCTGAAAGGCGGTGAAGCAGGGTATGAGAGTTGAAGAGTATCGATATGGGCGCGAATCCAAACTAATATTGAACTAAAGAATAATACATTGAGTATGTACTTCCTTATATAGTGAACAACAATGGACAGACCAAGAAAGGGAAGAGTTAAGAAAGTGGTCTGACCAATTAACTAACCAATAAGAAAAGAAAGAGAAAGTGGTCTGATCTATCGTATTTACTAATCGCATGATAGAAAGTATTGGTAAGAGATGTACGATTGGCTGTATCAGTAAGCCCATGAGAAGGCGCTGACTCATAGTCTTCCTTGCTTATCAATATCCCTCCAAAGTATTCCCAGACATAGTATTGGATTGTTGCTATGTCATTTGGATATCTTCTCGAGGGTCTACAACAGTTCTCCTTCATTGTAAGTACAATAGGACGTGAGTATGAATGGAGAATAAGAAGAAAAAGGATAAAAGTAATAGAATGCCAGCTGTAATCTCTAGTCCAAGAGCGAGAGGAGTGACAGGGAATGAATCGGATAACCACGACATGATGGGAATGCGATAAGAAAAATTGATTCCTCACAAACAAGACACAGTCTTGGGGCACTGGAGCACAATGAAAACAACACTCAAAAGAAGAGGAAGAGGTGGGAGTGGTTACCCATTTGGTTTCTACAAGTTAGTTGCCGGTAGACAACAGGAGGACTTGCTGAGTCCTTCCCCATGTATTGCTCCTGTATATATACTAAAATATATGAGGTACTGTACAGTTGTAAATAAAGTTTAAAGTCCGATGTCTAGCATGTGACTGGTCACATGATGAGTAAATGGTCACATGACTGGTCATGTGACTTGGAAAAAGTAAAAGTAAAAGTACGAAAAGTGAAGTGTAAGTAGGTACTGGTACGTCAATTGTAACAGTTAAGGCTTTTGGCGGCTATGCCTTGTGAGCGAAGGAATGTAGTAAGAAGTTTTGCCCATTGGTTGTGGTGGTGCAAATGAGAAAACATAATTTGGATAATTATCGAAATAATGACCTGTATATCATGAGTTGACAGGAGTAAGAGAAACTTTTGATACTCACCAGGTCGGTGCTCTGCTTTGCATTGCGTTTTTCCTGTGACTCGGTCCTTGTTAGACGCTGTAGTAATTTCCATAGCATGAGCGTGCCATCGAAGCCGGGGCTTTGAAGCTTGAGAACGAGGTCTTCAGTGAAGAGGCTGGTAAGGCCCTCCTCAGAGACATCTTCGGGAGGGCATTTTGCAAGGTTCTGAATCCTCTGCAGCTTGCCCTCAAGCACCTCTCCTATGCAACCAAACAAAAACTCCTCCAGGACTGCCTTTGCTCCACTTGCCCATGTGTTGTGTGTGCCCTGCGTGCATGGTGGCTTGGACCAACATTTCAATATCTCAAGTAATTCTTTGCTGACCATGAGGTTCGTCCGCTCATAGCGGATCTTGGGGTCTGTAGTACACTTGTGGTCTCCCCAGCTTAGATAATTGAGAAATAAAGGGAGGTTGAGGCTGAGAGAAGATATGTAGTCTAGAATTGCTCAAATTTTGAGGACAGGACTGCTGTGGAATTTGCTCATGAGGTACGCCGTATGTTGCACTTGAATCAGGAGCTGGGGAAGGTCCTTGTAAAACCCTTATCCCCTATACCGAGTCAACGGAGGGATGAAGGCTTAAATCAAACAAGTAGCGTTACAAATAGCGATTGAGAATTAATCAACAACTGAAGAAAGTATGTACATGGTGGTCTACTATATATATGTTTCTGAAAGTCAGCCATGAGGCGCTGACTGATCTAACATGCAGCAACCATGAGGCGCTGACTGATGTTCTTTGTAATGGTTCTAGACTCTTGTCACGTGATGGTCACATGATCTGATATAACTATGTATTATGTTATCCGCGCTAAAGCAGCAGCTTAACATATCTTATCTGTCATGTGATCAGATATCAAAGAAAATGAAAAAAGGAAACTAGCGCTCAGGTTAGCGCTTCTGGTTCAAGTCGTGACATTACCCCCTCCTTAGGACTTTTGTCTCGAAAGTAGGGGTCCATCTTTCCGTTTTCCCAATTAAACAATTGTTTTCGGACTCTAGTCGTTGTGAAGTTTTCGAAGGGTTGAAAATGTAATTGAAATCGGATCCGTCGGGGTGCACTAGGGTTGTTATCGTGGAATGTTTTTACTTTGTCGGGTGAGTTGTTTAGGTGTTGTTCAGGTTCCCACGTGCGTTCCTCTTTTGGATAGTTCTTCCAATGTACTAAGTATTCCAATTTCCCTCGTTTTAGACGTGAGTCTAGAACTTCTTCGACTTCGTATTCTTCTTGTCCGTCTACTATTACCGGCGGTATCGGTTTAGGTTTCTGTTGGGAAGGGAACTGTGGTTCTTTGTACGGCGTGAGTTTTATCTCGTTGAAAACCGGATGAATAGGCCGCCATGTCGGTGGTAGCGCTAATCTGTAGGCTGATTCGCCTATTTTTTCCAGTATTTCAAATGGACCGTGTCTTTTATCGTCCAGTTTCTTGGCTGGTCGATCTGTTGAGATATTGGTCGCTTCTACGTACACCTTATCTCCTACTCTATATTCCACTGCTTCCCTTTTCTTCTTATCGTACTGTTTCTTCATCTGTTCAGCTGCCTTTTGCAGCGATTCTTCTGCTCTCTTCCTTGTTTCTGTCATTCTCTTTACGAAATCTTCTGCATTCTCGTTCTTTACCCCCACTTTCACTACTTCCTGTGTTCTCGGATGATGTCCATGATTCAGGTAGAACGGGCTATATCCCGTTGCAGAATGTTGTTTGTTATTGTAAGAGAATTCTGCTAGGGTAAGCCATTCTGCCCAATCATCTTGTTTATGGTTTACAAAGATTCTGAGATACTGTTCTATCTCTTGATTGATCCTCTCCGTCTGTCCATCTGTTTGTGGATGCCAAGCCGTTGATGGGTTCGCTTTTATCTGAAGAAGCGTATGTAGATCTTTCATGAATTTTGAAACGAATTGTGGTCCCCGATCTGAGATGATCTTTTCGGGTATACCGTGGTTTCTGAATACATGATCTCTGAATAGTCGTGCCACTCCTTCTGATGTGGTCTCCATCTGTGTGGGAATTACCTTGATCATTTTGGTAAATCGATCTACTACTACCATTATCATGTTATATCCATTTGATTCTGGTAGCGGTCCGATCAGATCTACTGATATGATCTGCCAAGGTTTATCCGGGATCTCGTTTGGATGAAGCGGTGCTGCTTTCTTTTTATGGTCTGTCTTAGTCCTTTGGCAGACTTTGCATCCATCTACGTATCTCGTGATATCTCTGTCCATGTAAGGCCACCAGTATTGTCGAGTGATTAACTCCTTTGTCTTATATCTTCCTGGATGGCCTGCAATAACAGAGTCGTGGTTTCGTCGGATAATCTCTTCCCTTAATGTAGCATCTTTTGGTACATAGATCCTGCCTTTGAATACTATGCAACCGTCTTCGTCTAGCCAACCATCCTCTCTCCTCTCTATCTTTCCTTTCATCTTTTTTATCAGCTCATCTACATTTCCTTTTCTCTTTGTAATCCACTTTGAAATCTCCAATTCTTTCTCTTGACTGTCTGCAATCCTTTGTCTTTGTTCTGGAGAGAGAGTCATTCTTACAAATAGTTTCTCATCCAGTAGCACGACGTCTTCGTTGTCGTTTTCTCCTTTGTTATGATCTGATCGCCTCGAGAGAAGATCTGCTTTTATATGCTTCCTTCCTGGCATATGATGTATTGTGAAATGATACTGGCTCAACTCCGTCATCCACCGCGCCTGTCTCCTGTTTAACTTCTTTGGTTCTTTGAAATACAGCAGATTTTGATGATCTGTCCATATCTCAAATTCCTCTTCCGCGTCTATTAAGTAATGTCTCCATTCGTTAAGTGCCGTCATGATGGCAAGAAGTTCTTTGTCATAGATCTCGTAATTGCGTTCTGTGGGGTTTAACGCTTTGGAGAGGTATGCAATTGGCTTCCAGTCATCTTTTTGTCTTTGTGATAAGACAGCACCCATAGCGAAGTCACTACTGTCCGCTTCTACCTTGTATTGGCTATGTGGTACTGGGAGAGCTAACACTGGGGCTGAAACTACACGTTGTTTTAATGTGTTAAATGCTTCTTGTTGTTCATTTCCCCAAATGAAGTCCTCTTTTCCCGTTAACTTGGTCAATGGTTTGGCTACTTCCCCGAAGCCTTCTATGAATCTTCGATAGAAATTTACAAATCCTAAGAATGCTTGTATATCCTTTTTATTTTTGCATTCTGGCCATTTGCTAATTCCTTCTACTTTTACCGGATCCATGCGAATTTTGTTCTCTGAGATGATCAGTCCCAGGTATTCCACTTCTGTCTGTTCGAAATCGCATTTCTCTGGTTTAAGATAGAGATGATTCTTTCTTAGGATTTCTAACACACGTCGCGTCGTTGCTTGGTGCGTTTCTATATCCTTTGTGAATATCATGATATCATCTAGATATATGATTACTAATCCTTCATCTATCAACTCTTTGAAAAGCGTGTTCATCATCATTTGGAACGTGGCGGGGGAATTTGTCAGTCCAAAGAACATGACTAATGGTTCGAATAATCCCCGGTTTGTCCTAAACGCCGCTTTATGCTTGTCTCCTTCTCTCATTCGTATGTTGTTATATCCCCATCTTACATCCAACTTTGTGAAGTATTTTGCTCCACTCAATTTGTCTACTAGTTCCCCGATCAACGGAAGTGGATATCTATTTTTGATAGTGATATCGTTTAGCTTCCGATAATCTTGAACTGGTCTCAACTTCCTGTCTTTCTTTTTAATGAAGAAGAATGGTGATGTGAATGGGGACTTCGATGGTCTTATCCGTCCCAATTCTAGATTCTCCTTTAGAAACGCATCTAGCTCTTCTTGTTCTCCTCTTGCCAATGGATAGATCTTGCAATCTAGGGAGTGATCTCCCGGTATTAGTTCGATTGCGTGATCCCATTGCCTTCTTTCAGGTAATGTGCCAAACTCCTTTTTATCAAATACGTCTTTGTATTGATGAAGGTGTTTTGGCACTATCTTTTCGAATCCTCCTTCTTTTTGATCTTTGCCTGCGGCTTCTGCTAGCTTTTGTGCCATTGTGCCTTGGGCTCTGATATGGTAATATTGATCGTCGATCGTGGCATCTTCGAAATTATGGAGATTCACCTGTATCATCCTCTCGTCTTCTCTTAGTTCCTCAAAGAATATTTCCGGATCCTCCTCTGGATCAGAGATTCGGATTCTCGGTCTGCATTCTTCAGGACATCTTTCAAAGGTCAACTTCGATTCTTTCCAGTCTATTTTAGGATTATGTTTGTTCAACCACTCATGTCCTAGAAACATCTTTCCATTACCCAGATTGGTTACGGCAAGATGTATCTTCTCGACATGTCCGTCGATTTCCATGAGTAGTATTACAAATTCATTGATGGCTCCGTTTTTATTAAGAGTTCCATCTGCATTATAGACTGGAATAGGTCTCGGTATCTTCCTTGTCTCATATCTTTTGTCTTTCACAAATTGGGAGTCGATGCAACTCCCCGTGCATCCACTGTCCAATAGTGCTTCGACTGTTTCTGATTGGAGAGTATCTAATGTAGTAAGCTTACATTTTACGTTCATTTGATTGCCTTGGGTGCCCCTAATGTACTTTTTTGGGGAGGCAATTTCTATGATCGCTTGTATAGCTTCTACTTTTGGTAACCGGTTGATTTCTTTTATCGTTTCCCGGGTTACTTCTCTCGCTCTCTTTTTATGTGTCCAGGCACTCAGAATCCCAATGGATCTTTCTTCCTTTTGGTCTCTTAGCCTGTCTACTACCCATTCTGGGGTCCAAACTTCTGTTCTAGGTTTTTTTAGAGGGGCTCCTGACCTCTCTTCTACAGTCTCTGCTGCGTTTTTCTCCGTAGAGCTCGCCGCATCGGGTGTAGGAATCTTAGGTTCTATTGTAAATGCTGCACTTTTTAGTGATTCGCCCGCCGTCAAAACTGCGGATGTCTTATCACTCTGCGCCGCTTTTACTCTAGTTGCATCTTTTTCGTTTCGGATTTCTTTCTTTGTCTGAGTGGAAATAGTTTTATTGTCATCCGCGCTAAAGCAGCAGCTTAACAATTCTGAGTCATATGTATCTACAGTCAAAGGAAGAAATCGATTCGAAATGTCTTTAGGCTCAGTCGGTCGATGCGGTGTCGATGATGAGAACTGCTGTTAGAAAACCACACACAAAACAAACTAACACACAATCCTCCCAGATTCCACGGAACTTGTTTATGGGCTTTGCCTCCTAGAACAGTGGAGTGGTCTGGTTGTTCGTGGGGTGGTACGTATAAAGATCCTTCAAAGTAAAACCCAGAGGTGTATGAGTGTGGGTTTTGAGGAGGAGGGATAGTTGAATTTATAGAAGGATAGGGGCTTTGTGACGAGTATAGACGAGCACTACCTTGCTAATCGTAGCACAAGGTAGGTTTGAGAACGACAATATGACGAGGTTCCCAGTGATAGCAGGCTCCTGACGCACAAACTGTAGTGCTCAGAAGGACTCTAATCGAAAGGGATGACAATGACTTCAAAAGTGGGAAGTGACAATGACAGCAGTTGACAGTGGTAGAAGTGGGAAGTGTTGTGACCACACTGGATCACAAGTAGCAGAGTAGTGAACTTGAGAGTAGAGAAGAAGTCTGGATTGGATTTCTTGTTTTTTACAAGGTAAAATACAGGGGTTTATATAGTAAAAGAGAAGTAGGCTATGCACAGTATAGCTGTGCAAAAAGAATGAGAAAGAATATGAAGGAAGGAATGTACGCTGACGAATCCTGCATAGGTAGTACAGGATAAGATTGTCAAAAAAAGAAAAGAAAGGGATAGAACAATAAATGCTGTGAGTAATGTCACAGGTTTGTACAGCCATAAAGTAAAGTCCAATAGCAAAAAGAGAGCAGGAAAATCATGATGTCATGGGAAGATGCAGTAAAAAAAGGGCAAAGCAAAACACTATCAGTATCAACACAGTTCCTTTATTGTCAGTCAGGCATTCTAAAAAAATATGTGTCCATAAAAATGATTCAAAAATCAAAAATAATCGCACTGTAAATGAATGTTCTGCTGAAAAAAAAGAAACTGGAGCCACCGGCCCACCACCTAGTCCAAATCTGACAGTTCCATGGCCTTACCAATGGACTGGTTGTGTTGGACCACCTGATCAAACGAGGGAGGGAGAGGAGTAGTTCCAATTTGGAACAAGTGAGTCCCAGGCAGCGTGTGGTAGGTGTAGCTGTAGCGAAGACGATGGACAAATGATAAGTGTACCCAAGTGAATGGGACAGCGATGAACATGGGCGACGCAAGGGGATGAACCTTCTCCAGCTCAAAAATTACCCACCCACGCTCCAACCAGGCAAGACGAGCGACCGATGTTTTGATAGTATATGATGGCAGATCGACGTCATGAAGATGGACCTGTTGCCCTATTTGGACCGGCCGCCGGGGCTTTGCTGATATCAGCAGTGGCACGTGGTAGTCAACGGATCGGCGACGGAAGCGGATAGGAAGTGGTGACATCAGAAATGGTGGGGGTGCAAAGAAGATGAGGAGGAGGAGGGTGGAGGTGACGAGGAGGTGAACTAAAATGGGGACCCAGAAACGACCGTCGGGTGAGAATAAAAAGGAGAGGAAGGGGCCCATGGTGGGGCTAGGCAAAGGAAGGGGAGTAAGGGAAACGACAAAAGCGAGGGCGCAATGCAATGTGTAGCCAGTGGCGACGCGAAAATTTGCCGAAATGCCGAAATGCGGAAAGTACCGGATGGAAAAGCAAAGGTGAGCGTGACTGGATTGCCTAATAGAGGTGGTGCTGATCAGCCACAAGTTCAAAAAGGGCAATATTAATTACTATTCCACGTGGCACTGTGCCTGTGTGGCGCAAAGGCGAGTCTTTTTGAATATTCGCTTCGTTATTGACACCTGTCCATGCTACCAATCAACTTTGGTGCATGACAGCGGTACCGCTGGCCTCTTTAAAAACCCTCAAGGAGTTTTTCCCTTTCCTCTTTCGTCATCTTTTCTAAGAACTCTCAGACATTAAATTGTGGCTTCCTTTTTTGTGCGTCTTTGCACTCGAAGCTTCTATGTCCCTTTTCTCCACATCGGTAGCATCGTCCCTCAGTGCGGAACTTTGCTTTGTCTACCTCCATTCTTTCTCCGCTACCGGTATGGGTATACCCTGTTCCGTCCTTTTTCTTCTCTCCTTCTTTCTTTTGTTCCGAATAGGGTTTCTTCCCGATATCGGAACCTTTCTTCTCTTTTTCTCTCTCTCTCCAAATATAGTCTATTCTGATGAGTTCCCTTTTCCACTCTTGGTAATCTCTGGGAATGTGCCCGCCGTAGATCACCCTGTCTACTAGTGGCTTATTCATGTTCCTTCTGAGTAGATATATTAGGAACTCTTCGTTTATCCTATTTGTATATCCCGCCCATCTTTTCTTTTCCTCAAACCTTTCAAAGAAGGCTTGGGCGGTTTCATTGCCCTGTCTCAGGGTCAATATTTCGTTCTTGGCAGTTTCTTTTTCAAAGCTGTCCTTGAACCTTTCTTCCATTTTGTCCGCGAAATACGGCCAACTTCTGTATGTGTTCGTAATATCGAGCCCCAGCTGTTGGGTATCGACTCGATTCTCTAGCCAATCGGTCCGGAAGGCCGCGGCTTCTCCTTCTTTCATAAAAGATAGCACAAAGCTTATCTTTTTTCGGTCATCTTTGAAATATACGGCATCGTCTTCGAAATGTAGTAATAAGGACTCTCTAAAGGCCCTATACTTTTTCTTTTCTCCGGAGAAGTTCTCGGGTTTCTCCAGTGCCGTTCTACTTCTTTCCACCCTTTCTGGAGGTGGCGGTATCTGTTTCTTTAGTTTTCTTTGCAAGACGCTCACTTCTTCGAGCGCCTCGTCTAGCTGTGATTGGTAATGCATTTGAGTTTGTCTTATTGCCTTTTCTACTTCTTGTTTTACATATGCTTCCAATCGCGCTTCTTTTGGGGGGGAGTGTCTATTCTGGGTAATGAATCCATCATTTCCCTGGTAAATGCGCTGTCCATGCTGTTGGATGGCTCAGGCAGATCGCGATATTCTAGGTTTGACATCGAATGTGAGTTGGGGAGGAGGGGGAGTTTCGGATTTGATCAAAGGGGATGGGATTCTGATGGGTACTATTTCTGGTAGGGGGAATTGCCCTTTGAATACGTAATCTTGAGAGTAAATGTGTTGCTCTCCGATCCAAATGTAAAAATCTCTACTAAGCATAGAAAGGAGTTCACCAGTGATAAGCTGGATCGATACACCGCTTTCTAAGATCCTAGTAGTCTATCTGTTCTCTTTGAGTCAAAGTGGTCCTCTTCAGCCCACTACTGACTATGTATGTATGGTAATTATTTTTGTATTTTACGAATTTTATGTAAAAGGTATAGTGATAAATTGGGGTCCGAACGGTTGTCCCAATGTGACCAGCTTATTAAGCTTTCAGTCCTTCTCCCGACTGGCGGACGCAAATGCGCGGCCTGGTCAGAGGAAATCGAAATGGAAACTATGTAAAACCGAGAAAATCCCAGTGGTTCCACACCAAAGAGATTATAGTGATATAAAATGTATTTACAGGGGGATGGTTACGAATGAGTCTTGGGATGAGGAGGGAGAGATGTTGGCAGGGAAAAATGATAAGATGGTGTCGGGGCGAGTGGGTAGGTGATGAAGTGGGAGGGTAGTGGTAGTTTGGTTTGGTCGTTTGAGCAGGTTTAGGATGAGTAAGATGATGATGGTGGTTACGATGATGGTGGTTAGGATTGTTGCTGTTATATTCATAAACGGTACTTGTGGCAGTTGTTGATTGTGTAAAACCCTTATCCCCTATACCGAGTTAACGGAGGGATGAAGGCTTAAATCAAACAAGTAGCGTTACAAATAGCAATTGAGAATTAATCAACAACTGAAGAAAGTATGTACATGGTGGTCTACTATATATATGTTTCTGAAAGTCAGCCATGAGGCGCTGACTGATGTTCTTTGTAATGGTTCTAGACTCTTGTCACGTGATGGTCACGTGATCTGATATAACTATGTATTATGTTATCCGCGCTAAAGCAGCAGCTTAACATATCTTATCTGTCATGTGATCAGATATCAAAGAAAATGAAAAAAGGAAACTAGCGCTCAGGTTAGCGCTTCTGGTTCAAGTCGTGACAGTCCTCAGGATTGCTGTCAGATTCTGTGTCAGTAGGATTGGAAAATACATGTGTGCTACTCTGTGCAAATGGATTAACTTTGTCATTAAACTGGCCACCAGTATGATCAATCTCACAGTCAGTCATGGCAAGAGATAGGATAACAGTTCAATTATGATTATGTTACAAGTCGGCAGGTGCTCGGCAGTTTTCCCGGCTAATGAGTGTGACTCGATGCACTCGGCCTGTGTCAAATGTCCCCAGACGCTAGCGCGGAGCCCTAGCTTCTGGGTTTGAGACTAACAGTATCTCAACAAGAGCTGGTGATGTGGTTCTATCCAAAAAGGGTATAAAAGCTCCTGGAAAGAAAAAAACTTCAATTGTGAAATGGAAACCTGGATCCTACGGGTCCAGGAAAAACCACTCCTCGCCGATAAGCAAGATGGAGGGGTTGATCTGGTCAGATTATGGTTGTCTGTTGGTCGTCTGTGTCCATCAAAGAGACTCGGAGAGCAGCCTGGCCCAGGTCCCATCCGATGATCCTTGTAAATGCCGAGCCATTTTGAATCCAAATTTGGGATGGATATGTAGGGCACAGTCATAATCCAAGCAATTAATGAAACTTCAACATTTGTATATGATCATTGGAATAAGGAACCACTGCTAGCTGAAATCCCTAGTCTGAGGCGTGACTGCAATACCAGTATGAGAAACCCGTGACATACGCGTCTGTGATTATGTCACGCGTTTAGTTCACAGTATTCAATCAACGTGTCTTTGTTCTTCAATTGTAACTTCAGTATGTCCAACGGCACAAACGACGATGCTGATGCCTCACCTGAAGTTATGCTTGCGTTTTATCGAATGCTCTACCCTTTCAAACCCATATTCAAGTGGTTGAATCACGAACAAGCCCCAACAAAGCTCTTTACTCACCGCGAATTCGCGTTCACCCTCCAGGGTGATGTCTACCTTAGATACAACTCTTTCAATACAGCCGATGAACTGAAAAAGCAAGTATGCGCGCTCAATCCTACGCGTTTTGAAATAGGTCCCATGTATACAGCAAAAGTAAGCATGATCCATGCACTCAGGCAGTCAGTCCAGCTACTTATATTATTTGTAGCCAAAAGACAAGAAAACAGTTCGTCCTGCCGCATTTTCACCACTGAAGCGCGAGCTCGTGTTTGATATTGATATGACCGACTACGATTCGATTCGTACCTGTTGCTCTGGTGCTGGTATATGCCGTCGATGTTGGGGTTTCATCGCTGCCGCTGTAGATGTCATCGATTCTGCTATTACAGAGCAATTTGGATTCAAAGAACTTCTCTGGGTATACTCCGGTCGTCGCGGTATTCATCTTTGGATATCAGACCCGGAGGCCATGGATCTCACTGATGAGCAACGTAAGGCCATCGTCGGGTATCTCACTGTCATTGAGGGTGGGAAGGAAATGCGCAACAAGGTCAATGTGCGCATGGGACCAAGAGGTCCTCTCCCTCCATCACTACAGTTCGTACACACGAAGATAAAAAAAAAGCCACAATGCTAAACGACATCAAACTGTTTTATAGGAGTGCCGTCAACACCCTTGACAATCACTTTGACGATCTTATACTTGACGACCAAGACTGCTTTAGATCTGATGAAGGCTGGGAGTCACTTTTACAGCTTATACCAGATCGTAAAGCGGTAGACACCTTGCGCAAGAACTGGTCACATGCATCTCAACGTTCATCAAAAGGAGCATGGGCTGATCTCAAGAAACATATGAAGGATTATGTAAGTGATTACTGATTGATGCTTGAATATGACTTATATCACATGTTCCCCTTCCTAGCCAGCCGTTGTGGACGACATTATCCTGCAGTATACTTACCCGCGACTTGACACAGAAGTCTCAAAGCACCGCAACCATCTGCTAAAGGCACCTTTTTGCGTACACCCTAAAACAGGTCGGGTCTGTGTTCCTGTCGATGCAAAAAAAATCCATAAGTTTGATCCGTCTCGAGTACCAACTGTGCATCAACTTCTTCGTGAGCTTGACGCGGGAGCTTCGGCTGATAGTGCAGCGGGGGGTTCTGGTACGTCATTATTTTTATTCCTCGGATAATGTATAGTAAATAATCATTTTTTGTATTGAGCCTGGGAGAGGACATCACTGAAACCCTACGTTGAGATGCTTGAACGGCACAATGCAACGATAAGCACAAGGGTCAGGCAGGACAAGATCAAGCAGGACAAGAGTTGGTGATGGTAGTTGGTTTTCACTGTTTTTCTAGAATTCGATGGACTCTTTCGCTGTATTCTTAATTCAGTGCATGATATCTGTAACCTCGGGATGCGCCGTGCTTGTGGTGCTGTTGGTGCTGCGATAATCTTCTCTACAGACGATCGCTTCGCAAAATGCACAGGGGCTAGCAAAATGCTGTATTGATTTGTGTATTCCCTTATCAGATAAGATACATGAGCGATCGGGCCGATACACACTACCAGGTTTACACGCTTTCTGATATCTCGCCGTCGCATTTCAAACAACATCGATTCGTTCCCTCGATGTCCGAGCAACGTATTATCCTTGGGAACTGCCCACCACCACCAGACTGGATTCTAAGAGGCCATGTCGCGCTTGTCCAGCACCGTCCTACGGCTCCCAGCGCTCACTACTAATGGCCTAGTATCGCTATCCCCTCCGGCTTTTCCTTTCCCTCTAGCCACTTCACTTGCATCTGCCCCTCCATCTCCATCTCCATCGTCACAAGCGCCTCCGCAATCTGCCAATCACAACGACACTTCTTCGTTGCTCTTCGGATTCCTCATTTCAATTCTCTCTGTGTTTGGGGTCTTCATGGTGGGCGGCATGGTTTGGCATCGCTTGGTCGTCCGCCGTCGTATCCTCCGAAGGGTAGGCCGTGAAGGCGTACCTCAGCGTTATTGGGAGATGACTAGACCGCATCTATGGGAAATACGGACTGTCTCAGGTGAACAGCATATAAGGTGGAAACATATGAAGGTGCGTTATTTTCAATTCCTCCGATTTCAAGCTTTTGCTGATGAAATGTATGGTTCTCGTCTTCCTGCTTCGTCGTGTAGCCATTGATGGTTCAATCCAGGCGTGAAAGTGATCCCCTACTCGTCTCAGACGATGATACTTCCTTACCATCCTGGAAGCAGTGGTTTCTCGCACGACTTCCACGCGATCTTCGCATGCTGTTCTCGCGTCCTCGTCACCTATCCCAATCGCAGGCGAATAGTCACGAAAATACCCAGCTCGAGCCCCGTCTTCCTTTGCCCGGATCTGATGTTCAAGTGGCGGTGATCGTGGCGATGCCTCGACCATCCAAAGCGACCTCCGCCCTCAATGCGGCAACTGCTGGCAAAAACAAGGAGGTGCAGGGAACGGACGATAGACAAGAGGTACTGCACGAAATCGTAATTGGAACCACAAATTTACTCTACAAAGATGATGATTCGTGTCTGGAGGATGTGCATTAATGACTTGTTACAATGATACCTGCAACGCGTCTTTCTTTCTTTCTTCACGTGTATAGTAATTGCAATGGACTAATAGTGTACTTCAGTAGGATATATCTCCTTGATTATTGTCGTTGTTCTGGATGCTTTCGGTATCCAGTAAATCACTGGCACTCTGACCTTGCTTTTGCTGCCAAAACCAAATATTAGAGCCTAGTCGCACAAGCCAGTGGGTCGTTTGTGTGGGAGATTTCTTGAGGTATCGCTTGCATTGACATCGACCAAGTTCACGTTATTCAATACTGTCGCAGAAATCACTGGCACTGTTCTTAAATTGGTCCCACCAAAATTGATCGTGAGTAACAATCGCAAGCAACGGTACCAGTTGGGGTCCGCTCCACGATGTAGGTGTTTAACTTTGAAGCATCTTCAGGATATAATTCGAGTGTCCAGGCCTCTGAGTATCTGTGATGGGTGGAATAATATGGAATGTCTAAGAAACCACGATGCGATGACTAGTGAAGGGTGTGCCAAGCAGAATGGAAAAGACCATCATAAATGAATTCAATTATTGGAGAATCCGAGGAATACCAGACTGTTTGTAACATGTGTTTATCTGTTTGGATCAGAGGCTGTAGCCAAGCATAACCAAATAACCTTTGAAAAACATCCGTTATCTTCTTTTACTGCTTCGTGGTTTCTCTTGCCGATGTCATTCAATCCATGACAATTGATATACACCACGGGCATGAAAGGGTTCCAGCCAAGCCGGGAGAGGTATGATTCGTACACAAACAGCATAATTTCAGCCACCTCTGGAATACTTCAAATATTATGAATATATACGTTGTGAGACATTAACATCCATTATACCAATGTTTGAGGGAAGAGGTGTGAGGGTTCCGCCTATATATATAGATGCCTTCATACAAGCTATAGTACTATCAGTGCATTCATGGCTGTTATACCTCTCATAACACAGAAGATGGCAAACTTTTGACCCAGGCGAGAAACGTGTGCGTCCTTCTGACTCTGGAATAATCTTAGAAACTTGTTCTACACTAGGATGGAGGCCGTAAGTGTTTGTAGTCAGTCTAGCTCACTAT